TCAGATGGTCCTACCTAGCCCAGTACAGTCTAGCAGAAGAGCAGCCAACATGGTGCCTCCAAATATTGCTGGACTCCAACTCCCATAATTCCTACTCATTAACCATGCTGCCTAGGGCTGATCAGAACCAGAGTCCAACAGCAACTGGAGAACAGCATATTGGCTTCTCCTGGCTAGAAACAGCCCTTCAAGGTATTGGGTAGTAACTTATTTTCTATCACACTTACCCAGGATCTAATTCAGGGATGGAGAACTAGATCTGGCCAGCCTAATTTGACAGGTGGGTCGGGCTGCCACCTGTCTATCACCTGGTGTCACAATGATGTCTAGTGATCCTCCTGCCCCCTAGTATGAACAGGAACCAAACACTGCCATTGAAGGCACAGCCTGGGAAGCACCTTTCAAAACACAGGAGTTGCAAGGGGCATTGCAAGACCGAACAATCAGCTGATCACTGGTCTTTGCAAAGCACTTTGTACAGGGTTTTGCAGGTGCCACCGATTGGCTGAGCCAGGTCTTTATCTGCCCCACATCTGATGTCATATCAGGTGTGCAGCAGGTGGGTGTGGCTTGGACAAAATGGCTTTGCAAGCCAAATTGGGAGGCCTGGTTGGGCCTGCGGCTCTCCATCCAAAAATGTTGCAAGTTAACACTTATTTTGCTTTGTATTTATGTAATTAAGCCTAGATAAAAATTTTTTTGTAATACTGAATTTTGTGTTTGCCAAATTGTTGGGTTTTGTCATTTCTGAATTTACCGACATATATTTTGTATATTTGTATTTCCAATACTCTGTATTTCAAAGTTTTGAATGTTTGCTTTAAGCCGCTTTGGGCACAGCGTTTTGTGGAAAAGGGGCATATATGGTAAGTAAACTCAATCCATCAATCCCTAATTCACTTGGTAGTGTTCAAGGACTGAACACAGAGCCTTGCACATATAAAGATTGTGGGGTTGTGAGAATTTTTTATATATACACAGTGGTACCTCGGGTTACATACGCTTCAAGTTACAGACTCCGCTAACCCAGAAATAGTACCTCAGGTTAAGAACTTTGCTTCAGGATGAGAATAGAAATCGCACAGTGGCAGCGGGAGGCCCCATTAGCTAAAGTGGTACATCAGGTTAAGAACAGTTTCAGGTTAAGAACGGACCTCCGGAACGAATTAAGTTCTTAACCCAAGGTACTACTCTCTCTCTCTCTCTCTCTCTCTCTGTGTATTCTTTTAGAGATCCTTAAAATAATAAAAAAGGCACCCCTCGCCTCACATAACTATAGTTTCCAAAAGCCTCTAGAGAGATGCAATGACTATTAGGCTATAATCCTGCTCAATTACACTTATTTTGGGTAGGCATGTATATGATGGTGCTGTTAACCAAAAAATCCTATGTATTCTTATTCAAAATAAATCCCCTTGTATTCATTGGGGTTACTCTTAGGAAAGTGCATATGGAATTGCTTGGTTACTAAGTCTCTCTTAAATGTAGACATGCTGAATATGGGTAAGGTAAGGATTAAACTGTATGTAGTTGCCTGCCTTTTTTCCAAGTGTGGCTGCCCTCCTCCACCATTGCTTTTTTAGTATAGCACTTCCGTACCACACAGAAGGAACATTATGAGTACCGTTATCATTTTTCTCTCTGACACAAATGTATGTGCAAAGGCACTGCTTTCCTTTACTGCTTTCTGCTGATTCTGAGCCTGTGTGGTGGTTCCTAAATCAGCACAAATGGCCAAACCTTTTCCCTTTTCGGCTTCTGCTGGGAGTAGATTGCGTGTGGGAAGCCGAAGCATTAATGGCAAACTGTGACATTTCAAGGCTATGACCATCTGAACAACAGTGTGACAGGATATATAAATAGCCAAGAGGAATCGGTGATAACCGCAGCAAAATCTTCCATTGCAAAAAGGCCAAGCAATTAAAAATAACTTTTAAAATATAGCATAAATAGATGCAGAAGGAAAGGCGAGAAAAGGGATGATGCCTCTAGCAAAACGAATGAAATCTGGCAGGTCTGTCACTAGCTATATATTTTCAGGAAGGAATAATGGCCTGTAAGGATACAAGAGTCTAGAAACAGCATTTCTCTGCACAGCTCTTTCCTCCAGTGATTCTTTTATTATCATCATGTGCTGTTCCAGGCATATTTATATGTCTTTACTTCAGGCAGCCAAAGGTTTCTACATCCGTCATACTTTGCCTCCACCCTGATTTAGCTATTCATTTATTTTTAAAGTTGCTTCTTATAGTGGCCTCACCAGATACATTTTTCATTTTTATGAGGTTCCCAAAAGGGCAACATGGTTGGGGGATCTAACCCATATGCTGCAAATAATAAACACTTGTTGTTGTTGTTGTTGTTTAGTTATTTAGTCATGTCCGACTCTTTGTGACCCCATGGACCAGAGCACGCCAGGCACTCCTGTCTTCCACTGCCTCCCGCAGTTTGGTCAAACTCATAATAAACACTACAGATGCAAATAAATATTGACCGGGGCCAATCTTAAAAGAATCAAGTCTTCAAAAAAGTTATATGATCTAAGAAAGTCTTTAAAAAGGACTTTAAAAAAAAATCCAAAAGGAAGGATTCTTTTAAAGACTTTCTTAGATCATATAACTTTTCTGAAGACTTGATTCTTTTAAGGGAGTTTTTAGGTTTTAAAGAAGAGTCTTTTAAACTATCTTTTTAAAGACTTGTTTTAATTTATTTTGACTACGGCAGAGCAACACAAATTAAAATTAATCACATTTAATTTAATAAAGCTACTGTTTCTATTTAAACTGAGCACCTTGACACAGAATCCTGGCCCTCAGCATAACTTTTTCACCCACCCCCCGATTAGAGTATATGAAATAACATGCAGTTTAGAGGCTTTTAACTATAAAACTCTACAATAATGTGTAACATTGCTTACCATTTTCAAACTAGACCTGAAAACACAGAAGTCTTCTGTGATGCACATTCATTTAGGGAAGACCATATAAAGAGCATCTTACAATATGGATTAGCAATGTTGCAATTCCACAATGAAGGACAGAATGGCTGCTGAGACTATAAATTTCTTAACGTGTTGGCATATTTTGGAATGTGTCCAAAAAAATCTCTTGACAATCCTGAGTCAGCATACTGAAGCATGCACAATCACAGCATATTTCAAAATTTGTCAGAATAGGATCCCTGCTCTCAAATCCACAATTATTTTCAGCTTTCACCCTCCAATACTTTCTCTATGCATGAAGTCGGACATACCGTAGTTGCTTTGCCAAATCCTGAGCAGAGTGAGGATCAAACTAATTGTGCATCTCTCCATGTCATTTTATCTGTTGAAAGCAGTAACATAGGGTTCCCATTTGAGATTGCTACTCTAGGGTCCTTTGGGAGAAAGGGTTGGATATAAATTTAATTAAAGAAATACATACAATTTTAATAAATGAATAGTTTAAAACTTACAGTGCGGCACAAACTATATATGTGCGATGGTACTGTGTTTAACATGACAGGAAGGTTCTCTCTGTGGATATTTTAATTTATATACATCCCCAGTGGCATAGTGGTGCATTTTAAAGTGTAGGAGCTCATCATGACAGGCCCCATAGTCACACCACCATAGAGTCTATAGTTATGCCCCCAAGCACAGTGCAAGAATGGAGACAGTTGTGTTAACCCATTTATTGTCTTGTGTTGACCCACTCCTGCTTTAGTGTCAGCTGACAGTAGAATAGTGCACTGGCAAAGTGTAGGGTATTGGTTAGTTTGTCAGACTTTGGCTGAGGGGACCTGGGTTCATATTGCTGATCAGCTTGAACCAGCCACCGTCTTAGCCTAACAAAAAGATCATGCGCTGGACCTGAACTTCCTTCACCCTCCAAATTTATGCCACTGGCAAACACCGCTCCAGCAGATGCCAGTGTTCCAACTGTGAAAAAAGCACCAGAACTGCACTCACATGTGTGCATGCCCTGAACAAGAGATTTCCGCATCACAGAGGCGTTGGACTAAATGACCATTCCAACTCTGCAATTCTATGAATCTAAGTCAGTAGTCAATTTGGTAATCAAGATACAGTACATGTGTACCGTAACTGTTCTTGAATAACCAAATCTAGTCTGTCAGAGCAGCAGTCCTTCCATGAGGCAAGGCGAGACAGCTTTATTACATAGTAGTTTTTCGCTGTCATTAAGGGTGGGAACGTGGATCTATTAAACATGAGTTGTGGTAGAGCATGGGACCCTTGAGAATTATTAGTTTGGTCCATTTGGGTTTTTCACCTCTGACATCAACATGTTTCAGGTTCAGGCTAATGGCAAGGTTCACATATTAGAGGAGAGGCAGACTTTCAGGTTTGGATGATTATAAATTCCAGTTGGGCAGCAGTTGTTACAGCAAATATTTAAGAAAGAGTCTTGTGGATGGCACCTTAAAGACAAACAGATTTATTGTAGCATACGCTAAAGCCCATTTCACCCATGCAAATATTTAGTGTGTTGGTTGAAATGTGCCACAAGCAACCTGCTGAGCTTAAGGTATCATGAAAACAAAGAGTCCCTCTGCACATTAAAGACTCGCAAATTTCATTACGGACATACGTGTCTGTGGACCAGGGAGTGTAATCTCAAACACATGCATCTGATGAATTGGAATCTGTTCCACAAAAGATCATGCGGTAATGAATCTGTCAGGTCATGAAAGGAGCCAAAAAGACTCTTCCTTGCTTTTGCTGCAAAGGAGACTTGGCACAGCTTCCTCTCTGGAAACAGGATGGAAGGTACTTCCAAGCAGTGCTTTTTTCTGGGGATACGCATACCCCTAAACATTTTGTGAATCGAAGTTTGGCCTCATTGAGGGGCAGTATTTCAATATGAGTAGGAAAATGAGAGTACACCTAAACATTTTATTTATTTTAGGGAAAAAAGCACTGCTTCCAAGATTCCTGTGTTTTCAGGCTAGAGGCGGCGGGTTTCCATAGAGGGCAGGGCTTGGTCATTGGTGGCGCCTCTCTCAGAATCACAGTAGGGAAGGGACCCCCGGGGGTCATCTAGCCCAACCCTTCTCAAGGCCATTTTCAGGCGCCGGAATCGATACCTTCGCTTCCCGCCGTCGCAGCTACTTCAGGGGATGCTTTGACAGCGGCGTTAGCCCTCACCTGGCCGAAAAGCAAGGCCGCTCGAAGACACCTGAAAGGTGTGTGTGGCAGGTCGCTGAGGCGACTGTGAGCTCCGCCCAACGTGCCATGCGCGCCTTTTCCGGGTTTTTTTTGGGGGGGGGGGTGTTTCGTCACGCGCCAAGTCAACGTCAACAACAACAAACAACAACGTCCCAGTCAGGGGGGTGGGCTGCGCAGAGGCAGCCGGAGCGGGGTGGGGGCGGCCGCCGCCGCTTCTCCCTCGCGCCTCGCAGGCCCGCCTACATCCGGGTCCCTCGGCAACGCCGGGTGTCGGCCGCCCGGCCCCGCTCCTCTTTCTCCCTCATTGAAGAGAAAGGGAAGGCGTCGGGCGGCGTCAGCGCCGCGCTTTCCTCGGGAGGGGCGCGCGCCTGCCCTCTGCGCGCTCTTGCGATTCTGTGTGTGTGCGCGCGCGCGTGTGTGTACAGCGAAGATGGCGGCGGCGATAGGAGGGCGAGCCGGCTCCTACGGTTCCTCTTCCTCGCCGGGGCTGGGCTCAGGCTACGGGGCTGCGGCCGCTTTCAACGCCACGAGTAGCGGCGGCGGCGGCGCGGACTCGCGAGCGGGTGGCGACGAGGACGACGGGCAGAATCTCTGGTAATTGAGGACGCCCCCCCCCCACCCGCACCCGGTCGCCTCGCCTCCTCAGAGAGGGACCGTTACTACCTGGTAGCTCCTCCCCATTCCTCTTATCCCCCCCCTCCCACCTGCACTCCAGTCCTTGCGGGCAAAGGTGCTTTCCTCGCCCTCCTTCCCGCACCTGGCGGATTCCCGAATCCCTTCCCTTCACACCCCGCCTTTTGTTTGTTTTTAAGTGGGGCGTCCCGTGAACGGGGGAAGGAAAAAAAAAACCTTCTAATGCCCCCTCCGCCATGTTGCTGGTCCTCCCTCTCTGAGGTGGGCGGGGGAGGTTTGTCTCTTCTTCCTCCCCCCCACCTCCCCATTTCCTCCCTCTCTCCCCACATCTCTCACGCCCCATCCTCCACATCTCTCCCCCTCTTTCCCCCCACATCTCCCCCTATTTCCCTCACCTCCCCATCTCCTCCATGTCTCCCGCACCCCCATTTCTCCCCGATCTTCCCCCTACACCCCATCCCCCACATCTCTCCCCCTATTCCCCACATCTCCCCCTAATTCTACCCACCACCATTTCCTTCATCTCTCCCCATCTTCCCCCTGCACCCCATCCCCATCTCAACCCCCCACTCTCTTTTCCCCACCTCCTCAATTAATCCATCTTTCCCCCCCCACTCCCATTTCCTCCATTTCTCCCCCATCTTCCCCCAACACCCCCCACATCTCTCCCCCTATTCCCATCTCCCCCTAATTCTCCCCACTTCCCTATCCCCATTTCCTCAATTTCTCCCCCATCCTCTTCTCCCGCTGCTTCTCCTCGCCTCCGCTTGACAGGAGCTTGTTTCTCTCCTGCTGGACCTTCTCTCCTGCCTCCTCACTGCCTTCCTCGTTTCTCTTGTTTGCCCCTGCAGGTCCTGCATCCTCAGCGAGGTGTCAACTCGTTCCAGGTCTAAATTGCCGCCGGGGAAAAACGTCGTGCTGCTGGGTAAGCGGCCCTTTCTTCTCCTCGCCTTGTTTCTGTTCTGTTTGGTTTTTTTTGCCTGCACGTCTCGTTTCCCGTTTGCGATCGTTTTCATTTGTTGTTAATGAGGGCGGAGGGTGTGCGCGCCGAATTGCTGGCCATGGACCTCGTTGTGTTTGTAAGCTGTGCAGGAGGGAGGGGCATCCGCAGTGGTTCATTGATCGCACTGTTGCCTTCCCACCCACCCCCAGCCTTGTGCAGAAACTGGCAGTTCTCTTCCGCAGAACTGGAAATGCACTATCGGCACAGGGCTTAAATCCCTTTTCTGCTTATTGTTTCTGGTTACAGCTGCATGCTGTGTGGTACTTCAAGCCTGACTTCCAAAATCCATAGAGGCCTCTACTGTTTGTTGGCTGGCAGGCTAGGGGAATGAGCTCTGCCCATATGCATAAGGCCTGCCAAAGGCATTGTTGTCACATTATGTGTCAGCATCAGCCTGCCTCTCTGTTGCTCGCTTGCCTTATACCCTCATGGCTCCACCCATTTGATATGGTTAGCACCTCCTTCTGTTTTTTCTTTCTTGGCACTTAGAGGTGTTGCTTTCATTGGGGTGCTTGGGAGAAACGGAAAATTGGGTGTGTTAGGGTACATCTGCTGCATCAGCTGGTTTATTTTTGTTTCTTTGATGGGATGTATTGTGCTATCTGCATCTTGTACTGACTGGTGCCCCTGAATAGGTTCTGGGTTTTGTTGTTGGGGAAGTTAGTTCTCTTACTAGCTTCCCCTGCAACATGGTGCTCTCAATAAGCTTGTTGCTTGAAACAGTAATCTTAAAGTGTTTATGAGTAGACCCACATGTGGGTAATCCTTCCAGCTGGCTTTTTCAAGCAACTCCTGGCTTAGTTTTCACACTTTGGGAGTGACGTTGATGAGAATACTGTAACACTTGAAATTCTACGTACTTGCAGTCCTGGTTGTAAATAAACACACTACTGTACTACTAGATATTACAGAACAGCAGTGTACAAAAACAAGGAGGAATTTACCTCTTAGTTTACTAGAAAAGCTTAGGAAGGAGAGGTGATACAGAGGTAGGATCTTCTCTTATTGAGAAAAAGCTGTTACCCTCAAGGATAGTTTTTATATAACCGCTTGAAACACATGCTTTCGCACAGGCATTTGAGGAAAATCTGTTGAGTGGGCATAACTTTTTTATGCTGCTGCAGAGCACTTCATTGGTTTAATGAAGTTTAAATTAATTGTTTCATAGTTTCATTATGTGTCTTTACTGCCCTGAGGTTCTATGGGAGAAAAGGGGGGCAATTTATGAAGGTAAATAATAAAGTTAAAAACTGAGAGAAACACATGGTTCTGCAAAACATGGAGTATAGAATGTGAAAGGACTGTAGACAAGGCCATAGAGAGAGCTAAAAATACATAATGTTTCATAGTCATAATAACATGCTATAGCCCTCTTACTTTGCACTACAAGTTTTTTGGGCAGAGAGATTTTTAAAAATCAAAATGACAGATATTTAGCATGGATTATTTACATTATTTCATTCATAAAAAACATAGTATGAACTCTTTTTTTTTTTTAGAGTTAGATCAAAGATCCAAACATTCTACTGGTTTGTATTCAACACTGGCTGGTCAAGTGCTTCTGGGAAATTTGCAAAAAGAACATAGTGGAAAAGCATGATAATACACTGGATTTAAATTGATATTGCACTTGTAACTATCATGCCTTGCTGTAACCATTGATAGACTGATGTTCCCATAAACTTAACTTTTTTAAAATACTGGTTTTTGTGCTAGTTTTTTATGCGGCAGTGAATTCAATGAGTTAGTTATGCATAAACAACCATGGGATAAGATATGATGTCACCCCACAGCTATATCTTATGGGTTGGTAACTGATTAAAGAATAGGAAGCAGAGAACAGAAATAAATGAATAGTGTTCCAATGGAAGGATATAAGAAGTGGAGCCCCACAAACATCTGTATTGGGACCAGTGCTTTTTAGTAAGTTCATACATGATATATTAGGGGTGAGCAGTGGGGTCACCAGGTTTGCTGATGTCACAGCATTATTCTGTAAAAGCAAAAAGGGATAGCAAAGAGCTCCATGAGGACGTCTCCAGACCAGGTGAATGGGCATTAAAATGGAAAATGCAGTTCAGTGTATGCACATTGGAGCAAAAAACTATAATGTCACATACACTGATGGGGAGGCAGGCAATGATTTACCAGGAAAGGGATTTGGGGCGTCATGGTAAGTAGCTCGCCTTTACCCATTGTGAAAAGGGCAAATTATCCATTAGGTAAAGGAATCTAATTACTGTATCTTATAATGCCTTTATATAAATATGTGGCACAGCCACACTTAGAATAGTCTAGTCACTGCACCTCAGAAAGGATATTGAAGAGCAGGAAAAAGTGCAGAAAAGGGCAACCAAAAGTATCAAGGTGTTGGAGCAACTCTCCTATGAGGAAAGGTGACAGCATTTGGGACTTTTTAGTCTAGGAAAAAAGTGAGCATGGTTGACTATGGAATTTGCTACCACAAGATGTAGTGATGTCCACCAGCTTGCATAATTTAAAAGGGGATTAAACAAATTCATTGGGGATAAGACTATAAATGGGCAGTAGTTTGATTGAGGAGATAGTATATAGCCACCCGGGGCAATATGCTGCTGAATACCAATCACTGATAAACAATAGCAGTAGAGGGCTATCACACTCGTGTCTTGCCTATGGGCTTCTTAAAGGCATGTGATTGACCACTATGAGAAACAGGAAGCTGGACTAAATAGGTCTGGTCAAGCAGGGTTGTCAGTTCATTGGAAATTTAGTTCTGAGCATCCTAAGTTTTGTATTTATACTCTCAGTAATTTATAACTTTATTAAGCCATTTAATGTTTATTTATAACTTATGCGAGGTGGGTGGCGCTGTGGTCTAAACCACTGAGTCTCTTGGGCTTGCCGATTAGAAGGTCAGCAGTTCGAATCCACATGATGGTGATGAGTTTCTGTAGCTCTGTCCCAGCTACTGCCAACGTAGCAGTTTGAAAGCAAACCACCACAAGTAGATAAATAGGTACCGCTGTGGCAGGAAGGTAAACAACATTTCCATGTGCTCTGGCACTCGTCACGGTGTCCCGTTGCACCAGAAGCAGTTTAGTCATGCTGAACATATGACCCAGAAAGCTGTCTGTGGACAAACACCAGCTCCCTTGGCTTGAAAAACAAGATGAGCGCCGTACCCCATAGTTGCCTTTGACTGGACTTAACTGTCCAGGGGTTCTTTACCTTACCTTTAACTTTATTAAACCATTTACTTGACCATTATTTTGTCTTAAATTTTAAATTAAGATCTTTTCTATGAGAAAGGTACTAATTATTTTTATCATTATAGATCCTTGTTAGATATGCATGACTATAGGATGGCCAGTGAAGTTGTAAAATGCAATGTGATGGTAGCATTGCCTGCTTTAGTTAACCGGGGTCTGGTGTAGTCAAAATGTTCACTATTGCAAGCATGCTCAAAAACTGGTCATCCAAGGCTCCTCTTGTATTGGGAGCATTTTCTTTCTCTATCCATACCCCTCAGTTAAGTATTTTATTGGCACCAATATTAACTATGGAGCTTGTCAGGTGCAACCAGAACAGTAGCCTCCCAGCAGCGATGTCACTGCCGTTACCAGAAGGAAAGGTGTAGTTTGGGCTGTGTGGATGCACTGGAGGCAGTACTGGATGAGGTTGGCCAGTGTGGCCCAACCTTGCTGCCATCTTGCCCCTTCCCTTCTCTGGCCTGGTAAGTGGCAGCAACTCTGCTGACACAGGAGGCTATTGCTGCACCTCCACCCCACCAGGCAAGCCACTTTGGGGAGCTTGTCAGGGTTCGCACTTTACCCTAGTTGTATTAACAGGGAACTCTAGCTATCCTTGTGCTTAGTTTTGGCGGCGGTGCAAAGCTTCACCATAATAAAGAGAAGTGGAATGAAGTGATAGAGAGGGATCTGGTGGTGGAGTATGCAATTTCATGGCTCATTCCCAATCACTTAACTGTGCTTGTGAAGTAGAAAAGCATGTCTACACTGGCACTTATGATTGTTCTTTCTTTTGATTCATGCTCATCAAATTGTATTGGGTTTTTTTTTTTTAATAAGATGATGTATTATAGGAGAGCACAAAGTTTATTTTTGAAGTGTATGTGCCTCAGAATTGAACCTGTTTTGTTAAAAGGCATTTTATCTTGACTTCTTTTCCCCCTTAGCATCTGATTATACTGAAATTTTTATTTACATGAGGATAGGTTAGGTTGTTATAAGCACTACATAATACCAGCAGGCATATCTTCTGCTGCTACTCTTATGACATGAAAACATAAGAAGAGCCTGCTGGATTGGGCCAGTGATCCAACATCCTGTTCTCCCAGATGCCTGTCGGAAACCCACAAGTGGGACCTGAGCACAAGAGCGCTCTCCCCCCTTTGATGTCCAGCAACTGATATTCAGAAACATGCTGCCTCCAACTGTGGAGGTGGAGCACAGCCACCTAATAATAATAATAATAATAATTAATAATTTATACCCCGCCCATCTGGCTGAGTTTCCCCAGTCACTCTGGGCTGCTCCCAGTCTTGTGTTAAAAACAATACAACATTAAATACAGTGGTACCTCGGGTTACATACGCTTCAGGTTACATACACTTCAGGTTATAGGCTCCGCTAACCCAGAAATAGTACCTCGGGTTAAGAAGTTTGCTTCAGGATGAAAACAGAAATCGTGCTCTGGCGACGCGGCAGCAGCAGGAGGCCCCATTAGCTAAAGTGGTGCTTCAGGTTAAGAACAGTTTCAGGTTCAGAACGGACCTCTGGAACGAATTAAGTACTTAACCACTGTATTAAAAACTTCCCTAAACAGGGCTGCCTTCAGATGTCTTTTAAAAATAAGATAGCTGCTTATTTCCTTGACATCTGATGGGAGGGTGTTCCACAGGGCGGGCGCCACTACCTAGAAGGCCCTCTGCCTGGTTCCCTGTAACCTCACTTATCACAATGAGGGAACCGCCAGAAGGCCCTCAGCGCTGGATCTCAGTGTCCGGGCTGAACGATGGGGGTGGAGACGCTAGTAGCCATGGATAGCCATTGATATTTAAGTTTCTTTTACACACTAAGGCCTAGGGCAGAGTAGGGATGGAGGAGATTTTCATTGGGTTTGCATTTTTAAATGAATTGACCCAATTCACACATCCTGGATTAATAAATAAATTAGACCATAGTTATCCTTCAGAGTTTGCTTTTCTCTAGTTCTCAGCTCAAAAAAGTACCTAAATGCATATTTTAGCATGAAATATGTACATTGAGATAAATTATGTATTTAAGTACAATTTAAATGCAATCTTTTGCACAGACCTTAAAAAATGCAGGTCAAAGATGATATGGGACAGATCGGACTCATGAATAAACACATGTAAAATTGGCACAGACTGGAAATAAACTCATCTGTTCATGGCTAGCACAGATGTAACAATCTCAAACTGATCAACCATGGTTTTATCTGTCCAAGAATTAATTATATGGCTGCATGTTCTTTGTGTTCCAAGATTCAGTGCTGACATTTTGGTTTATTTAAGCCACTGTTTCCCATTACATCTTAACTGAGAAACTGTGATTTTATTCCCTGCTTCCTAACATGGCATTGAACTGAGGCAAGGGGTTAGAAGGGAACATGCAGGAATGTATGTGTTCTTGGGCCAATAAACGGTGGTGTAGCAGCCTAAATTGCTTACATCTCAGCTGAGCAGAGATGCCTTGCAGCTAGCTTTAAAAATGATTCTTTGTTTTTATTTAAATGTTATGTACCCAAAACATTGTATCAATATTTGTGATACTAAAACTTTATTATCTGAAATTTACTGGTGCAAATTTGTTTTAAAAACACTAGGAATTGCATATTTTGTGGAGAATACCTTATAAAATATATTCAAAAGTGTCTGTTGCTCTTCTTCTAGGTTAGTGACACCTCCCAATTGGGCAATACAGACTAACTTGATAGAGATTTTTTTGGGGGTAGGGAAAGGTTAAAGTCAGTGTCTTCTAAGGGTTGTATGTTCCTACTAATGTTATAGAAAATATATGCAAAAAGCACCTAGAAAACAGAAGATTTGCATATATAATGTGTAAAAGATCTGAAATGTGGGGATGACAGTGAAGCTTCTGGAAACTTTGCCAGACTTCTCTGACCACTCAGAAACTGACTGCTTGCCTTCCAAAAACCCACATTTCTTAGACATATTACCACCAAAATATCACAATATCTCAATATATCATGATATATATCTGCGGGGGCGGAGGGCCTTGCTGGGCCTCCCTGCGGGGGCAGAGGGTCCAGCCATACCTCCCTGCAGCGGTGGAGGGTGTGCCGTGCCCCGCCATGGCAGCAGACGGGGCCATACATCCCCACAGTGACAGAGAGTGCGCTGCGCTTCCCCATAGCAGCAGAGGGCTTTGCCATGCCTTCCTGCAGCCGCAGGGGATCCTGCCATACTTCCCCGTGGTGGTGGAGGGTGCACTGTGCTTCCCCAAAGCAGCAGAGGGCCTTGCTGTACCTCCCCGTGGCAGCAGAGGGGCCCACCATACCTCCCCATATGAATGATTAAAACTACAAATAAGACAGCAGCAACAGGACTTGTTCATGTGCTTTTCTTGCTAATAATGCAGTACGCATGACAGAAGCTTGAGTCATGTCTACATGGCAATGTTTGCTACAGACTACTATTTGGGTCAAGTGTCCTAAAACAAAATACCGGTAAGTTTCACGGATTGAAATGGAAATATTACAAGAAATATATTTCATATATGTTATTAATAAAGTCCACTTTTAAACTTTTTTCCAGGGGAAGATGGTGCAGGTAAAACAAGTTTAATTGGAAAACTTCAGAGAATTGCTGAATACAAGAAAGGAAGAGGAATGGAATATTTGTACTTAAATGTACACGATGAAGACAGAGATGGTAAGTACCAGTTCTGATAACAACAACAGTGAGTAATTATTCATTGCTTGGGAATATTCCAGATTTTAAAAATGTATGGCATTTTCACTAGTCAGCAACTTCCAGATTCTATCTCCAACTTATTATCACTGCATTTCCTTGTTTTCTGTTCAGGGAAGGGAGTTTGCAGGCAAAGGAGAATGAATGGTATGGGGAGGGTGCCTTCAGGGAGAATGAGTGGGGGGTTTTGGGTGGTGGTGGTGAGTGATGTTAACAATACCAGAGTGGAATAAGAACTGAAAGAGGACCCTGCTAGATTGGGCCAAAAGCCCACCTAGTCCAGCATTCTGTTCTCACAGTGGCCAACCAGATGTCTGTGGTAAGATCACAAACAGCATAACATTCACCTGCTTGTGAACCCCAGCAACTATCACTTGGAGGCATGTTGCTTTTGATATAGGAAGTAGCATAGTCATCAGGACTAGATACCCATGAATTTGTATAACCTTCCCTTAAAGCGGTCCATCAGAGCATCTTCTAGGAGCGAATTCCATCGTTTAACTACACATTGTGTGAAGTTCTTCAATTTAATTTGATGATCCCTAGCTCTAGTGCTATGAGATAAGGAAGGAAAACTGTCTATTGACTTTCTCCATACTTGTACACTTCTATTACAGTGGTACCTCGGGTTAAGTACTTAATTCGTTCCGGAGGTCCGTTCTTAACCTGAAACTGTTCTTAACCTGAAGCACCACTTTAGCTAATGGGGCCTCCTGCTGCTGCCACGCCGCTGGAGCACGATTTCTGTTCTCATCCTGAAGCAAAGTTCTTAACCCGAGGTACTATTTCTGGGTTAGCGGAGTCTGTAACCTGAAGTAAATGTAACCTGAAGCGTATGTAACCCAAGGTACCACTGTATATCCTTTCCCTTACTTGCCTTTTCTAAATTAAAAAAGCCCTCAATTTGTAATATTTCCTTAATTTTGCCTCTGGTCTCTCACCTTCTACTTCCCGTTTCCCTTCTCCCCTTTTATCCTAAATCTTCCCAACCTATTTTTCCTTTAGTTTTCCTGCCTTTTCCTTTTATATTTCTCCTTCTCTCCCTCCTTTCTCCACTCTAAAATTTCTTTTTTTGTGCTCTGAAATACACATAAGAATCCATATTGTGTAGCTTAGAATACTGCAAGCTTTAGAAACCTGATCAACATCAAAATTGTCTCACCGGGCATATTGCTAGTCAAAAGATTTAAAAACCGTGCTTGAGAACTATCTGCTATCCAAATTCATTCAAGAGTTTTGACCTTTAACCATTATCATTCTAATAGTATATTTATAAATACTAGCAGTGAGTACCAATGGTAGTCATATTTCAAGAAGAGCCATTTAAATCGGTTCATTGTTTTTAATGAGTGAAAATAACTCATTTGGATATTGTCCACTGATAATAAACTATGGTACATGTTAAGAACACCTTATTTATGTTTTTTTACAGATCAGACACGATGTAATGTATGGATACTGGATGGTGACCTCTATCATAAAGGTCTACTTAAATTTGCATTGGAAGCTATCTCTCTAAAGGACACTTTGATTATGTTGGTGGTGGACATGTCTAAGCCATGGGCTGCTTTAGACTCTTTACAAAAATGGGCAAGTGTTGTAAGGGAGCATATTGACAAACTAAAAATCCCTCCTGAAGAAATGAAAGAAATGGAGCAAAAAAGTGAGTACATACACTTTATAGATGCTAGAAAAATATTTATTGAATTCATCTTTGTGTAAATGTACGCTTTTGTGATATGTTTGTCTATTACAGGAAATGTAATGCCAACATGTTTGTCAGCTGATTTAACTATATTCACTCTTATGCTTTATAACAGTTTTATAAGGAGTTTCTCTTGACCATGTGAATTCTCATTATAATATAACTATAGTATCTAATGTATGTAGCATTATCTTTGCAACCTGTCTTGGGAATGTCATGGTTTAGCACATGATAATAGATTCTGCTGAATATTTGTTGTCAACATAAGATTTTTTAATCCATTGTAAAACTTTGTTATATGAAATTCAGTGCCAGAGCAAAAAAGTTAGTTACATCCTTTTAATTCTGATAGTTTTTAGCTTTTAGCTAAATAATGCGGAAATGTTATCTGGACTTGGATGCACTAAAATGTTAGTCATGTGGATAGGGTGATTCAGTAGGCTCAAAACTTCTGAAAGCAAATATTACCAAAATCTATTCTGCTACAGCAGCTCATTTTGTGCATGCATGGAGCTGTTGAGAGCTTCTCTATATAGTTTTTGATACACAAATAAAAGAGAAGTCCTTACTCAAGCAGAATCATGAACAGTGGCTTGCTATATCTATGGAAATTGATCCCATTTTTTTCTTTTTTTCTTTTGTAGTCTAGTCTCCTGTGCCAACGTTTAGATTGTAAGCTCCTTGAGACAGGGCCCTGCCATATTGTGTATTATTATTATTGTTGTTGTTGTTATTATCGTTGTTGTTGTTGTTAGAATTTCTTTACCGCCCTATACCTGGAGGTATAAAGTGCAATGCACATCAATGGTATTTAACAACAATTCTTAAATTGATAAACCATTCTTAAAATGATAAACAACAGCTGGAAGAATGAACTGTGAAGATGTAATGCTTAAGTTTAGTGGGCTTGGAAGGGATGCATTGGGGGGGTGTTCTCTGTTCTGTGGAATGCAAATTCTTCACCTAGAAGATCAAAACCTGTGCTCAACAAATTTTATAGTAACTCAATTTAATCATTTTGAGTGCAATATTTTTATTTCTCATATAGTTATTTCTCATATAGTTCAGGGTATTTGTTTATTTTTGTAGAAAATGGTGAAGGAGAAGAATAAGTTCTATGCATTAGTAAGAAGAGCAGTTTTATTTAGCAGAGGTCTTACCACTGTCACCTTTGCTTTGACTTTTCGGAAGGCTCTGCTTTCATACCTTTTTCATACTCTTCTAAGCAGCTTCCTAGGATAGAAATTTCCTGTATAAAAAAAAATAGAAATGCTTCGCCTTCTAAATTCAGTGTACCCTGTACACGCAGGGGTGAAGAACTAAATTCAGGCCAAGGACCACATTACTCTAGTGGAAAGCTGACAGGAACTGCATTCCAGCCTCAATAGTGTTTTTAATGAGACCTACACATTGTTAACACACCATAACATTCACACACAAAAGTCTTTCTTCTTGGAGATGGAAGTATATATTTAATTTTTAGTATTTACTCGGGTTTCATTTTCAATTTTCTCCATAGACTTTTGTTTTTATAACATTTGCTAAAGTGTGCTGGTGAGCTTTTTTCTGTTCTGACTTTACCTAAGGCACAGTTGCAACACAAGAATTAAAATAACATCAAAATACAGTTGAACTGTGAACTGTTCAGAGTCACCAACTTCAATATGCTCTTGCATCACAAAAATCGCATCCAATTGCAAATTACTTGGGCACTTTTTGTATATTTGCAGGAAGCCCGTCACTCACTCTCTCAATATGTTTTCCCTTCTGCAGCTGATGTTCTTGCAGAGGAAGGAGCTGTTTGTATGTTTTACACACCATCACAACACAGCCCCTTTACTTCCCTACTCAACAGCTGATTAGGAGGATATTTAGAGGGCCAGCTGAAATTCTGTTGATGGGTGAGGGTTCCTTGCCCCTGCTGTACACATTCTGCATTATGTAGCAGGTATCTGAAGTACACATTGCATTAGCACAGCCCTCATTGCAAGCTAGTGAAAGGAGTGATCTTTGAAATAAATATTTTGGGGGGGTTAAATGTTACATACAAATATGCATATAAGAGTACCAAAACGGAGTTTCTCGTCTTTTCACCCCTCTGTTTTAATTTTAAAGCAAAGCAGCTTCAAGAGAAGATTACTCAGACTTGGATAAATACTAGGAAGGAATAGGTGCTTTGTCCCCACCAGCTCCTTTTCCCAAATCACACCTTTCTGAAGTGGTTCATAAAATATTGTTTGTGCTTTGACATGTACCTTTGGCCCATAACGTGTACTGAGCCTCTTAATGTAACTAGTCAGTGCCTTGTAATTACTATATGCGCTGTACTATATGGCCCTACTATCTGTACACATTTCATAAATATGATCTCTTTTTGTGTTCTTCCTGTATTTTAATTGTTGCAAACTGTTTTGATAATTTGTATGAAACTGTAATACAAATATTTTTAACATTCCAGCTGCTGAGAAGTTGGCTTTCTAAAGTTAAAAAACAAACAAATCCTTCTTAGATTAGTCCCAAAAGAAGATTGTGGTGGTATGATAGTGGAAGCTTGCATGTGTTGTCAGAAGAGGCCTTATGAGGTCTTATAAGCGTTGCATCTTTGCTGCAAAATGCTCCCATTGTCTTCCCTTCCATATGCTTCTATTGTCTTTTTACCATCTACGTTTCACTTACCAATCAATAAACCATCCACTGAAACTAATAGGTGTTGTTGACAAACGTACAAATCAGCAACAACAAAACAACAGCTTTCGTCACTTCTTTCTTGAATACAATCTAAATTCTGGAATTTCCAGCACAAAACAATATTGGCTTAAAGCCAAACAAATTAGTAATAAAGCTGGCATTTAGGGAGTTTAAGGTGCCTAAAAGATCTGCATGGGAGGATTTTTTTGCTGTATGTATCTTAAGTTTGGGGTCCAGAAGTAAGTTCATTCCAGTATTGTTGAGAGTTTTGTTTTTTGGGTAACTTAGCATCTTTTTAAAATGCCAGACTCTAGATTTACCAGTCTTCACTGAAACATTTGGAATATAAATTTGATAACCTATTACATCCTGTATTTGACATAAACCTTACAGAATTTGGGTTAAATAAAATAACTACTGCTGCCCTCATGGTTAAAAAAACAAAACAAAACCCTAAAATGTTTGGGTTTGCCGCTTTATATCTACTTATATTTATATATGTTTTATCTATTAACTAGCTTGCCTTAGTTCTTAACTTTTGCTGTCTATTGTGCAGTATAAACTTGTGCCGAAGAACTTAGTTACAAGTAGAGTATATTTCAAAATGTTTAGAACTATTAATTGAATTAACATTGTTCTTTTGAAAGACTGATTTTTAAATTTTGCCGCTTCCTTGAATCCCTGTTTGTTTGTTTGTTTGTTTGTTTGTTTGTTTGTCTATCCCTATGTCCTTTTAATTGTATCTGTGGGAGGGGTTATTGATTTGTTTTTGTTTTTATTATGTACTTTGTGTATTCATTTTGTATTTTTATGTTGTGAACCACCATGTGGACTTTGGATGAAGGGTGGTATACAGATAATAATAATAATAATAATAATAATAATAATAATACTTCTTTGAGTACTTAGGAAAACATAAATTGACATCTTAAAACTAGCAAAGCTAAATAGAATAAAAAATATTTGGTACAAATACAGACTCCCAGGAACGAAGTACTTGCTTGATTCATTTTTTTCTTTCTTATTTCAGTTGTAAGAGATTTTCAGGAATACACAGAACCAGGGGAAGACTTTCCAGCTTCCCCACAGAGGAGAAATACTTCATTACAGGAGGACAAAGATGACAGTGTCATTTTACCGCTGGGTGCCGATACACTAACATGCAACTTAGGCATTCCTGTAGTAGTAGTTTGTACAAAGGTTTGTTTCATGTTTCAGATTATGTTTGTACAGCAGAATTTTTTTTTAAAATGATTTTAAATTTCAAGTAACAAGACATAGCTATACAAGGAAAACAGAGCTTACAGAATATTTTTTCAAATGGGGTGGGGGTGGGAAAGCTTCTATTAAATAAAACCATTTTGAATACTGCACATTGGTTTTCCATCAGCTTAAGTATTCTTCACTTTCTCAAGTGTAATATTTAACACATTGTTTGAGCAACTGAACGGAGATGCTTTGTACTGCAGGTATAGATTTTAATTAATAGCCTGAATTCCGCAAGACTGTATAATGGATGGCAGCCTTTATATTAAAAATTAGAAAGTTATTTTAACCATTTTTTGCCATATAACAAAAATGTAACAATGTCATTGCGTAGCACCCATTGGAGGAGTTGTAGTGCCACATCATAATCGTGGATTTGCCTGAAGTCAGGGTGGAGTAGGGGAACAAAAGTGAAGGCAGGTTGCACAGTTGCAAGGCAATGGCATGGAAGTGAGAAGGGAGGACCACTGAGAGGGGAAAACTCATGGTTTAAAATAATGGCAGAAGTTTGAGTGAAGCAGGGATAGAAGGAACTGAGGAAAATGGCAGAGGTTTGCGTAAACTGGAATACTTGAGGGCTCCACATTCTTTATCTCTCTTACATGAGGCAGCTGAGGAATGAAGGAGGGAGAAGTTTGAGTTCTGCAAGGAGGGAAGGACATTGAAAAGTTAAAATTAGCTATAATTTTAAACAGTGTCAGAGGTTGAAGTAAAGCAGTTATGGAAAGGCACTGGGAGGAAAATGGCAGTTTTAAGCTATGATAGAGGTTTGAGTAAAGTTGTCTGGAAGAACCATCAGTCTCTAGTAAGTGGGTCAAGGAGTGCAGCTAAGTTATTATTTAAACTAAAAACTTCGTTGGAATTTTTCGGGAGGAAAACCCCCCTCAATATTCTGTTCTTTATTCTCTATATCTTATCACCTGTCTTCTCAGTATCAGAGAAGGGTGATCAATCTTCCCATGCAGTAAGAAAATGCATACTAAACAAATTCTTTAGAATATATTTTATCCTATAAATATTTTAACAAGTTTTACCAAATGCCGAATATTGGTTCAGGTTTTTATTTATATCTCTTGTATTTCAAATTTTTATGTTCTAAATCTTAATGGGCTAAGTTCCCAAGAACCATAAATTAGTTCCACAGGTCCCAAGAAGCCTGAATTCCTAAAGCCATCCCGAGGAGACTTTCAGTTTCTAATGTAGCATCAAGGCAACAGTGTGTGAGAGATTGCCATTAAAAAGAAAGAATGAAAAATGCTGCTGAGTGCATTGTAGCCTGGAATGTGCTGCAGTAGCTCTTTGGATCCTGGCCTTCATGAATAGATTCCAGAAAAAGAGAAATATTAAGATATCTCTATAGAAGTTTTTCACATTGGAGGTAGTAAAATGCAAAGATTATATATTTCATAGCTAATATGAACAGTGGGAATTTCTATAATTGCAGTGATGGTAAGTTACAGATGCAATCATGATCGAAATTGCATTATTATTATTATTATTTATTATCATCATCATTATCATTATTATTATTACTCCACAGTGTGATGCCATTAGCCTGCTGGAAAAAGAGCATGATTACAGAGATGAGCACTTTGACTTCATTCAGTCGCACATCCGACGGTTTTGTTTACAATGTATCCTTTAAAATGTAGATTTATTATTAAAATTACAACTGGATTCAGATAATCTGAGAAGCCCCATGATTTGCTGGGTCATCTTTTATCAAGTCACTGCAAGCCTTGGACTCTCATGTAATCTGAATGATAGTGATAAGTGCTGAGTTTAGATGATCATCCCTCTGTTTACTAAACTAAGATATGAATGGCCTTTACAGACCCTCTGTAATTGCACCAATAAACCTCTAATCAACCATAGTTTCCAATTTCATCCAAACCAAGAAACTAGGTTAAAGTATAGTTTGAATTGGTTTAATATCTTGGTTTGTTCTTGAACCCATAATATCCCATTTTGCAAACTGGTTAGTTAAAGGCTTCCTGGTTTGGTTGTTAGAGTAGTGTAGGAGTTTAATATACAGGCAAAAACTTCCTATCTCAGCTCACAAAGCCTGGATATAATGTCTGAACCAATGGCTCTGAGAGTTGATAAGCAAAGCATATTTGGTGGTGCACTTATGTGCCATGGCCCAGAATTATTTCAGGGATGCCCAAGGACCTGGCCATGCCTAGGGGAATTTTTTACTTCAAATATCAGAAACTGATCTATATCAGAAACTATATCAGAAACTGCATTTTAAATAGTTTATTTCCAAAGTGGCTATCTGTGTGGTATGAAGAGCTGCTGTTTGAGAAATACAATGCAAAAGCATCCCCTGGGCATACAGAATAAGCTTTACTGTTCTTTGGAGTCTGACCCTGTTACTACCATTTCATAGCAATTATATCGTTCAAAGTTAGTTTTGACAAAGCAAATACAAATGCTGTTCTTCAGTAATTGGCATTCACACCAGAACTGAAACATGGTGATTACAGTATTAAGCACAGCAATAATTACTGGTATCCTGTTCTGCTTCCAAGACTCTCAGGGAAATAAACACAGCTAGGCATGTGCCTTATAAGTCGAGATGGGAAGCTGGATAGCGCCTAGTTATTTGAAAGTTAAGATGGGTGCTTTATGCAAAGGATATCAAAGTGAAGGAAAAGCTGTATCCCATGTAGATAGCAGCATGTTTGTCCATCACAGGGGTGATTGAACATTTTTCAGCTTATGACTAACCCCTTGCATTTAGGTAGGTAGAGCTGACTATCAGACGCAAACAAATGCAAACAACCAATTCTGCCCTCCCCTCTCCATCTCAAAAGTCTGTTAAGAACCACCTGAAAACCCTTAAGAGAACTGGCTTTTCTTGTCCTTAGCTCCTCCCAATGAGAAAAGGCAACATGGAGCTACGGGGAGGGGAAGAAGACTCTCAAGTAGTAGAACATCACAAAACCAGCAATTTCAACAAAGTTCCTTTCCTCACCTCTCCTTTTGGGGCTGGGCTTTGAAGACAAAGTGGGCCATTGGTGGGTCAGATGTGGAGAGGCTTTAGGGCCCGGAAGATGACTGGGGGCCGCCAGTAGTTCCCACCGCTAATGTGGTGTAGGTGTGAAGCCTTCATACCTACATGGAAGTGCGGCTTGTGTAGGAAAACAGAACAAAAATTAGGAAGGCACCCAAGTTGTCTTTTAACAGAAATTGTTGATGAAATGAATTTGCTCTTCCGCTTGAGAGTTTGGGCGAGCCTGCTTTCCCCTAACAGTTTATGTGTCAATGTTTGGCTTCTATACTCTGGTGCATGTTTTACAAGAGGAGGTAATATACACAGATATTTTAAAGTATGTCATCACACACTTAATGTTATAACACTTTGCTGCTGGGTGAATGTTACAGAAGTATTAAAGTATCACGAATAGTTTCTTGCCACTGCCGAGCAGAAAAATACACCCACGTTTTCTTTAACAAATAACTCAGATGGTGCAGCACTTATTTACACTTCAGTAAAGGAAAATAAGAATATTGATTACGTGTATAAATTTATTGTCCAGAAATTATATGGATTCCCCTTCAATATATCTGCTTCTGTTGTGGAAAAAGATGCAGTATTTATGTAAGTTACTTAGTTATTGGGTGTCTTGTATTATAAAAAATGTGTTTCATTGTATCCCTAACCCCTAATAAGAGTGCTCCTGTTCAGGAACCAAGCGTGTCTGAAATAAGAGTATTGTAACAATGTTTGTAGTTCAATGGTATGGTAAAATTTCAGGAGGTGGAAGAGGAAAAATGACTACTGTTTTATTTTTTTCTTCCCTGCTGTGCTAAGGACTTTCAATTCCAAACTAAAGTGCTTTATTATTATATTTTGGGTGAGGTTTGCAAAAAGAAAAGAAACCTCTTCCTATGTTTCAGGAGGAATTTTTTTTAACCTCATGGTGAGCATCCATCTTGGACTTAAAATGAAAAATAAAATTCCTGCTCTGCCTTAAGAAACAGGGTTCTTTGTATAAGATGGGATTGGACAGAAGGTGAACCAAACCTTGAACAACTGAAATTCAAGATGTGACACTGTGTTTGCTTTCAGTCCTGCAGGATGGGACAATGAAAAGAAGATAGGAATATTACATGAGAACTTCCAGACTTTAAAAGTGGGTGACAATTTTGAGGATATAATAACAAAGCCTCCGGTCAGAAAGGTAACTGTTTCCTGTGTTTAGAAGAAATACCTTTAATTTAACACATTGCCTTGTTAGTGATCGGTGGGGTGGCGGGAATTTCTAACACTGATTGCTCAGTGCAGTGACAACAACTCAAGGAAGCTTATCACTGATAACAACATCGTAACTACTAACTATAAACTGGCCATCTCTATATTAATTTAGTCTACATAGCTGATCTAAATGTGTAATAAGGGTTGTCAAATAAATTAGTGTCATTTATTATGTGCCTTCACACTACATGAAAACAAAGATGCAGTTTTTAAGGAGTTGTGCCAGCTAAAAAAAAATCTGCACACAATAAAGCAGGCAAAATGCCATTGCCTAATAATATAATGAGCCTCAGTGCAAAGATCTTGAATTACAGACATAAGAACAGTCCTGCTGATCAGATCAGTAGTCCATGTGTTCCATCTTTTTTTATACAATAGCCAACCATTTTCCAGGGAAGCTCAACAGGAATAAAAGCAATAGTTCACCCTCATTTGTCTCCAGCAGCTGGGTATTCAGTGTTACGGTCCACAATCAGACATTTTGTTTGAAGAGAAAACAAGTAGGGGGTGTGAGTCTGCATGTGCCAGACCCACCTGCCCAATCCCTGACTTTCCTGCCTTGAGTAAGGAGGTCTGAAAGGAGCTCCTAAGTGCATTTTGTTGAACATGCTTAGAAGCCTCCCTGTGATCAGGAATCATGAAAACACAGGTTTCTTGATCACAGAGGTCTCTAAGTGCATTCTGCTGAATGTGTTTTGAAATCCCCTTCAGACTTCCCACTCAATATGGGACAGCGATATTGGAGGCAGGGACAGTGCATATGCCTGTGAACCCTATTTGTGGTGGTGTTGCATATTCAGACATAATATCTTGAACATAGGAGATCTCTTTAGTAATCAAGCTGAATGGCAGAGCTTGATAAGCATCTCAACAGCTAAATCACCATTGTGAGGTGGAGACCTATCCTGACTCAACAGCATTTTATAATGGGGAGGGCGGGGTATAAATAAAATTTATTATTATTATTATTATTATTATTATTAAAGAATAAGAGCAAGGCTTCCCTAGCAGATCTCAAGAAAAATGTATTATTCACATGGGTAGAGACACTCTCAGAGATAGACTGGGTCCAAGCTGTACAAGGCTTTGAAGGTCATAATCAATACTTGGAAACTGGGATTGGTAGCTCATAGGCAGCCAGCCCAGGTGAGCCAACTAATGTGTCCTTTGTAGCCAAATGAATGGGCTGCTGCATCGTGCACTTGCTGCAACATTTGAACCATCTTCATGAGCTTTTCATCCACTTGTTCCAGTAAATATTTGTGATTGTGTTATTTTGAAAAAAAAAATTAGTTGGACATCTCTTAATGGCTTTCCCCCCTTTATTGCAGTTTGTACATGAGAAAGAGATAGTAGCAGAAGATGACCAAGTATTTCTTATGAAGCAACAGGTGTATATTCTGCATATTCATTTAATCTAATTTCATTTAAACTAAAATTAAATTTGTGATGGAATTTGCCAACAACTTTTTGTTCCAAAATTTCTCTTTCATTTTGTTTTTCAGTCCCTGTTAGCAAAACAGCCACCTACTGCAGCTGGAAGACCAGTGGTTAGTAGTAAATACTTAAATACTAATAACTTAGCAGTACATTTATTTGGATCCAATTTTGGTGCTCTTTTTTGGTGAAGTATTTAATACTTTGATATCTGTAGCTGAAAGCTTGCTTGCTGCTATTAGGCTTCAGTCCTGTACCTACTTACCTGGCAACAAGCCCCACTGAACAAAATGGGGCTTACGTCTCAGATATGTACAAGGTTGGGCTGATAATGGGTTGTATCCAATGAAGTCATCCTGTTTGCACGACTTTGCCGGGTACAGTTCAGTGCCTTTATCAGCTTTTTGTATTAAGAGTGTTTTGCAGAAAAAATTCCCAAAACATATATTATAATGTGCAGACTTTTCAAGTTACTCTCTGGGGACATGGAAAACAGTGCTAGTCAACATTGTTTTGTTTGTTAAGTGTGCATTTCAAAACTTTGCCAATTTCTAAATGTGAATGCCATGAAGTAAATTTGGGGATTGTTTCTTTCCCAATAGAAATTATTACGTATTTTCCTAGCCTAGAAAATGTTTCTTAAAAGCCTGCCATAGGCTGTGCCTGCCCTTTGTGTAATGCCCTTCATCTGATAAAACTGGGGAGTTTGGGGCAGTGGCATGGCATTTTTCCATAATCTTTTAAATAAGTATTTTTGTAGTTGCTTTTATAGACTAAGTAGTCTATAACTGCTTTCTTTTTACCAGACACTTCTTAATCTAAAGCTAATTAATTTTTTTATTTGCTATGAATATCTCATAATTCAGAAATGTCCCTCTCAAAATGGAACTGACAGCTCAGCATTTCAGTCTAAGTATTTCATTGTATTTTCTAATTCTATGTAGGATACCTCACCGAGAGTCCCTGGAGGATCCCCTAGGACACCAAACAGATCGGTTACTTCCAATGTTGCCAGTGTTACAACCATCCCTGCCGGATCCAAAAAAATAGATCCTAGTATGAAAGGTAAAACATAATAATAGTTTTGCAACCTAAATATTCTAAACATTGACATCCTAGTAGCAAAGTGTTGCATACTTCCCCCTTTCTAAAATAATTTTACTCTATGGAGTATTGATAACTTTTAAGTTTCAAACTAAGGGAAGCAATTACTTATACTTTAATTGGATTAAATTTGCTGAAATTTTGAGGATTTCTTTTTAAAAATAGGAAGCGTTCTTGTGAATTGAACGAAACAGAAGTTCTAGTTCATTGCGTATTTCCCCTATTTAAGACTTTGCAAGAAATAGCTTGATCTATTAAGTAAACACTAGAAATGTGGTCTGTTGAAGAAAAACTGTTCTGGTAGTTAAGCAGTGACTCACTGTTTCTAATGTACTCCGGGATGTTGACATTTATGTTCAGCATGCAAAGTAATCACTTTGATGTAGTTGACTTCCTCAGTGGGTTAGATCCAGACTAAATTAATTGAACTGGAGTCCCCTAAAAACGTGAGACCAGATAGTCATATTTATGGGTGACCTTGGGCTAGTCACACTTCTCTGACGTTTCTCAGCCTCACTCACCTCATAGAGTGTTTGTTGTGGGGGAGGAAGGGAAAGGAAATTGTTAGCCACTTTAAAACTCCTTATGGGGAGTGAAAGGCGGGATATCAAGTCCAAACCCTTCTTCTTCTTCTTCTTTGGATCCCACTGAAATCAATGTAACAGATGTTGATTTACATCTGAATCCAACTCTGTGTGTTTAGTATTGCCATTTCATGTTTTAAAAACTCAAATACAATTAATATGCATTATCAAAATATCTGGGCGGTAACTTCTTTTCAGCTGGAGCCACAAGCGAAGGAGTGCTGGCTAACTTTTTCAACAGTTTGCTGAGTAAGAAAACTGGCTCACCTGGTGGACCTGGTAGTGTTGGTAGTCCTGGAGGAGTAGGGAGTCCTGGAGGCGGGGGTGGCAGCAACTTGCCACCATCTGCAAAAAAGTCAGGTAAGAACAGTATATAAAACATTTTGGTATTACACAGAATGGACACTCCAAGCTAGATGCAGTTTTTTGCTGAAGTGAGAGTCTTTATACAGTACTGCCAAATGTATGACATAAAAAAATCATTTAAAATATTACTTACTGTAATTTATCTGCTCTCACCTTATAATGTTAGGTGCTGGGTAGGATCCAGGATCCATACATTCCTGTGCGTGTTGGATTGTGTGGTATTCTGTGTACTGTTTCTGAATTCCAGAGATAGATGGTGCGGTTGCCCTTTGACAGTCTCACTCAGCTTTGGGGGAGTGGGTGGGCGCAGGACTGGATTGAGTTTTGTCATTTTCCCAAAACAAATGATGGATCCTGTCAAAACCATTTTGGATGTGTGTGTGTGAACCTGATAAAGAAGGATCACTATGTGAGCAGTCCTGCATACGAAATACATTATCCTTCATTTGCATGTGTGGCCCCTTTGTAATGATATCTGTGTGCAGATAGCCCTTGTTTGATCAAGGAGCAAGTTGATTATATGCCTAAGGGAAAGCATTCACAAATGTTTGCCTTGGCAATCTCTGAACCTGCACCTTTCTCGAGTCCTCTGTGGTTGCTAGAGAACTTGGGGTGAAACTGTCTCGTATTGCACCAGGGTTTGGAATACACAACCTGAGCATCACGTAACCCCTGGATAGAGTTGTGGCACTGAGGTATGCACAAGGCACATAATGGGTAGCCAGCAAAAACCTTAGGTTTACCATTGTAAAAACCTGGACCTTTCACAAACTCTAAAGTTTTACTTGCATATCATATATATGGGATATATTGGTCTTCCTTACTGTCCTTTCTGTATGCTATGAGGAACAAGCTAGGGGCCTTTAAGTAAGGAAGGTGAAGCAGATCCAGAGGTGAAAGCCATGGATGTCACATCATTGTTCAGCTCAAATTCTGTCCTGCATTCATGGCATTCTACCTGTATGAGCTGATGACACACACAGAGAACATATGGCTGTTCACATATATTGTAGGTACACTGTGTCTGCATACACGGTGGCTAAATGTGGGGGGTTATACCCTCCAAAACTGCTTTTGTCTCATGTGTTGGTGTAGATCCATTTGATTGTGACACTTGTTTTGCAGACTTGTAAGCAAATACACTTTCCTATAAAACTTATCCTAAGACAATCTAGCTAATGGTAGCAAGAGCCTTGAATGTAGAGTACTGTAGTAATTAATGTTGGAATTACATGACCTCCCACAGTGGGACTGAACCTGTTGTGTTGTGTTTCACCTTAGTTTTGGCCTGCCTTTGTGTGCGCTACTTGTGAAAAACATTTAACTTAAAATTTTGTGTTATGTGCCCTCCTTTATGTATAGGCCAGAAGCCTGTCTTAACGGATGTTCAAGCTGAACTGGACAGAATGTCACGAAAACCAGATCTGGCCTCTCCAACAACACCTACATCCCCCACAGAAGGTGAAACATCTTGAAGACACCAAATATAGCCATTTATTCGATTTTCTGGGATAATTTAAACTTGCCTCTGCCTCTTCCTTCTGTGACTGGGACTAGGGAGCTGAACACGTTCAGAGAAGGACAAGCAGTTGATGTCTTTTGTGTTGCCCAACTTTGTAAAAGGGAACTGTACAGATGGAAAATTATCACACAATGTAAGACTGCTGTTCACAGTACAATGTGGCATTCAGAAATATCGAATTCTGAATTTTGTTTAAGTCAGTGTAATTCTGTAAAATTGAAAGTGTCCACTTAATCATTTGTAATGCAAAAGGCTGCTTGAAGAGTTGGAATGGTGATACTCAACATGGGCACTTAATTTATATTGATCACCCAAACTTTTTAGTTTAATGCAATTTTGCAAATTAACCTCGAGAGGATTTACTAGTTTTTGTTGGAAAGAGATGGATCAACTGTTGTTCTTTTGTGCATCATCAATAAACTAACTCAAATAAAATTTAACACTTCATTTGGAATATGACTTCAGACTGTGCTGGTCTCATTTGAAATCTAAACTGTATTGAACAAACGTGAACTCTTAAACAAGAACATATTGTTCTATTGAGGATTTCCTACCAAGCTCAGTGTGGTCTTTATATTACTAGGCTTAAAGCTGAATAAATTTTGGAATTTAATAATAAATGTTTCCAGTCTAACTGGAGGAGGTCCTGAAACTAAATTTGCTGGAAAACCTTTTTGGAGCATGGATGTATGTTGAAAATAGCAAAGGTTGCTCTCAAATTAAACAGTATAATCACCTGCAGATATATATGTACAATAGACCTACCATACTTTTCATTTTTAAGGGTATATTAGTTATCCATAATCAAGCAATTTCTTCTCAACATATATTTTTATTTATTTCATAAAATTTATACACTACTTGATTGTAAAAAAAAAAAACCCTCAAAGTGGCTTACAAAGATCTAAGTTGTTTCTCAATACATTTAACAAAAGGCCATGCTGATTTTTGCCTTTGATAAAGCCTACATCTGTTTCACACGTACCTCTTAAATAAGCTGTCTTCCGGATCAGTTAAATAAGTGTTAATACTTCTGTAAGACAGTGCTGTATACACTGTTTCTTGCTCAAAGTAATATTTCTTCCTTTAACAAAACAAAACAAAACTGTTCTCTTATAGGACTCCCAATTGTCTCACACCAAGAAACTGATTAGGTTAGTACCTGCTTATCCTTAATGATTCTGCAGCCTTTGACGCTTCCAGGCCAATCATTGGACTCCAAACCAGAATTTCTAACAAACGCCTGTCAAATGCATAGATGTAATTGCAAATGAAATGCTGTAATTCATAAAGGTTAGATTCTGTTTGCTTTCAGAGAGGAACCTTTGCCACAAGACCCTACACTTTATGACAATGAGCAGTTAACTGGTAGTTTTCATTAAGATATACATGGGTTGGAAGCCATACAGCTACTTTAGAATTGTCCACAGTCTTGTGTGTCCTCAGTAGATTCCACCCCCTCCTTCAAATACTCAGCCATGATGGCATATGCAACAGCTTTTGCAATTCCCCTCACTTTCAAAAGCCATGTAGCATGTAAGGATGCTGAACAAAGAAACAAGTCCAAAACACTCTTGCACATAGACTGGCAATGATCTGTAAGTAGATCCATGTGTTTATGAATACTTTGGGCTTGTTTCTTTGAACAGAAAATAAACATGAATATGTGAACAGTATAGCAAACTTGAAAGTGCTGCTTTTAAAACTTCCAGAAAATAGAAAACTTCTCTAGTGTAGAACGTCTACATTCTTGGGCCAACGTTGCTTGAAAAGTTAGTAGTCTACTTTGGGGCATTCTTCTTTGCATTTCCCATATTATTGTTATTTTTCTAAAGAATAGTTTTATCAATGTAAAGCGCTCTGGATTGAAATTCTGCCCCCCCTCAAAATAAGTTCCTTTCTGAGACCTTAAGGAATTCCACAACTACTTGATGGTTGTAGTATTTTACATCATTTAGATCTAACTTTCTTGACTGAATGCTTAACATGACGAGGAGCAACTGTATGAAAGGAGCAACTCTACAAAGCTTTTCATTTCCAATCACATGCATGGCACAAATTTTACTTTTGAACAGATTACTACTATGTAACACAGCGAACTATTTGAGTGTATTTAAGATGTGCATGAGTATATGCTACTGATGCGGTAAGTAACGTATCTTTATTTCAGTTACTTTGTATCCTAGAGTTGAATTGTTTGTTTAATATATTTGTAATTCTTACACGTTGTGGAAGGTATCTTTACTGTTCACATAATATATGAAATGGCTTATCTAAAGACACTAAACAAATGATTTAAGATATATATTACACACTGTGGAGTTCATAAGAAAGTATCCCTCTTGCACACAAAAGTATAGGCAGATATATTTCTCTCTGCTGGTGTAAAGTGCTTTTTTAATAGCAATAAAAGCTTTGAAAGGACAAAAAGGTGCCAGAAGCACTTTTACTTTGTCAGCTACCAATCCTACACAAGAAGCTGAAGGGGAGGAAATATGAGGGAGCATGATGCAGATAGCAACATCATAAAATGAGTAAAAAAATGGGTAGCATACAAATGTAAACTAGATTAAGCTTAGCTGTCTACACTAAGTGCTGGTCAACCCTAGCATAGTTTTAGAATGTGCTCTATCTGCCTTCCAGAGAAAGAGATGATTGTGGAGCTACCAGGGAAAGAGATGATTGTGGAGTTACCAGGGGAAAATATAATTGTGGAACCATCACTGAAAATGTCATTATCCATTCCCTCTTCATTTGAATTTTGCACGTGGTTTGTGTCAAATAGTTCAGAATCAAAGATCACAGTGAGATATAATGGCAGAAGCATCTTTTCAGGTAGGCTGGAGTCTAACTGTTGCATTCAGTGTTTTTTTTACTCATTATCATTAGCATCTTGCATTGTAGAAAAAGTACAGGAAAATTTAGGTCCATATTTTGCAAGGTGAAAAACATACAAGTGGTCCCCCCCCCTATTGATGTACTGACACGAAACACCCTTCCAACTTTTTGTACATAACATTAAACCATAGCTTAATGTGCACACTGCTCAGAAATTCCCATAACTCATCCCTTTCTCCTGTTGCACTGTGGACGAAACAAGCAGGTGTCTGACTTGTCTGATCTTGGGCTTGAGTTCTGTTCCCCCCCCCCCCCAGAAGTCATGAGAAGTAAACAAGGTTTGTTATTAGCTTGCTGCTCATGATTTATTTCGGGAAAACAAACTAGCTTGGGTTTGGATGACATGATAAGCAGACCTGGCTTGTTTTGTCTATGGCACAGCAGGAGGAGGAGTGGGGAATATTACCCTTGGAGTGAACTGGCACACTAATAATTTGCATTAAACCATAGTTGTTGCATAAATATATACATAAATTCAGAAACAGTGTGACATACTACTTAGTAACAGAAAATGCACTCGACAAATAACATCTAAATTAGTATTTCTTTTAACTACTGGAATTTTCCCCAAAGCATATTCCTGTACTCAGAATGACGTTTTCTTAGAAATACCTGCAGTGCCCAATTACTGTTCATGGTTTGAAATCAAGCCATGCAGGCAAAGGTACAGCCTGCAAATTGTTGAGTCTTGCAAAGCACTGTGCATGGAGCTCCACAAGACCTGACAATCTGCTTTGCACAGGGCTTTGTAGCCACTGCGGGTCAGCTGTGCCTGAAGTTTTGGTCCAGCTGCATCTTTTCCTGTCTCATTGCTATCATCATATATGGCATCAAATGTAAGGCAGCTAGTGTGGTTTGGTGGAAATGGGCTGGCAGACTTAATTAGACCCATGGGCTGGAGGCCCACTGCTAAGGTATAGGATTACAGCCTTAGTCATTAGTTTATATTCCTAAATCATGTAATGACTCTAAAATTAATTTGAGCTCTCTGGCAGATATCATGACTTAATATTTTATTCTTCTCTCACACACTTGTCATCTCCTTGTTTACACTACACCCTATCAAGAAAGGGAAGCTTTATTATTTAAATGTAAATTTAAAATAATGCTAAACAAGAGGTTCTCACCTAGTATTGAGGCTGGAGGAAACCCATGCACACACATCCCCCACTCACGGGGTGTGTGTGTTAAACAACTTTTTCCTCTGTTTGCAGCAAGTTTCTGCATTTATTTCTTAAACATCCTGCGATTTCCATTTTGACCCAATGTTGCAACAACTTCCACACAAAAATAAGCTGCTCAGATAGTATGAGAGATAACTACACGGAAGGTGTTACCACTTGCTTTACTGTCTTTATGTACAAGTTCAGTCTTCTCTTGTACATTTTGGCTTGGTGCCCCATACCCCTTAGGGCAGGGGTACTCAACCTTTTTATACCTACTGCCCACTAATGCATTTTTCTTGATGGTAAAATTTCCTTACCGCCCACCAGTGCTCGATGGAAGGAGGATTCAGCTTGTGCCATAGAATCCCCTACTGCCCACCTAGAATCCTGAAACACCCACTAGTGGATGGTAGGGACCAGGTTGACAACCCCTGCCCTAGGGTATCAATTGACATACATTAAAATATGGAAAGAAAATGTGTTGGTACTTCATATAGATGTCCACAAGGGGGAGGTAGCACACTTTTGAGTAGGCTTAAAGAAAAAAATAGTAAAGGTCAAACAATGTAGATTAGGTTTCCTGTAGCATGTTTTCAGGATTCAAATATAATTGTGAGAGTTGGAAGGATGCATTGATCCCCATAGCTTTGTGATGCATGCCACTAATCTTCTAGTGCTACAGTTCTGCACATATTTACCTGAAAGTAAATCACACTGAAATTAATGAGGCTTTTGGCTTGAGTAATAAGTGCAAGAGCGCTTTGCTCAAGGTGAACCAGTAGAACTAAAATCCGAGTCTGCCAGCTCCAAAAGTTCAACACTCTATTGTACAGAAGTACACACAATAAACAGGTCATCTGGAGCCCTTACCCTCTTTAACATCTGTGCCACCTCTTAAAGCAGGAGGGGGAAACACTGGTTATTGGACTTTCTCACCCTGTCAGCCTCAACCAGCATGGTCAATGTTCCAGGATGATTATGGGAGTTGGAGATCACAACATATGGAGAGCCCAGGCTTCCCACCCAGGTTTTCTGTGCATGAGGCTTAGCTACACTGGCAGAAATAGCCATTGCCTGAGGGGGTCCCTTAAAGAGACTCTTAATCTCAGGGTCTTGGGTTTGAGCCACACATTGGGCATAAAGATTCCTGCACTGCAGGGGGGGTTGGACTAGATGGCCCTTGGGATCCCTTCAGATTCAACAATTCTATGAAATGGAAAGAGGAAGAGTCATGTTAAACTTCAATGTCAATAGCAGGCATAAGTTCTGATAGCGGCTAGAAATATAGAATTGTTGCTGTTTCATTGGAGACATTTGCTGCTTAACTTTTTTTGTGGGTACTGTGGGGATAGAGCTCTATTTTGCCAAATGCAGGGGCTCAAACCTCTTCAGACGTTTTTAATGTTTGATATTTTACCGTGCTTTTAATTTTCGGTTGGGAGCAGCCCAGAGTGGCTGGGGAAACCCAGCCAGATGGGCGGGGTATAAATAAATAAATATTATTATTATTAGCAACACCTTTTTTTAGAGGTGTGTACCGTCTGTCCTTTGAAACACACTTTGCCATTACTTACATGACCTGCTCTATCCATTTTAAAAATACCTTTGCTCTGGCGGTCAGTGTGGGGTGGAAACTGTGAATTACAAGCAATAAATGTAGTGGAAGAATTATTAAGTGTGGGGCTTCTTGAACACAAGCCACACCCCTTCTAAGACTAAGCAACAAAAATGATTTTTTGACCAAAACAGCTATAATGGCCTCAATACCAAAATCCAGCCTTTTCCTCTCTCCCCCCCTCCCTTTGCTTAACATCCAGCCTGATGAAGAGTTCAGAGGAACTAAGAAAAACTGCCTATTATGTGGCAGCTGGGCTTTGCAGTTTTATGTTAATAATGCAACTTATTTGGCGGGTTCGTCTCTTGGGGGGGAAAAAAAAAGCCAATTTATTCGGCATGCAGGGAGGGCTTGCCAACGGCAAGAGGGCGGCGCTTGGAGCCTGCTCCTCAATGCTTCTGGGCAATAAATAAAGAAGGTGAAACGGCGTGAGGTGAATTTGGCCGCCGGGTCTGAGGCAAAGGCCCCGTTTCTCCTGATAGGCGACCGGATTCACCTCCTTCCGCGAGAGGAGAAGAAAAAAGGCGGGGAAACTTCGACGGCCCTCCTCCTCCTCCTTCCTCGAGGCCTTGGCGCCCGGCCCGGTCTGGGGACAACTCCCCCCTGAAGCTGAAGCGGAGGCCGCCTTTCCCTTTCGTTTTCCTCGCAGGGCCTACTCCCTTCGCGGCCATGGAGAACGGGGCGCCGGTCTACGCCGACACCACCGTCCCCGCCGAGCAGCCGCCGGGGAAGGGCCCCCGCTGCACCGGCTGCACCGCCGACAACTTGGGAGCGCGGCGGCTGGCGCTGAAGGCCTCGCAGCTGGTGAGTCGGAGGGAGGGCGGGATGGCGGCCCTCCTCTTCCCTTTCCCCTCAGCCAGGGCTTCTTTCCCGCCTAGCCGAGGCTGAGGGAGGGAGGGATTAAACACACACAACACGCTGGGGAAAGGGAGGGAGCCGAGCACGGCCAGGCCCACAGCAGCCTCCGTGAGGGGCTTCGGGACTACTAGCCGGCCTCTCAGCCCGCCTCCCAAGCTCGGGGCTTGCGGCGGAGCCGAGAGGAGAGTCCGCCCGGCCTCATGGCGGCGCTGCAGCAGCAGCAGCAGCAGGTGCCGCTTTCTTCGCCTCGGACGAGGAAGGGAGAGCGGCCCTGGCGCTTGGCGTCCTCCGAGCTCCGCCCTTGGCTCGCTCGCTGCCGGCGTTTTAGGGTCCTCGGGGCGTGCTTGGAAGGGGAACCCGCAAACGCTCATGCCATTGTTTCTCAGCTCAGGGCGCTGGCTGTCGTTGGACTACAACTCCCATCATCCCCGGCCGCTGGGCCCGCTAGCTAGGGATGATGGGAGTTGTAGTGCAACAGGGTTTTCTCAAAGGGAGTCTTCTGCCGTTGTTGGACTACAACTCTCATCATCCCTTACCGCTGGACCCGCTAGCTAGGTATGATGGGAGTTGTAGTGCAACATGTTGGCCCGGTGTTTCTTAAAGGGGGGGTGTCCTCCCGTTGTTGTTGGACTACAACTTTCACCATCCCTGACCGCTGGCTAGGGATGATGGGAGTTGTAGTCCAACAACAAGTTTGCCCAGTGTTTCTCAAACGGGGTGGGGTGGGGTTGTCTTCGTCGTTGGACTACAACTCTCATCATCTCTGGCTGCTGGACCTGCTAGCTAGGGATGATGGGAATTGTAGTCCAACAACACCCAGGTTTGAGAAACACTGGGCAAACTCTCCTATTGTGGCACGGGGCTGGGGGGGCGGAAATGCATGGGCACAGCCTCGATTTATGTTAGGGAGAGCAGAATGGAGCTATCTGTGATGTGATTGGTCAGTTAATTAAGTATTTTTATTTATTGAATTGGGGAGGGGCAGCTGCCCCGCCCAGTTATGCCCAGGGAGGAGTGTAGTGTGGCACCTTTCATACAAACACACATCTATAGGGTCATAGAATTGCAGTGTTGGTAGGGACCTCAAGGGCCATCTAACCCAAGAATCTAACCCTTCAATGCAGGAATCTTTTGCCCAACGTGGGGCTTGAACTCGCGTCCCTTAGGTTAAGAGTCTCATGCTCTACCAACTTCAGCAGCAGTAGAATCACAGTCATAGAATTGTAGGGTTGGAAGGAACCCTGAGGATCGTCTAGTCCAACCGCCTGCAACGCAGGAATATGCAGCTGTTCCATACAGGAATCAAACCTGCAACCTTGACTTTATCAGCACCATGCTCTGACCAACTGAGCTAGCCTGGGAACCTTTCATATAGGGTTCACGTGTAAGTGTGTTGTTGATTTGATAATGAGGAAACACGGCTGTATGAGCAGAAGTTATATTTGTCACCTAAATGCAGGTGGCTTAATTTGGGGCTTTTTATGAGCAGAAGAAACTGCCTTGGGCCCATTGCTCTGGCTTGGTATGTATCTCATTGTTCTTTGCTGATCGGTAGTGGCTCTGAAGGGATTCAGAAGAAGTGTTTTGTCTAGCCCCACATGGAAATACCAGGGATGAACCTGGGGTCTTTCTGCATGCAAAGCAGGTCTTCTAACATAGAGATACAGTGTGTTCTTTCCTTACCAGAAACCCTTAATTCTCATGCTCCTTGGTATGCAAGTGTGAATATCTATAACACAGCTTAAAATGTGTGGAAACTGAGGCTTATATCCTTCTAGGCAGGTGGATTCAAAATATCATTTTGACTTAAATTCTCTTTGTTTGCACTGCCTTTGTAATTGAATGCACATACAGTAGGACCACAGCAAAAAAACTCCCCCAAATATGGGAGTATTATGTCCAATGTGTGTGTGTCTTTTACATTTATCATACTCCTATGATAAAGTGATTCTAGAAATAGCTTACATCAGGCATAGGCAAACTCCGGCCCTCCAAATGTTTGGGACTACAATTCCCATCATCCCTAACCACTGGTCTTGTTAGCTAGGTATGATGGGAATTGTAGTCCCAAACATCTGGAGGGCCTGAGTTTGCCTATGCCTGGCTTACATATAAAAACAGTAGTATTACAGAGCGCTACTCTTTGTCAAGCTTTTATTTGTTATAATTGTGATGATCATGGCATACAGCTGATGAAAACCCCAAATTAACAATCTCAGAAAATTAGAATATTAAATGAAATCAGCAAAACAAGGACTGCAAATAGAGCAATATTGGACCTCTGAGAAGTAGAAGCATGCATATGTACTCAGTGCTTGGTTTGGGCCCCTTTTGCATCAATTACTGCCTCAGTGCGGCGTGGCATGGATGCTATCAGCCTGTGGCACTGCTGAGGTGTTATGGAAGACCAGGAAGCTTCAATAGTAGCCTTCAGCTCTTCTGCATTGTTCGGTCTCATGTCTCTCATCTTTCTCTTGGCAATGCCCCATAGATTCTCTATGGGGTTCAGGTCAGGCGAGTTTGCTGGCCAATCAACCACAGTAATCCCATAGGTATTGAACCAGGTTTTGGTACTTTTGGCAGTGTGGGCAGGTGCCAAAGTCCTGCTGGAAAATGAAGTCAGCATCCCCATAAAGCTCATCTGCAGAAGGAAGCATGAAGTGCTCCAAAATCTTCTGGTAGATGGCTGTGTTGACTCTGGACTTAATGAAGCACAGTGGACAAACACCAGCTGATGACATGGCTCCTCAAATCAACACAGACTATGGAAACTTCACACTGGACTTCAAGCATCTGGCTTGTGTGCTTCCCCATTCTTCCTCCAGACTCTGGGTCCTTGGTTTCCAAATGAGATGCAAAAGCTGCTCTCATCAGAAAAGAGATTTGGGGAGCCATGTTTTGCAGTCCTTGTTTTGCTGATTTCATTTAATATTCTAATTTTCTGGGATTGTTAATTTGGGGTTTTCATCAGCTGTACGCCATGATCATCACAATTATGACAAATAAAAGCTCGACATATCTTGCTTTGCATGTCATGAGTCTATCTCATATATTAGTTTCACCTTTTAAGTTGAATTACTGAAATAAATGAACTTTTGCACGATATTCTGATTTTCTGAGTTTCACCTGTACTCTTACATAAGCTTATGCGGGGCTGCAGCCTTGCAGAGGAATTGTAACCCCCATATATGGTGGCTGGAGAGTTTAAGATATGGTGCCCGTCCATTCCCCCCTGCCCTGGCCGAGCTGACCTCAATAATAAATTACTTACCATGGTGTATCTACTTACACTGGGTGAGAGGAAACCCTGTTCATGGAAGTTAAACCAGTGGAAGTTATGTTGTGTGTAGAGAGCAATAAGGTGTGTATCAAGAGCCAGGGAACTGGCATATTGTGGGCAGGGAGAGGGATAAGCAAAGTTCTGCTGCATCCTAACCCATTACACACAGAGCTCAGGAATGCAGGTATAACTATATTCACCCCATAGGAGTCAGTGGAAGGGCAGGAAATGAAGGTTTACACTGCCCCCTCCCCAATGAATACACCCTCACCAGAAGCAGTTAGGCTGCAGCTTAATTTACACAGGAGATATGGGGGCAAAGCAGCCCCTGACATATTTGCCTGCTTAGGATTGCTTGCTCCGTCCCTAGCTGAATTTCAGAGAGTGGTATGCTGTTCAAAGCACAGCATGGAAAGCTGGGAGATTTTTACAGCCCTCCCCACTAGCATGCATTTCCCCACCTGAAATGTCTGGTAGACATGTAGCATGGTCTGTATGAAAGCCACAACAAAAAAATTTTTTGTTCTCACAGTAGTGCTTGACTTCTTAATTGCTACTCTTCCTATGTGCAGCGTAGCCTTGTGGCACCTTGAAGGCTCATTTATGATGGCATAAGCTTCTGTGGACTAGAGTGAGCCCATCCCCTTCATCAGATGCAGGAACTGTTTTCATCAGATGGCAGGTAATAACACACACATATACAGCCGTACTTCGGTTCTTGAACAGAATGCGTTTTGGGAGTCCGTTCGACTTCCAGAGCTGTTCGAAAACCAAGACGCGGCTTCCGATTGACTGCAGGATCGTCCTGCAGCCAATGGGAAGCCGCGCCGGATGTTCGGCTTCCAAAAATCGTTCAAAAAGCGCAACACTCACTTCCGGTTTTCGATCGTTCGGGAGCTGAAATGTATGAGTTCTGGGGCATTCGACAACCAAGGTACGACTGTACATTGTCGTCGTCGTCGTCCCCCCGCATGCCCATGTGGGTGCATATTATATATGCACACAAGCATGCCTAATGCACCTGCCACCTAAAGCTAACACCTCTTGTATCTAATGAAGTCCTCTCTGTTCTACAGACTTTTATGCCATAATGAATCCATTAGCCTTTAAATTGCCACAAATCTCTACATTGTTTTCATGGCTACCGACTAATATGGCTACACCCTTTGGAAGTTGCTACTTAGTACAGTTTTTGTCTTTATTAAAATTAGTATCTAAGTTGGAAGTGAGATGTTTCTTTTCAAGGCAGCACTTCTGATACAAGTAAAGCAGATTTCCTCATCACTTGATACACCTTGATACACCTTTTGTCACAGGGGAAATTCATTCTGCTTCAACTCCAGGCCAGCACAGTAACTTCTGTATTTTATACAGATATAGCTTAGTCAGTAGAGCATGATACTATTATCGGGTCGGGGCTTCGAGCCTCATGTTGGGCAAAAGATTACTGCATTTCAGGACATTGAACTAGATGACCCTCAAATTCAATAATGATGATGATGATGATGATGATAATAAATTTATTATTTATACCCCACCCATCTGGCTGGGTTTCTCCAGCCACTCTGGGTGGCTTCCAACAAAGTATTAAAATACAGTGGTCTGTTAAACATTAAAAGCTTCCCTAAACAGGGTTGCCTTCAGATGTCTTCTAAAAGTCTGGTAGTTGTTTTTCTCTTGAACATCTAGTGGGAGGGCGTTCCACAGGGCGGGTGCAACTACTGAGAAAGCCCTCTGCCTGGTTCCCTGTAACTTGGCTTCTCGCAGCAAGGGAACCGTCAGAAGGTTCTAAGATTCTATGAATTTAAAACATTTTGATACCAGCCTTAATTGATCCACTACAATCTACAGCAGACCACCCAGATACTACACAGCCTGCAAATACCTGGGTGAACAGAAGGGTCTTTAGCAATCATCCAAAGCACATCAAAATGCTTATTTTAGAGGGGAGGTGATCCAACAAAGGCTGGGAGCACCAAAGTGGAACAGCTCCTCCCCAGGGTTTTCTACCAAGAGGGCCTCATGCAGAGATCTTAGCATATTTGTGTGGAATGCTATTCCAGGAGAGATTAAGTACACAGCTTCTGCATTCATCTTAAATATTTGATGAAAACTTTTTAATACCACCATCAATTAAGGAAAAAATAATAATTCTGTAATAGCTAGCTGGTAATCTGCAACAATAGCTTTATGTGGTTTTTATTGTATATATAATTGTTGTGAACTGCTCTAATATTCTCCCCACCCCGAAATCGTGATATGTTAAGTATGTTTTGTAAATCAATAAGGACAGGTCTGTATAGGAGAAGTTGTTCTTTCAAATATCCAGCTCCCAAATTGTTTACGGCTTTAAACAAAAGAACCTCATACTTTGGCTTGGTGATAAATTGGCAGCTGGTGCAGTTCTTTCAGAAGTGATAATGCATGCTTGCATTAAGATGGCCCTCCTCATCTACTGCGTTTTGCAGTTCCTGCAGCTTCCAAATCTACTTTTAAGGGCAGCTCCACACAGAGTATGTTACAGTAATCTAGTCTTCATAGAATTCTAGTGTTGGAAGGGACCACAAGGGTAATCTGGTCCAACCCCGTGCAATGCAGGATTAAGAGACGCATGCTCTACTGACTGAGCAATCCCAACTGGTAACCAGTGCTTGGGCCACCGGTGCCAGGTTATCCCACCAACTGAAGCTGAGGGAAGACGCTTTTAGTCACCATGGCCACTTGGGCCTCTGGTCACAGTGATAGATCTAGAACAGGCATAGGCAAACTCTGGCCCTCCAGATGTTTGGGACTACAACTCCCATCATCTCTAGCTAACAGGACCAGTGGTTAGGGATTATGGGAATTGTAGTCCCAAACATCTGGAGTTTGCCTATGTCTGATCTAGAAGCTGGTTCAGTAAGATACCAGGGTCAGTGGTATCAAAAGGATAAAGAAGTGCTGCACTAAGACTGATCTAGTTCTGAAACCAGGCTAGATTAGAAGGCTTCCATAAGTGAATATTGGAAATAATAGGAAGGCTATTACTCTACCACATGATTTTGTTCCTGTGCAGCAAGACTCCACCCTCGAGACCATAGCTGGGAGGGTAGGGATTGGATATCATCTGGGAAATTCGCAGTTGTAATGAAGCACTAGGCCACACAGTGCGGTACAAATGACAGAGTTTCCAGCTCTGGGGATTTCAGGTGTGTCTCCAAGGACACTTCTTTTAAACTTCAAAACACCAAGCTCCCATGCACCCCAAAGCTAGGCAAATCCAACCCCACATATTCCAGGAATATTCCTCCAAGTGACTTGTTCCGCTTTTGTGATGAAGAAGCTAGTCGTTTTACCTGTGTAAACTTAATACCATACGTTAACATTTCAGGAGCTCTGACGAAAGCTATGACCCTTTTCTCTTGAGGTTCCCCACCCTAAATATATTAACGTAAACCCTTTTATGTACAGGGCAAATGCAGCCCACCTTTGTCCCCCAGTGTCGAAATATGCTAAGTGCCTGACCTACTTGCCTCCTAAAAATGTGGTTCTGGTGCCTAAAATTCTGAACTGCTTCTTCAGCTCTGTGCAGTGTTCATAACTTGAATTTGGTTTGTTGGCTTCTGAACAATTGGTTGCTGGTGACTCTTTGCTGCCCTGTTTTGTCCACCAGCAATTGTTTGTAGATAAATAGTGTTGGCATGTGGTTCATTTTGCAATGTGGTTATTAGGCAATTTAAGAGACCAGTTCATTCTGGTGTTTTCTAACTAATCGGCTTACACAATGCATCTCTTTTTTCCTCCCACCTCACACACCTGCTTCCTGGTCTTGCTTAGTGCATTTGCCTCCACACAGCCGTGGTGTTTCTGCATGTCCCTCTTTCTGTGGCTTAAATATTAAATAAGCTTGCATGGTCTCAATATAGCTGCCTTTTTGAGGAAATTGGTAGATGGAGGTCATTTCCCAAATGTGAGGACTTACAAGGTAAATAAATGAAAGCCAACAGTCCACTTTGAAAGGGGAAACCCATCTGTTAGATTTTGTGTGTTTTTTAAATCACATTTGAGAGAATGGAATATTTCCCATTACAGTAAGATACCAGAATCGAAATGACTTAAGAAACCAATAATCCCACAATACTGTGGTGGTTTCAGATTTAAACTTTGTGTTCACTTTGATTTTTTTATTTAGTGCAGGAAAGCCGCGGTCATTTCACCATGAAATGCAAAGTATTTGCTACCTTTGGACACAGACTGTAAGGAAAAATCTTCTTTGTTTTCCATGACATATACACTGTATAAAGCAGTGTATGTCTACCTTCCAGGGTAAAGGTAAAGGGACCCCTGACCATTAGGTCCAGTCGTGGCCAACTCTGGGGTTGCGGCGCTCATCTCGCTTTATTGGCCAAGGGAGCCAGCGTACAGCTTCCGGGTCATGTGGCCAGCATGACTAAGCCGCTTCTGGCGAACCAGAGCAGCACACGGAAATGCCGTTTACCTTCCTGCCGGAGCAGTACCTATTTATCTACTTGCACTTTGACGTGCTTTTGAACTGCTAGGTTGGCAGGAGCAGGGACTGAGCAACGGGAGCTCACCCCGTCGCAGGGATTCGAACCACTGACCTTCTGATCAGCAAGTCCTAGGCTCTGTGGTTTAACCCACAGCGCCACCCGCATCCCCACCTTCCAGGGTATGTCACTTTAAAACTTACAGCCTCTCTGGTTGCCCTTACTTCCAAGCAACCAAACTACAGAACTCGCCCCACAGTTCACAATGCTCTGAGCAGACCATACTCCAGCTAGCAGTAATAGACCAAGCAATTTTTAAAAATTAACACCTACCCAGCCTAATCTCCTGGCTCCTAAAGGTGTTAAGAACACCTTCCTAACTAGCAGCAACTCAGCCAATTAGTTACACTGGGCAGTTTGTCACTCAAGGCCTCCTAGGTGCAAACTTCCTAAATGTGGAATATTGTCCCTATATTTCTTTGTCCCTACAGGATGCTGCATCAAGGTTTTTAAGCCATGGATGCTTTAGCTGAGATTCCTGCATTTCAGGGGGCTGGACAAGACAACCCTCAGGGTCCTTTCCAACTCTACGGTTCTGTGATTCTACGTTGACTCTACATTGGGTGACACTATCTGTCAACAGGACTGTCTCCCAACAATCTTTGGTTGTTGATGACTTCTTGGGTTTTTGCTTTGCTTTCGCAAGCATAAATTCTGTTCTAAATTGCAAGACTGAATACTACCGGGGAGGAAAAGCCATTGACACTGTATATGGTGTAATCACTTCTTATCTGGTGGTATGAAAGTGTTATGGTTTTGCACACAGTACAGCCGTGGTACATGCAGATGCATTTCTGTAACCAATACTGTTTGCATATCACCAGGAAATAAATTTTCTGCATCATACACATGGGTGTATGGTGATGTGTGGCCGTATCAGTGCTTCCTAGCAGGAATTGGTAGGTATTGTACTTCTCACTAGCCCTTCCAAAGCCAAAACTTGACTACAGAGAACTGTGCATCAAGCATGGGCTTGGCACACTGGAGAGGAATATAGGAAGCTGTGCCATATGAGGTCAAGCCACTAGTCTATCTAGCATTGTATCATTCACATGGACTGGCAACAGCTCACCAGGGTATGGCCAGCACCTCTCCCAGCCCTACATGGGCATACCAGAGATTGAAGCTTTGACCTTTTGCATTTCAAGCTTGTACTTTACAACTGAGCCCTGGCTCTTTGTGAGGCAGTGCTCAGCTGGTAGGTGGATAATATACATGACAGCTGAGTTTTTAGCTGGAAGAGCCTAGTAGTGAGCATCTGTGCTTTTCACAAGCTTAATTGAGCTTACAGTTGGCAGGTAGTTTTGGCAGCCTCCAAGTATACTGCTGGAGGAAGGATCTGTACTGATGCATACTCAGACAGCTCTGATAACTTGTCAAGAGTTGGAACCAATAAAATTGGTCATGTGCACGAGGCTTCTTCATCAGTTCCATTTCTATCTACATGGACAAAGGTGTATTAATTATATCACTGCTGCTGCTAATTTTCAGCCACATTAACGAACAAGAAATTGGAAGCTTGCATTCTAGGAAGAACAGCTGAGAGCAATCATCCATGTGCATTGATTTCTTAAGAATATCTGCTGTTGCTTCAGTCATAGCATCACTAATCAGGGCTGGGAAAATGTCAGTCCTATGCTGGAGTATTTTACTTTGATACTACAAACTTGATGCTTAGTAGAAATTGGATATGGATATTTTCATGCCCTCTTCTGTGCCATTGAAATATGTGTCAAGTAGAAGGAATTGATCCATTCTAGAATTTCACCAGATTCCAGATTACTTTGCACATTTATTGTGCAAGGCCAATTGATGTTATTTCTGTGTAAGGCTTGGATTTAATCACCTACAGTAAATCTGTTTTGAGGCAGAGCTGTTGGACAATTTATACGTGCTTCTTTTTGTTGTTGTGCAGCAGTGATTGCTGGTATTTAAACAAAGAGTGCAAAAACTGAAAGTAAAACAAAGCAGGAGTCATATTGTCCCCTGTTCCCTCAGCAATTGAGAGACGAAGGCAAGAGGCAGTCAGGAAATGGACTGCAGTGAGATAGACAATAAGTGGAAGAATTCATATGCAGCTGACTTCTGGAAATGAGAATCTGGGGCAGTGTGGCATTACCCAAGTGTTCTTGGAAAGACACATGAATGTCATTTTCCTTTGTTTTCAGATAAAGCAGGGAATCTTAGAAACTCTCCCGTGACTTATAAATATTGTCAAAATAGTCTTCAGACCAAGAATTGCCCGCAGTGGAGATTCTTATTCCCAAGAACATGCATTGCAAAACTGGCTGGCAATCACATGCCATCATATTTAGTTTTCTGCACCTTTGAGGTACTTTGCAGTTTGCCCCTACAGTTGCCGGGGAAATGGACGCTTTAATGCAATCGAGAAGCATGCTAGCGTGTGTGACTCAAATGTCTCTAGTTCAGCTAACATCCTGTGAAATGGGAACTTTTAAAGAACATTTCTCACAAGGTTGCAGGAGATAAGATTGTAAAGCATTCTAGATCTTAAAAGTGCTTTCATAAACATAGTGCTTGAGTCGTGGTAACTGCCTTCCTGCTGAAGGGATGTTCTAACAGCCAGTGGTTTTCTTCTTCTTCTTCTCCAACAGGTCCTGTCCTTCCTAGCCTTCTTGTGTGAAGAAATCGTGCAACATTGCAGCAGTTGCGGTGGCCTTTACTTCTTTGAATTTGTCAGCTGCAGTGCCTTCCTCTTGAGTATCCCGATTCTGGTTACATATTGCACTTCTTTGTACGAGAGGACAGGGAAGGAGAAAGTAGCAACTGTGGTAAAGGGAGCCGCTTTTTATATATGTTATGAATATCATAATTTTTAACAGCCATAGGCATGCTCAGGATTAGTCAACATGGCCTTGCCTCAGCACTTAGAGGAGTCTGGAAAAGTTGCAGTTAGGAAAATCCAAACGTGTATTGGCTACTTTCATGCTAATTTACTGAGAATGTCAGCTGGTTGGCAGGGCATAGAACCTGTCCGACAAGGAACAGTGATGGCAGCTCATGTTTACAGGGTCTACTGCCACCACCCCAGGGGGTTGCCTGTGGAACAATGACGCTGCTAGGACGACGAGGCGAGATGGGTAAAGGTAAAGGACCCCTGACAGTTAAGTCCAGTCGAGAACGACTCTGGGGTTGCGGCGCTCATCTCGCTTTACTGGCCAAGGGAGCCGACATTTGTCCGCAGACAGTTTTTCCGGGTCATGTGGCCAGCATGACTAAGCCACTTCTGGTGAAACCAGAGCAGTGCACAGAAACACCATTTACCTTCCCGTCGGGGCGGTACCTATTTATCTACTTGCACTTTTTGGCATGCTTTCGAACTGCTAGGTTGGCAGGAGCTGGGACCGAGCAATGGGAATTCACCCCGTCACGGGGATTCGAACCGCCAACCTTCTGATCAGCAAGCTCTAGGCTCAGTGGTTTAGATCACAGCGCCACCTGCGTCCCAGGCAAGATGTGTAGCAGTGCCTATATTAAGGGTGGGGGTCCTTTTTCAAATCAAGGACCACTTCGCTTTCTTGGTTAATCTTCCAGGGGTTACATGTTAGCGGATGGCGTGGCTAGAGACAACTGTGGGTGGAGCAACCAATGTGGCCTTTGCACAGTTGGCGACATTCCAGGGGCTGCTAATGCACACACCGCCACCCTTCATTCCTACAAGCAAGAAGCATTATTGTTACAGTTCAAAGACACATTCCAACCAGGCAAAAGCCCCAAAGGCGGGCAGGAAAACTACAGAGGACAGGGGGTATGGTCTGGGAAGCAGGCATTTCATTTCGCGACCCGTACCTACGGTTCTCTACTCTCTGCTTTACAAGCCAAGCATGTGTCATGTTCCTTTGTTTGCATGGGTTTGCAAAAGCTTTTTATATCTCCAGAGGTTACCAGTTAAGATGCATTTAAAGCATCTTAGTAGCCTTTAGTAGTATGCTTTACTACCATGCATCACTAGTACACATTTTTCACATCCAAGCTTCCTTTTGACATTTTCCTAATGAATACCATCAGCACTGAAGTTTTTGCTTCCTAATTTTCTCAGCTTGGTTTTGGTGTCTATATTTACCTTTGAAGTTGGTAGAAGAAATTATGTTGAGCATTTATAGTTAAAATAGTTGGAGGGCAAGAGGGGCTTTACTTTGAAAGCAAGCATGGCAAACTGGTCACAGTGGCACACTTTGAGCTGGGTGAATGCAGTTTCAAATTCCACTCAGCCACAAATGTACTGAGTTGCCCGGAGCAAGCCATTAGCTCCCAACTTCACTTTCCGTCTGTAAAATGGGAATATTGGTGATCTCCCTTGGCAGGTATCTTTGAGGGACAACAAGGTAAAGGATGAGGCATTTCGTGCATCAAAAGTGCAGTAGTACTAGATTATAGAAATATTTTTATGCGTTATAATTTTTATTGTGTGCTAGGAAAAAGGAGCAAAAAAAACAAAGAATAAATAATAATTCTGAAGTTACCTTTCACTTTTTTTTCTTTTGTAGGATTTCTTGATTGTTTCAATAGTGGCGGTCTTTTTCCTACTAGCTTCAATTGTGTTTGCTGCAACCAACGATAATACACCCCCTGAAACCGCTGCTATTGTAAGTACTTTTCTCCTCATTATTTGTGTTCAATATCTCATGTGTGGAATCAGTTTTGCATTTTCAGGCCTTCCCTTCTGTATGTATAGGAAGATGTGGCACAGGTGATGCAAAAAGAACGCAGTAGGATGCTGCTGCTACTGGGGCTGTTAAGACCTAGTGAAAAAGTTGCTGCGGAATAACTTTTAAGAGTCAATTGAAAATTGCTTCATTCCTCGCATGTGGCTTCCCCTCTGCCCGAAGCCTCTGATTATTAGCCCATTTGGGAAGAAAACCTCTTGTGCATCTTGTCTATCTGGGTAGTCTGGGTGTTATTTTTAAATTTGGTGTTCACTACATACTTGTCTTTTGATAAAGATGGGTTATTCTTGCTCTCTGCACCCTTTCTTTCTACAGGGGATCTAGTAACAAAAGAAAAATATCAGTGCCTCAGGTCATTTTATGAGTTATGTTATCCAGGGCTGACAACTTAAGATTTGGGCAGGGATTTCTTCAGACATCCTAAAGTCTAGATTGGGGCTTGTTGATGCTAGGGGAAAATTCACCCCATCTGGGTTTTGTGTGTGAAATGATGAATACCCCTAGCTGTTTTGTACAGCCTGCACCACAACATCATGTCTGATCCCAGTTGTTTTCTTGTGCTAAAATGAGGACCTCTGAGAATAGTTATTACAATTGCCATGATTTCCCTTCAGTGCTACTGATGGTTCCCATTTGAACAAAGGTTGTGCTAGTTATAAATTTTCTACTAGGTCATTCCCTCCTAGTTCCTCTTGCCATTTAAATAAAATGTTTAGCCTTGATGTTCTTATGCACTTTCCTTTTAATGGTTTTTCCCTTTCTTTTTCTTAATAATTGCCCACAGCCCACAAACGTTGCACACCCATCTGGCTGTGTGCCAGACTGCTGCACCACGCTTTTAAATCTAAGCTTGCCCCCAAAGTGCATATCATCATGAGAAGATGATAATGCAGACAGGATGCACAAAGCTTTTGACAGGTGCTGCACTGTGAAAAGCCAGGAAATAAACCAAATGAAACAATGTGTTGAAGGGAGGTACACTGGCAGAAGCACAGAATGCACTTGTGGAAATAAATACAAGTGGAAATGCAGCACTGCAGTAGCAAAAAAAACCCCCAATGCTTTCAGACTAGCTCAACATACGCCAGATGCACTGTGCTGGTGAGTTAGAGGGTTGGTACGCTGCTTTAGGAAGTTAGTAGTGTTTGCATTAGGGACACGGGTGGCGCTGTGGGTTAAACCACAGAGCCTAGGACTTGCCGATCAGAAGGTCAGCAGTTCGAATCCTCGCGACGGAGTGAGCTCCCGTTGCTCAATCCCTGCTCCTGCCAACCTAGCAGTTCGAAAGCACGTCAAAGTGCAAGTAGATAAATAGGTACCGCTCCAGCGGGAAGGTAAACGGCGTTTCCGTGTGCTGCTCTGGTTTGCCAGAAGTGGCTTAGTCATGCTGGCCACATGACCCGGCTCCCTCGGCCAATAAAGCGAGATGAGCGCCGCAACCCCAGAGTCAGTGACGACTGGACCTAATGATCAAGAGCTTCCAAATCGCACAATGTCTTTATGGCAGCATAGAGCCACACACTTTTCTGCAGCTCACACTTCATCAGACAGTGCAACATATGGCTGTGCAGGGATTGCCAAAGCTGGGGCTGCCACAAAACTGTGACTTAGTAGGCCTAATAAATTTCAGTGAGATGGGGCAAGCATGTCGTCTCTGAATCTAAGGGGAGAAACCTGTGCTGTACTTGGGGCTCACTGTGTGGGAGATCTACCTTCATTGCAGGTGGTCTTGTAAAAAAAAAAATCCAGTTAAAATGGCACCAGCTTACATTTATGATCCTTTTATTAGGGATTGGAGATATATGGACCAGCTGGTTTCCTCTTGTTTTGTTCCTGGATGTCTTACCGGGCCTCCTGCTCTCATCTCATTCTCTTAGTTTGCACTGCCTATTGGCAGTAGTTCCAAACACTTCCGTTTTTCAAAAGCCGCAAAGTGCCTTTCAGCATTCGTCATTGGCAAGTTTTATAGCAGGGATGGGAAAAGGGCTACATCCTTTTCTGGGCAACGTTTTGGTGGCCCATGTGTCCGTGGTGGGTGGAGCCAGAGCCAAAGTGGGTGGAGCAATGAATGCTTTATGTTTTGCACAGGTGACTGGTAGAAACTCACACATCCCTCTCTATCCTTCATTTAGGCAAGCATTATCAGAGTTGAAGGGCACAATCCAGCCAGGCAGAAGCACTTAAGGAGGGTGCAAAGATGGGCCAGGGAGGGGTGTGGCTGAGCAGGAGGAGAGTCATCAGGGCCAGAATCCCACCCCTTTTTTTATAGAGACCAACAGGAAAATGTACCTGGAGATAATCAGACTATTCTTGTATACTTTTGAATCTCAGTTGAAGTTTGTTTATATAGACTCTTCTCACACTTTAACAGGTATTTGGCTTTCTCGCAACGATAACGTTTTGTGTGGACGCTGTTCTGATGTATCTGAAGAGGCGTAAGGCAAAAGAAGAGAGAAAGCCAGAAAACCCAGCCAATACACTGAATCCGACAGAGAATCAGCCACTGAATAACTAGCAAGTCTGAGGTTTAAACCGTCCCTTATTGTTATTATCAGATGCCGAGTGAAGCTGGAATGATTCTGCCTTTTAAAGAATGCCCAGATAGTTAAATTTCGTTTCAGTTTTCAACTCGCCGTCCTAGTGCTGCGTCTTTGCACAGTTCCCACACATAAATAGTTCGAGAATTGTGGGCTTCTTTTTCCCCCCACACACTCCAATAAGCACTCGATTTTATGCAATTGCACACTCATTTGTATGTGACTGTACATCACTGGTAAGCAAGGGAAACTTGTGATAGGATCATGAAATAATTGGGTTTTGCTTCTCCCAGAAGAAAATTTTCGACAGGTGAAAAACGGTTCAAGTTCAGAATAAAATTAGTTTCATACGGAAAAGGCCCCAGTAATGAAGGGGATGGGATAATAGCTGAAGAGAAAGGGACAGTGGGAGGTTTCTCCCCATATTAATTGCAGAAGGGATACATTTCATGTTTTTATATAGGAAAAACTAGGAAATTGAGAAATAAAGACAGGAAATTAGATATTGTGTGGCCTATGGAGTATCCTCGTGTGAAAATCAGTAGGCTCTCTCTCTTACACACACACACACACACACACCCCCCCAGGATGTGGTCCCAATTCTTTACCTAGGGGATCATTGTTTCCCCCTCTTAAAATCATGTTCATCTCATAGTTCACCAACATAGTGTTGCAGCATAGAGTGTCCTCTATTCAGGATTACAGTTGTTTGATTTTATTCCCACCCCAATAGTTAATCAGCATTCTGACCCCATTGGGGAGTAGCATTCTCTACTGAAGGTTTTTCCCCTCTAAATATTTTTTTTATACATGTGAAAATCATGGGATTCCCTGGCATGTGTGGGTGGTTTTTTTTCTGACTGCCTAATTCATGTTGCTATTGATGTATATGATTTTTCATGATAGTAATAATCAATACTGTCCATATGGTCTTATACCATTTTGTAACATAGCAGTACATACAGCTTATTTTATTTCTGTCTGTTTGTGTGTCTTTTAAGTCCAGGTTTAAATTATGTACAGTGCAGTATGTAGGCATCTGCATTCGCTGTGTGTTCAGGACTCTGAAAGAGCTGTTACAATTTTAAGCAGACACAAAGAAGCAGTCAGCCAAGAGGAAACAACTTTAAAACTGTAACAAGCTGCCTGAAATTTTAAAAGGAGATTGTATTAATATAAAAAGGGCTTGGCTCATGTGTTGAGGAAGTATAAAGAGCAACACTTGTCACCTCCAATCTTATTCATAAAACATTTAATAGTGTGATGCTTTCGGGCTATTTATTTTGTGTAGTCAATTGCGTGTGCAGCTTCTCCTGTTTATGAATGAAATATTGCAGACTGTGGAAGACTTTGGGGCAGGGGTGGGTGTGCTGTTGGTGACAGGAAGTTAACCAATAGCTGCTGCTCAAGGTGTTGCAGCCCACATTGACTCCCAAGAGTTTCATTGATGTGTAGAAGGAATCAGTCAAGGTGGTGCGTGATTATCAAAGCCCAGAAATGTGACTTCATTTAGGGAGTCTCCGAGCGGGCCACACATAATGCCCATATAGGGATAAGAATGCAGTGAAATGTTCTGAGGCGTCCTGGCTTTTGTTTGTTTTGCAAGTAATAATAATAATAATAAAAATCAGCCTACGTGTGACAGCTAGCGAGGCAATGCAGTTGTACCTTGGAAGTCGAATAGCCTAGTTCTCGAACGTTTTGGCTCCCAAACAATCGAAACCTGGAAGTGACTGTTCCGGTTTTCAAACGTTCTTTTGGAAGCCAAACTTCCAATGGGGCTGCCGCAGCTTCAGATTGGTTGCAGGAGCTTCCTGCAGCCAATCAGAAGCCTCGCTTTGGTTTTCAAATGTTTTGGAAGTCAAACTGACTTCTGGAACTGGTTCCGTTCGACTTTGAAGGTATGACTGTAACCTGGTGAGGTTTCCACATCTTCCCGGTGTGAAATGCTAATACAACTCCTCCCACACACACCCTACTCTGCCAGGACAGAGCCTGCATGTTTTGCACATCGATGCAGCCTTGAAAGTAGAAAAGGGATGCCGTTGTGACATATTTGTGGTATTTTTTGAATAGAATAGGACTTCTTGTTTTTAAAGGAAGAGTATTTGGGTTGTACAGTGAAATAGGAACATATAAGAACCACCTTCTGGATCAGACCAGTAGCCCGTCTAGTCCAGCATCCTGTTCTCACAGTAGCAACTAGACACAGGTGGCACTGTGGTCTAAACCACTGAGCCTCTTGGGCTTGCCAATTGGAAGGTCGGCAGTTCGAATCCCCATGACGGAGCGAGCTCCCGTTGCTCTGTCCCAGCTCCTGCCAACCTAGCAGTTCGAAAGCACACCAGTGCAAGTAGATAAATAGGTATGGCTGCGGCAAGAAGGTGAATGGCGTTTCCGTGCACTCTGGCACTCGTCACGGCCCTCTGTGCGCCAGTAGCGGCTTAGTCATGCTGGCCACATGACCCGGAAAACTGTCTGTGGACAAACGCCGGCTCCCTTGGCCCGAAAGCGAGATGAGCGCTGCACCCCATAGTCACATTTGACTGGGCTTAACTGTCCAGGGGTCCTTTACCTTTTTACCAATGAGAAGCCCATAAGCAGGATCTGAGCATGACAGCTCTCTCCTCTTCTGTTTCCAGCAACTGGTATAAAGATGCAAAATGCCTCTGACAGTGGAGGGAAAACTTAACGGTCACAGTTGGTAGCCATTGATAGCTCTATCCTGCACAATCTCTCATGTATAAATTGGAATTGTCTTTGAGCAAAGAGTTACAGGCAACTGACCTCAAGCTTCATTTGTCAAATATTCCCTTTCCGACGTTTGTGTTGTTGGGAGTTATCTTGAGGGGCTGGGATGCAATTATGCCGTTTCCTTTGTATAGTTCCCGGGTGCCCTAAACTATGGGTTTTTGGGGGGAAGAATTGTGAAAGCTATTAGGAGGCAGCTTGTTCCTACTAAGCATATAAAGGGAAACTAGGGCTGCAATTCTGTACCCAGTTACCTGGGAGTAAACCCTACTGAACGCAGTGGAGCCTGCTTCTGAGTAAATTTGCATAGGGTTGTGCTGTAGATTTCTGTTTGCTGTCATAGTAAGTTTCTGCAAAACAGTGAAATATGAGATGCCCTAATTGGCACCACCTCAAGCAAGCTAGACTGGTAATCTTTCCACATAGCTGGGCAATGCCAGAAAATGCGACAGCTTAGAGCCTCTTGCTTCTTCAGGCTGAATTCGCATAGAAGAAAAGGTACACAGCAGCTATTGCTTAACAATGTAAGTTTGGAAATATTCACTTGCCTGGTTTTCCATGGAGAGTAATGATAGCCTCAAAGTGATCTGGCAGGAAAGCTCTTGTAGACAGAAAGCTAGTGTCACACCCGCCCCCCCGCTCCCCCAAGTTGTGAGTGTTAGAACTTTAAAATATCTGTGGATAGATGAACTATTAAGAGGTGAACTAAAGAGATATTTATTTACGGGACTGTTCTCACTTCCTTCAGCACAAATGGTAATGACCTAGGTCCCCCCCCCCCCCAAAAAAAACCCTCTGTGTTCCCGTCCCCTCCCCCATTGCCCCCATATCATATTCATTCCAAGTTTAGAACATTTTATCATTCTTAATTTTGTTGCTGCTTAAAGAATCCAGATACTATATTAGACTTGCTGAAATCTTGCTCATGGGAATGGATCCAGTGGGTCTTAATTTCAAGTAAATCTGTTGAAGGTTGCACCGCTAAGCAACTTACTGTGGTGTCTCTGGAAATACACTAGCTTATTTCCAGTGTGCGTGAAGCTGTTTTGGGATTAAATTGGAATTGCCAGTTTTTATTATTATTATTATTGCACTTTCTGCTTCAAAATCTTATGCAGATTTTGATCATGCGGCCTTCTAAGTTTCCGTCCTTAATGTGCATGTGCACACAAACACACTCCTTGGTGGCTCAGAACAATCACTCCCCCCATTCAATGATCTCCTTTTTATACCACTAGTTCAGCGCCATAAGACCGAAAGCCTTTGAACATACTGTGTTTGATCCAGACTGCTTGCCACGCTTTAGTCCCATTTAAATCAAATGACTTGTTAAGTAGTGAGTAACTTGTTGCATAGATTTACGTAGGACTAAAGCAGGGGTAGCTAACTCATGGGCTGTTTCCAGCCTCTCCCAAGCTGTCTTTTGTGATCCCCTAGGATCCACCAAATATTAACCCTTTTAATTATTATTTTTTTAATTAAAAATTGACTTCTCCCGTTGCTCAGTCCCAGCTTCTGTCAGCCTAGCAGTTCAAAAGCATGTCAAAGTGCAAGTAGATAAATAGGTACCGCTCCAGCGGGAAGGTAAACGGCATTTCCGTGCACTGCTCTGCTTTGCCAGAAGCGGCTTAGTCATGCTGGCCACATGACCGGCTGTACGCCGGCTCCCTCGGCCAGTAAAGCGAGATGAGTGCCGCAACCCCAGAGTCGGCCACGACTGGACCCAATGGTCAGGGTTCCCTTTACCTTTACCTATGGACCCACCTCTATGACGCCATGACATCAAAAGGTTTTTTGGTGGCCTCTAGACCCCTCCAAAACATTTTCACTTAAAAAATTAATCTTGGCTCAATGCAGCCGTCAGCCCCCAAAAAATGTCACCTGCCCCTCGCCTAAAGGAAGGCTGGCTGACTGGATCCAACCCATTGTGTTTGCGGTGTCCTTGAGTAGAAGGGGCACAGGTCAAGATCGAAACAACTACTTGTGGCACCGCCAAGTGTATGAGCTCACTTGATGGGATTGTTTTTTAACTTTCCCTGTTTCATACAGCAGATCCCCATTCTCCCAGGAGAGAAAGTAGGAAAGTCCCCTTAGTTTCGGAAGTGGTTTCCCACATGACACGGAGAGCCACTGTTTGGATAAGCTTAATGGTGCCTAGGACACACAGAAGGTTGCTGTTCTTTGGATCTCAGCCCCTGTATAATCACATGCATTCCATCCATAATACAGGAAACGCTTTGAAGAATGGCCCACTGTGAAGATGGGAAGACACTCAGCGCTTTTGAGAAATTATTTATAATGGGGTTTTAAAATGTAGGCTAGGCGCCAACTTTTCTAACAGCATATGCTTCGTGAAAAAGGTTTGGGTGATTTTGAACTGTGAATTATAGCATTGTCTTCACTTTGGAAATGTGTAATGACAAACCAACTGTTGCCTAAACTGTTACTGTATAGATTCTTATTGTAAACTGTATGCTAGGTCAACTTTTTTACCTTCTCTATTGTAGCCTGGCCTTTTTACTACCTATTTTTTATCTTCATTGGAATCACTTGATTACGAAATGATTATGTTTTTATTAAAAAGTTGTAGAAAGCATGTTGCTTTGGAGTATGTCTCTTTTCTGCTGTTGGTAACTGGGCGGCAAGAACCCACTTATTCCTGAAGAAACAGGGATAAATGGTAATGTCCCCCCCCCCCCGAGGGCTGAACCATTGACCTGTGTTACAAGGGAGCACTCTGGAGCCTTCCTTTTCCGATGCGTTTTCTCAGAGAAATCTCTCATGAACCATCCTGAAAATATCCCATGGTGCACTAAACTCTTCCTGATGCAACCCTTCCTACAGATCACAATGCAAGACTTGTTTTGCTATATATTACATTCTTTAGGGCCACAAAAAGTGTTAGAGCAGGATTCTTGACTGGAAGCTTCAAGGTTGTATTTCTGGTGCATCCTATGCAAAGAAAAATGTGGGTGATTTCTAAGCATGCAGAGCAAAAAAAAGTATGCTTGACAGAAACAAGTCATTAAAACTTCCAGGCACGCAGGACGTAATCTGTTTTCTAGGTATGCTCCACCAGCTATAGTGCAGCCTGCGTTTTGATGTAATCCCTGCATAGTGCTTCGTACACTGCTTGTTGTTCTTGCTCTATGGATTATTCCCCCTCCCCCCTTCAACCAAGCTTGTCCAAGATACAGTGGTACCTCGGGTTAAGTACTTAATTCGTTCTGGAGGTCCATACTTAACCTGAAACTGTTCTTAACCTGAAGCACCACTTAAGCTAATGGGGCCTCCTGCTGCCGCCACGCCACCAGAGCCCGATTTCTGTTCTTATCCTGAAGCAAAGTTCTTAACCTGAAGCACTATTTCTGGGTTAATGGAGTCTGTAACCTGAAGCGTATGTAACCTGAAGCATTTGTAACCCGAGGTACCACTGTACATTCCTGCTGTTGGTACATTTTATTTTTATTGAAAAAAATTACTAATTACATTCTATTTCTCCAAGGAGTGCACATAAGGTTCTGCCACCCCTGTCTATCCTCACAACAACAAGGTAGGTTAGATAGGAGGGTTGGCCCAAGTTCACCCAGTGTGCATCATGGCAAAACTTGGATTTCCATCTGGCTCTTCCTGGTCTAAGTCAGACATTCTACTCCATTGGCTCAAGTGATTTTTCTAAAGTATTCTGCTGTTGTTTAAAGCAATTAGACAGTCTTCACTGTGAATTGTTGTGTTACGTTGGTATCTTTGTAAGCCACCTTGCTCAGGTAAAACAGGAAAGGTGTAAAGTGCAGGTTTAATTTATAACCATTGTGTTCTTCATTCAGTATTAATTTGCTCAGCACTGCATTTTTGTCCATTTCTAAGTTTAATATACGGTTTGGAAGCCTGTTGGATTATTCTTGTAAGCAAGACCACCTGTTGACATTGCTGTGAACCCAATGCCAATTTGGCGTGTGATATTTTTGGGATGATGCACAATTAGATGATTTGGGTGAGATGTGGGAGCTAGGATTAATCTTGACTTCCCTACTGAACCAGTACTTTAAACTCTGGAATAGTCATCAGTTCTTTGGCCATTCCCTAAATATGTCATATGGATTCAGAGCTGCTTTGGCAGCCTACTCAGAAGTCTCATGTTCCCCACCTTAGTAGAGCCCAGAGTTAGCTATATGCTGCGTCTTTGTGCTAAAACAGGGAGGCACTTATTTGTAGGATATCCCCAACACCTTTACTGGAATACTGCAAGCAGGGCCGTAGCTAGGGGGTGGTGAGGTGGGCCCCCAACAGGGGCGCAGGCGTTGGGGGGGCACAAAATCTGCTAAAAAACAAGTATATAAATATAAATATTGATTGTTGCTTCATAAGAAATGGTTTTAAATAGAGGATGAATTGAATTGAAGGGTGGGAGTGGAGGAGAGGCAGAAGGAAGAACTAATTTGTCCATGGCAAGGGGGCGTAATCTAGACGGTTCTGCCAGGGGTGCAAGATCACCTAGCTACAGGTCTGACTGCAAGGCTCTCAGAGACTACTGATTCCATGTATTCTCCAAGTTCAACGGCTGTTGAATTTCCCCTTTACTTTTCTCTACCTTGTTTTGTTTTTCTCCATTAACCAGCTTTTTCTTGCCATGTCCTATTATCTCGCTTGCATGTTCCGTTTCGCTTAGGCACCTGAGCAGCTGCTTCTTTTTAAGTAATTTGTAATATAAAAGATGGAGATGACGATGATAAATTAAACCCTTGCTTTGAGGGGAAATGGGGTTGTTTTTGCTTACAGTTTGTGTAGCCCGAGTCTGCCAAGAGCATAATTACTTTGATGTCATGCATGATAAACTGTTGTGCATGCAGTATTAATGACGGTTTTCCGTGAGCCTGTAGCACTAATGGCCAGTCTTCTGCACCCTTGCTCTGGCCTCTGATCATGCAAAAGCAAGTCACCAACAGACAGCATATCACATGAACCATCTCTGGTTACCTAGAGCCTTTTTGAAAGGCGTACTTCTATTCATGCATTGTCCTGTTTTTTTCTCACTAATAGTGCTAGCAACTTAACAGCATAAATTACTTGACTGATCTTTAACTAAACATTACAGAATCCCCACCCCAAACTGCCCACCTTGTTATCCTGAAAGAGCAATGAGATGCTGTCAGGCTGTGAAATGAAAGCACTGGGTTAAATGCTTACTTCCAAGTAAGCAAGCGTAGGATTTTGCTGCAAGCCCCACTGAGTTATACAGGACTTGCTCTCAGCTAAACCGTTTTAGATTATCTTGTGGAAAGGCTCCAACCCTTTTGTAGATTTGTTTATTCAAATGTTTCCACTCCACTGTTTCCTGTAGATTTGCAAAGTGGCTAAAAACATTAAAAGCACAATAAAACAAAATAAAACACACAATTTCACATAAACCGGGAGAATAACCTGCAATGATAATGTTAAGACCATCTAGGACTCAAAAGTGCTCTGGAAGTGAATTTTCCTAAATTGGTACCTGAAGGTCATGAAGTTAATCCTCACAGAGGGGCATTCTATTAGCTTGCTGCTACCCTAGAAAGAAAATACTGTCCAATGTATTGCAGTCAGACAACAGGGGAATACAAAACAACAAACCATCAGCAATAGAATCCCTATAAACCGAAATAGCATGTTGAACACTGAAATAATGAAACAAGAAAACTTGCTGCTGCTTTTTTTTACATAGCTGCCATAAGAATTCCCCATGAACTGCTCATTTGCAACACAAAATAAGATTTGATTGTATTTAACTGGGGTGTTCCAGCCAAAAGAGCTGATCTTCACAGAGACCAAAGTTAACTATTAATAATGCCAAGCAACATACTATCAAAACTGAAAACTTAGGGGAGTTGGTTTTGTCTAACAGGTATGGATATGGAAGTGAGTGGTGTTTTTGAGGTATAAAATTTATTTAAAATTATTTTGTCATGAATAAAAATACTTAAAAACAGAAGAAACACTAGGACACAAAGGAAACTCTGTTTCACTTCTGAAGACATATTCACAGTAAGCCAGTAAAAACATAAATTATCAAATGCCTTTTCTCGCACCGGGAGCCAAAAGCCAGGAAAGGCAGAGGTAAGCAAGAGACTTTGCATGTATAACTTAATATAAAGCAGCTGCTGGTCCATGGTAAAATGTAGCATTTTCCAGCTGCAGATGAAAGGAAACACAGTAAATTTCCCACCTTCAACCTTTATATGCAGGTCCCAGTTCAGATCACTCAGGTAGCTTGAGTGATAACAACATGAAGAGAGGGGAGCTAGCTCCTACCAAATCGTGGCATAGAATACTCATTTTTACATTTACACCCCACTTTTCCTTAAAGGAGCTCAATGCAGAATACACAGTTCTCCATCAACCTCTGCATTTTATCCTCACAACAATCCTGTGAGGTAGGTTAGGCTGAGGGAAAACATCTGGTCACCCAGATCATGGCTAAGAATTTCAATCCTGGTTTCCCCTTGTTTGCAGAAAGAAAGAAAAAACAGATTCCCTAATACAAGAATCTTGGTATTAAGACAATGCAGTATAGAGACTGCTGGTACTAACAATCTGGACAAATGAATATGAGGAGTGTAAGACCAGAGCCATCTGGTGGTCAGCTCACTTAGTAAGAGGTTTCAGGAGTCATTACAAAAGCAAGTCCTCAAGAACATCACCAGAACAAAATTCCATCTTACATACATTTGCTGTCTGTTAGCCTATGAAAACCTCAGTTTGGTGTGTGCATCGTAAGTGCCAAAAGTTTCACACAGCAGCATCTGAAAAAGAAACAGAGAGAATGACTAGAATAAACTTGTCAAGCAAATTACAGACACAATTTATATATCTGCTCCAAAACATGAATTTTCTAGGCAAGCTCACAAAACAATTTCATCCGATGAAAGAGGAGAGAGCTTTGTAAGTGTTTGGGACATGAAGATGTAATGGTAGATTTGTCACATACTTAAGAGGGCAAGGGGTGACTTGGAACCACCCAATATCCATTCTGTCTGCATTGATGCCTCTACAGCAAGACCCCATCTCTCAGTGTAGATGTGATATCATCCTATATACATAAAAATGTAAGGCTGTCATCACACTGCAGTTTGCGTGACCTTCAGCAGGCAACTATGCTAATTCCAGTGTGGCAACAGAAGAGTAGGCAGGCAGATGAGTGAGGAAGCAATGCAGGTGGCGAGAGGCCAAGTCAAGCTGTTTAAACAGAAGGTGGGAGATGATTCAGAGAGCAGTTGGCCAAACCATATTCTGAAATGCTTCTCCCCTCCTTTAAAAGAGGGCAGGTGTTTGGGCAACCTAGAAGGAAAGGGGCATGTTTGGGTGAGCTGTGAGGAAATAGGTGAAGGGGTACATTGGTAAACAAAAGAGTTGATGCATAGATGGTATTGGTGTGTGGGAGAAAGAGGTGGGCAAAGGGATTGGCAGGTAGGGGTGGCACATGGAGCGAGCAGGTGCAGGAGCTTCTAATAAATATTTTTAAATGCTGAATGACCATATTTTAGCTCTATAGGACGCACCAGACCATAAGACACACCTAGTTTTTGGAGAAGGAAAACAAGGAAAAAAAATATTCGCTGCGCAGCGATCCCTCTTACTGTCCTGGCTTATGGGATAGCCGCACATAGCCTCTTCCGGGCAGCAGGATAAAGGCTCCTCCTCAGGGAAAAGCCCCCAAGAGCAGCACACACACTCCATGGGGCTCTTTAAAGGGAGCACTGCGCAGAGCCTCCTGCCTACATTTGCTCCATAAGACGCACACACATTTCCCCTTACTTTTTAGGAGGGAAAAGTGCATCTTATAGAGCGAAAAATACGGTATATACAAACAGTACCAAACCAGAAGATTTTTGTCTTAATTTTTTTTAAATATAGACATGAACAGGGAGAAATTAATACGGAATGAGAGTGCAAATGTTCAGGCATGAATAATTTTTTTTTTAATAATGTAAGCAAGTGTGTTCAAATGTTTTTATCCTTGATAAAGGTCACCAGCTAAATTATAGTTAACTGTGAGTATTTATTTAAAATATTTTATTCCATCTGCTCAAAGCAGCTAATGAGCAGGTACACCTTTTTTTTAATCCACTCCTTTATATAATGAGTCATTTATTGAAGGGATGGCATGAATAAAATCAGAGGTGTCTGCACATGAGATGGAATTTTATAGGTACCAAGCTTATGCTTAGCAGGCCAAGAATATCTTACAATGAAGGGAGCCAATAGAGGAAGCTCTAGTGGTGTCAGTCTGCAGTATAATTTACGTAAATGTGAGCTGGCATGGGTCAAACATATTGCTGAGTTATTTGCTGAACCTTGCAGCTACAACAGGAATGGAGTATCTTGGTCCCTCCGGCTTTATAATGCAGTTTACAATCTAGGTTGCAAGAGTCAGAGAACACAAGTGAACAAGGCTGTTTCTTATGTCCGAGACAATCCATGATGCTACTGACAGGTTGGGGGAGGACAATGTCTTGGGTAGAATCACTTTATCTTTCTTGTCCAAGAGGCTCTTGCTTGTCATCCTCACCTACGCTCAGACAGTTCTGCCGATGGACCACCAATTGTTCATTCCATGTTTAAATAATGCAAGCTAGCTATGGTCGGTGCAGTTTAACTGATTAGATACTTACCTGTTGACTGAGTGACACAAGAGACTTTGTAGGATAGCCATATACTTAAGAGACACAGAAATGAAGCTAAGAAGCCAAATACCTGTTTAAAAACAAAACAAAAAGAGCCATGTCATAACTAAACCTTCTACTATAGAGAATCCAATATACCCTATACCAACATTTAAGATTTATCCACTAAGGATTCTGTTCACCTGCATGCAGATCCTATCCAGGATTTTTTTTAAAAATGGACGCGGGTGGCGCTGTGGGTTAAACCACAGAGCCTAGGGCTTGCCAATCAGAAGGTCGGTGGTTTGAATCCCCCCCAACGGAGTGAGCTCCCGTTGCTCGGTCCCAGCTCCTGCCAACCTAGCAGTTAGAAAGCATGTCAAAGTGCAAGTCGATAAATAGGTACCACTCTGGCGGGAAGGTAAACGGCATTTCCGTGCGCTGCTCTGGTTCGCCAGAAGCGGCTTAGTCATGCTGGCCACATGACCCAGAAGCTGTACGCCGGCTCCCTCGGCCAATAAAGCGAGATGAGCGCCACAACCCCAGAGACGTCTGTGACTGGCCTTAACTGTCAGGGGTCCCTTTACCCCTTTACCTTTATTCAGGATAAATTAGGCTTCTAGTTTAAAGTGCTGTTTCATGAACTCTGTTGGACTAACATACTCGATGTTGCCAGCTTATTATGCAGCCAAAAGAGTGGCCATTAGCAGCTACAACCCAGAAACTCTGAAATCTGCATGACCCCAATGGCCACATGATGTAGCCATATAGTATGGAATCTGGCTGCAGAGGCAGAGTTTTAGAGAACCTAATTATAATTTAAAGTGGGCAAAGCTTACACAGCCCTTGTTATTGCAGGGGAAAGTCTAGTACAGTGGTACCTTGGTTGTCAAACTTAATCCATTCTGGGAGTCCATTTGACGCCCAAAACCATTCGAAAACCAAGGCGCAGCTTCTGATTAAGGAAGCCGCATCGGACGTTTGGCTTCCAAAAAACGTTCGCAGAACGGAACACTCACTTCCGGGTTTGCGGAGTTCAGGAGCTGATTTGTTTTGGAGCCAAGCCAAGTACCTCAGAAGGCAAACGCCTTGCGAGTCAAATGCTTTGGCTCCTGAACGCAGCAAACCCAGAAGTGAGTGTTCTGGTTGCGAACATTCTTTGGAACCTGAACGTCTGACGCGGTTTACATGGCTTCTGATTGGCTGCAGGAGCTTCCTGCAGCCAATCAGAAGCCGCGCCTTGGTTTCCAAACATTTTGGAAGTTGAACGGACTTCCGGAACGGATTTCATTCGACTTCAAAGGCCCTCCAACACTCAACCCAACCAGGGTACAGAGCACACACAAGGGACAAATCCTGACTTGTGGTATAGACTGAAGCTCTACTTTACATGCAGCTCTACCTTACATGCATACAAAGAGTAATTATGCAGAAAAAACTTGGAATCTGCACTAAAATCAGACCCCAGCAGTAACAATGTAAAAGCAATTCCTTGTTGATATGGGGGGGGGGGAGTAGCCTCACCGCTCCAGCTGTAAGACTTGCTGACCCAGAGCTTCTGGCCACCACCACCACAGATCCAATGAGAAGAAGGGTGGTACCTATTAGGTAATGGAGAAACTCCTGAAAAGAAACAAGCACAGAACAATTTTGAAGACAACCCAATAAAAGGAGCATTTCAATGTGGCACAACACTGCCAGCCAATGAGATTCTTTTGCTTTAAATCACCTGTGAAAAAGGAAACATGGGACTGCCGTCTCTGGCCCAAATCACATTTCCTGGAGGAAAGACACTGTTCTGCTGAAACAGATAAGGTTGCTGTCCCTTGCTTTTCCCACTCCCCGCCAAAACAAACAAACAAACAAGTTCTTTTCAAGATTGCACAAGAGTTAACTGTAAGAGAGATGCTGTAGACTTGCTGGTGCATGTATTGATGAGGAGAGCATAACTCCCAAACAGAAAGGCAAAGCCCTATTGATCTCTGAGGGTTCTGCTTGCTTCCCTTCCTCACTTTTAGTGTGCATCTGTGGCCAAATTGCCATTCTCTCTTTAGGCTTTGGAATACACAGGGATCCCTTTTTGCTCCTTAAATCATAGTGTGAATGCGGCATGATTTGCTGCCCGTTTATATTTGCAACTTTGCTTTCCGAAGCAGCATTCATATTCGCTATCACTTCCGTTTCAAGAAATGAACCAACTTTTCTTTATTCCTCTGGTGTGAGCTTCTTGGGGCATAAGGTTAAGGATAAATAAATTCACAACAGATGCATGTTCTAACTCTCAGCTTAATACTGGGGCTGTGCATAGGAAGACACCTGCACGTGGATTCAATGCCACTTTGAGCTCCTGCGAGGAAAAGTGGCATATAAAACTATAATAATACATACACCTGATTTTAAAGCCTTTAACAGAGATGCTGCAACTACATTTCCAAACGAGGGATAAAGGTAAAGGAACCCCTGACCATTAGGTCCAGTCGTGACCGACTCTGGGGTTTCGCGCTCATCTCGCTCTATAGGCCGAGGGAGCCGGTGTTTGTCCTCAGACAGCTTCCGGGTCATGTGGCCAGCATGACTAAGCCACTTCTGGCAAACCAGAGCAGCACAAGGAAACACCGTTTACCTTCCCGCCAGAGCAGTACCTATTTATCTACTTGCACATGACATGCTTTCGAACTGCTAGGCTGGCAGGAGCAGGGACCGAGCAACGGGAGCTCACCCCGTCACGGGGATTCGAACCGCCAACCTTCTGATCAGCAAGTCCTAGGCTCTGTGGTTTAACCCACAGTGCCACTAAAAAGCAGATTATAGAATCGCATGTCTTAAGGCTACTGCGGAAAGTTAACATATCACAGAGGTGGGTCTAGTCTCCACACACCCATCCTACTTTTTGATCTGCAAAGAAGAAGCATTTCAAAACTGATAAGCATTTCTAAAGTGGTACAGTGGTGGTCCCAGGAGGTATGAACTACGTGATATTTCTGAAACCGGGACTTTACAGTACAATAGGAAAGTGATAATGTCACCTATACACCTCTCTCTGTCTTTCCCAGGAAGACCCGAACTGCATGAGATGTTGTTTTTATTCTCTTGGGTACTAATTAGAGCAAACTCCAACACAGAGTTTGCTCTGCTACTTTGCACTCCTTTGCCCCTCCATGGGCTATGAACATTCTGCAGCAAATTTTCCAATTGTCTGACCTTCCCCGTGGGAGAGGGCCTGCAGCAGTTGACTCTTGTCCCTGAATAGCAAGTCAGAGAGACAGAGCAGACTCATCTCTCCAGTGGATGCTGTATGCAGCGATAGCAGCAGAGAAGGCTAGGTCAAATCAGGAGCGGGGAAATGCCATTGTCATGCAAGTACTACAGTATAGTCTTCAACCATCTGCAGAAACTGAAACATCCTGGCAGCTGAGCAGCACAGCCGACACACATGCATCCCCTCTAACTTGCTTGTTGCAAATGCAGATTGCAGAGCCCATCACATTTTAGGATAGCTAGGAGTCACGGGAGGGGACGTGGGTGGCGCTGTGGGTTAAACCACAGAGCCTAGGACTTGCCGATCGGAAGGTCGGTGGTTCGAATCCCCGCGACGGGGTGAGCTCCCGTTGCTCGGTCCCTGCTCCTGCCAACCTAGCAGTTCAAAAGCACGTCAAAGTGCAAGCAGATAAATAGGTACTGCTCCGGCGGAAGGTAAACGGTGTTTCCGTGCCCTGCTCTAGTTCGCCAGAAGCGGTTTAGTCATGCAGGCCACTTGACCCGGAAGCTGTACGCTGGCTCCCTCGGCCAATAAAGCGAGAGGAGCGCCGCAACCCCAGAGTCGGCCACGACTGGACCTAATGGTCAGGGGTCCCTTTACCTTTACCTTAGGAGTCACAGGAATCCTGCTGTTTCAAAAGGGCCTGAAAGTGTGCTGGGGGAAACCCTGAGGTTCCTCTTTATGTTCTGATAATGTAAGTTTTCTTACTGTGAAAACTGATGACTGGGAGCTGATCACTTAAGATTTAATTCTCTTTACGTTTGGACTTTGCCTAGATCTCACTGTCACATTTTATGGCTTTTTGGTCCCACTGACTTACTAACGTTTTTTTGGGGGGTGGGGGGGAGCTTTTGTTTGTCTTTACAAGTGCCATGGGGCAATTTATTAAAAGTAATTTGTCCCCCCCCCCGGAAATTAAAAACAAAAGCGATTTTAACTATGAGCAGTAACTTACTGCAAGTGGCCAATTGATGCAAGTCAGCATTCGGTAAATTCTGAAGATATAGACAACGTAGAAAATGAAGATCATAACTAAGTCAAACATGGAGACAATTTTGAAGTAGGTATATGTACTGTGACCGGCCACTGGTGAAGCAATGATGCAAATAAATCCGATCAGGAGCAATAGCTGAAAGGCAAGAGACAAAAGAGCGTGAGTGAATAGGAAAGCAAAAGAAACAAACTCCCAAGTTCCAACTCGCAGTAAAATGCTCAAAATGAAAAGAAAAGGAAAAACCACTTCTTGAAGAGTCAAACAGAGGATAACAATTCCAACTAAAGTAACGATAATAAAACTTAAAAGTTTAGATTACAAAAGTATATTGGGGGAGGGAATACACTGGGGTACAAACCTAAGCAAACTTACAGCATGCAACTCAGTTTGAAGTCAGTGGAACTTCGGTGTAAATGTTTAGTTGGGTTCAAGCTGCCAAGAGGGCAGGTTTCTAAGGACAGCAACAGTTACTACTATTTTGCTAAGTGGGGGCTTAGGTCATCAGCAAACAGAGATCCAGAACACAATGACTGTATGCCAGGGGTCAGCAATTTTTTTCAGCAGGGGGCCGGTCCACTGTCCCTGAGACCTTGTGGGGGCCCGGACTATATTTTGGAAATAAAAAATAAAAAATGAATGAATTCCTATGCCCCACAAATAACCCAGAGATGCATTTTAAATAAAAGGACACATTCTACTCATGTAAAAACATGCTGATTCCTGGACCGTCCACAGGCCGGATTTAGAAGGCAATTGGGCCTGATCCGGCCCCCGGGCCTTAGTTTGCCTACCCATGTTGTATGCTAACACTTTGTCTCATTCTAGACTAAAAGAGGAAAACCTTGCATTTAAGAATAATTTACAGTTGTTTTAAATATGAAAACACCACATTTAGTCTTGTATCCTCTCCCCACAAGAGCCAACTAGATGCCTGTAAGAAGCCTGCAACGTGTACCAGAACTCAATAGCACCTTCCCTTCCTCTTGTGCTACCCAGCAAATTATATCCAAAAACCCACGACCTTCAGTACTTAAGGAAGTACACATAAGACTCCTTAAGCTTCGAAATTCCAAGATCCTCCACATTTAGAGATGTCCAGCCTTATTTACACACTTCAGAGGCCGCCAATCTTTCTGGGCCTGTGAGTACATTTGCAAACCAGAGAAACTGTTCTGGGCACCATGTACATAATCAGAACACAGACGCAACACACAAATACACTTATTCTTCCCCTGCCAGACATTCCATTTAACAGCTGCAAAAGACTATGTCTTTCAAAACTAATCTCAGCATGGCAGGTGGGGGAGGACAGGACCCCATAGGTGCTAGGGAAGGCATTTGGATTAGATACTGGGAAGGTTAGGAAGCTCTACAACCAATGAAGGTGCTTCTGATTAGCTGCATTCTGGCATTATACAACTCAACATTACATACAATATGCAAACAGGGACGAGCAGGCTACCTCTGTCCCCATCACTGTACAAGAGTTGGAAGGCAGAGTGTCTGCAGTGAAGGCATTGTGCTCCTATAGATTCCCCACAAGATGCAGAATACTGGAGAAATCCTGGCTCTACACTGCCATGGGAAGTTTCCATTAAGCACCAGAGGTCCCTCACTGCAGATGGTTGTCCTTCAACTCGTGCAAGGTGACAGGGACAGGTGGAACAGAAGTGGCACTTTCCTCCCCATCCACATATTCTACTTACTCATCCATATAATGCCCGAATTGAACTGCTCTTTCAAACCAATTCAGCAACCCCTCATGGAGATAAACGATTCCACTGCACAGATGGAGATTTCAGAACCTTCGCTTCCATGAAGGGTAGCTCTTCATGCAAAAAAGGAAACCCCAGAAAAAGCGGCTATCTTCATTGTAAAGGTAAAGGGACCCCTGACCATTAGGTCCAGTGGTGGACGACTCTGGGGTTGCAGCGCTCATCTAATTTTATTGGCCGAGGGAGCTGGCATACTGCTTCCGGGTCATGTGGCCAGCATGACTAAGCTGCTTCTGGTGAACCAGAGTAGCATACGGAAACGCCATTTACCTTCCCACCGGAGCGGTACCTATTTATCTACTTGCACTGGCGTGCTTTTGTACTGCTAGGTTGGCAGGCGCTGGGACCAAGCAATGGGAGCTCACCCCATCGCGGGGATTCAAACCACCGACCTTCTGATCAGCAAGCCCTAGGCTCTGTAGTTTAACCCACAGCGCCACCCGCATCCCTTGTTTTCATTGAGGTGCATACAAAACCTTGATCTCCCAGAGCACACCAGTCTATCAGTTCTCAATCAATATGTATTTTTGAATTTATAATCTGTAAAAAAAAATTATTCCTTCTAGGTAAAAGTTAAGAGATCATATTTCCCCCCCTCTCTCTGTTAGCGGGGTAATGCAATCCCACTTGAGAAATCCTCAAAAAATAATAATGAAAGGGATAGGGAAGAGATCCTGGAAAACTCATGCACCTTCTCTAGTGAAAGATGGATTCCAGTCCCCACTGTGCAATGCAACAAGTGTGTGCAAGATAAGAGATTTGATACAATAAGCCGTAACTTGACAGTTAAGCATTTGAGCAGAATTCCCTTTCTAAATCTCAGATGTCGGGGTTACCATGTGCAATACTTTCTCTAGCTTTTTTTTTTTTTCAAGGTTAGAGAAAGTAGTTGACAGTAAAACACCTCAATTCCCAGGGTCTTCTTTGAACAGGAAACACATTTTTTGTGTCTTCCTGTTTTGACTCAGCTGAATCTGCTATTACTAGTTCTTTACAATGCTACTCAAATCACAGCTAATCTTTCAATATTTATAGAGCCCGCCTTTTTAAAAAAACAAGCAAACAAAAATGCCATACTGAATTGGTTTTACATTTTGAAACATCGGAGGAAATTCAGCTGCAGCTGAAATAGAGAGCCTTCACATGGGAAAAAGATTACAGCAAAAATGTTTCTCTTTCTAGCAAGTGATTATTTTTAATGCAGTCTTTCCAGAGCTAGCTTCCAAGCTAAAAAAGACAAAGGGTTTAGCAATCTTGAGCTTTAATCCTGTCATGTCCTAAAGAAATCTTAAGTTGACATGTTTTCAATTTATATGCAGATGCAAAGCTTCCCCTTATTATTTTTTCTTCAGATCTAGAAGAGAACCATGCACAACAAACACAAAACAATGGTAAAGGACTGGATCCACTAGTGGAAATACTCCTCCACTCACGAAGGAGGCTTGTTTCTGGGGGGAACCCTAACAAGTGTAGCTGCCCCACCTGTGCCCCAAGGTACTTAATTTATCAAACAGTTACGGCAAGCTTCTATGTCTCAGTCCTTTGTAGTTCTTCCAGGGCATCTAAGCGGCGCTATTAGAAGTGCGCGGGGAGGGAAGAAAGATGCGGAGAGCAGGCGGGAGTTGCAAGACGAGGAAAACGGGAAGGAAGGAAGGAAGGAAGGAGGCAGAAGGGAAAGCAGTAAGTGGAGGGAGGCAGGCAGCTGGGCCGTCGGAAAGGCTGAGCAGAGCAGAGCCGACTCCATGGCCGCGGAGGAAGTCACTGGCGGAGCGCAAAAGACGACGGAAAGCAAACTTTTTTTGAGTTTCTGGTCCATGGTCTCTCCCGCCTTCGGAGGCGCAGATACAGCTCCGCGCCACGGACGCACGAGGGAGCCTAGGTACGCCTCTGCGTAAATATAGCCAGTCACAGTTGCTAGGCCATAGACTTTGAAACCAGCAGTCAGCTCAGCTTCCCTCCCAACACCCAAACACTGCTGTCCAAAGGCGGCGTGGAGCGATAGCAGCGCGAAGAGCCGCGCTTCTCCTTCGCGCGCTCGACGGCGCAATGTGGCGCCCGCTATTCCTGGAGAGAGGCGCGCTGGCGGGAGCAACACGTGCAAGAAGCCTTCTGCCTCTCATTGGAGCGCCAGATTTAGGCCACGTCGTCCTCCCTTGAGGGGGAAGAAAAAGGCGCGCGGCAAAACAAGCTCCAAAACTTTGGAGAAGGAACCCGGAGCCCCGGAATCCCTGGACCGCCCGCCTCGCCCCCTTACCATCTGGGCCACTTTGAGCAAGGCGGAGCACGAGCCCGCGTAGCCTCTGTCCAGCAGCCCGGATTCCGGCCCCGAGGCCGAAAGCGCCGCCGAGGACGTCGACGCGGCGCCCCCGCTGCTGCCGCTGCTGGCGTCGGTGCGGACCACCTGCAGCCCGCGAGACATCTTGGCGGGCGAGGAGACGGCGCGGCCGGCCCTTCCCTCGCGCGCTCTTCTTCCTCCTCAGCGCTGCTAGGACCGCTATGGGGCTCCGGAGGCGGGACAGGGCGGGGCGGGCTGGGTTGGCTGGCTGGCTGCAGCGCCTCTCTGCACAGCTGGAGCGGGGCGGAGAGGACGAGCGAGGCTCCGGCGCCCCTGAGTCTCTTCCACCAGGCGGCCTGGTGGAAATCTGTGGCGCGCGTCCTGAAGAGGGAAGGTGGGCCTCAGCGGCGGCCGCCTGACACAGGAGCCTTTTCCTAAAGTGACGGCGGGGGTGTCAAGCCAGAGCTTTAGCCGGGACAGCGGGGCTCGGCTGCAGGGGACGAGGAGGGGACCCTCATCCTCTTTAACAAGAACTCTTAAAAACTTGAGTTTACACGGTGCGAGAGTTCACACGAGACTCCCGGGCCTGAGGCGTCTCTTGCGAACGCTTTTATTTGCCCATCCCGCCTCAGGCGGCGGGGCCGACTCTCCTTTTCCGTCACTGAGGGAAACGCTTTCTAGAAAACTTAAGTCCACAATAAATATTTCAGTCGTCGAGGTGTCATAAGACTGCTGGGCTGTTCATTTTTAGAAGCTTTAAAAACAATGCCGGTGTCTTTCTCTTCCACCCCCCCCCCCCCAAATATCCGGCAGTGTTTGGAAAGTCGTCTTTTAGCTTTGCAACTTCCTTTCCGAAAGGTCTCTCAGGGTTCACTCTTCTGCTTAATAAACGTAGGTGGTTAATTACACGGAGGTGCAAGTGATGGGCTTTCCATTCTGTGCTGCCAACTTCCTCTCCAAAGGTTAAGCTCTGGACTTTTTTTTTTGTTTTAATTAGATCTTAATAGGCAGCAAATAAAACTGTAGATTGTGAACAAAATATGCTAACAGGAGGTTCTGGTGGGAAAAACAAAAACGCTTCCCTATTTATCTCCTGCTGCTTGTGCAAAAACAGTGGGATAATAGTTCAGCATTTTAGTCAACTTCTCCTTTTATAAGGCACTATTTTATTTTTTTTAAAGATTGCTCAATTGTTTCAATTGAAGTTTTTACTCATTATTGCCAACTTTCCCCAATAAGGAATATAATTGAGGTGAGTGATAATGTAGGCAACAATTCGGGAATGTCAACTTCCCTTTATCGTTTCTACAGGGGGAGAGCCATGTTAGTCTGTTACAGCAAAATCAGCAGGGAGCCTTGCAGCGCCTTACAAGACCAGCGAATTTTATTATGGCATAAGCTTTCATTGATGAATACTTAAAAAGGTAAAGGGACCCCTGACCATTAGGTCCAGTTGTGGCTGACTCTGGGGTTGCGGCGCTCATCTCGCTTTATTGGCCGAGGGAGCCGGCGTACAGCTTCCGGGTCATGTGGCCAGCATGACTAAGCCACTTCTGGCAAACCAGAGCAGCGCACGGAAACACCATTTACCTTCCCGCCGGAGTGGTACCTATTTATCTACTTGCACTGTGTGCTTTCGAACTGCTAGGTTGGCAGGAAACAGGGACTGAGCAACAGGAGCTCACCCCATCGCGGGGATTCAAACCGCCAACCTTTTGATCAGCAAGTCCTAAGCTCTGCTTTAAATTTAAGGAGTTTGCTGTCACAGCCTACTTAGATGGGCTCAGCATGTCATTGGGAAACAGGCGCTGCCCTAAAGCTAGTCAGAACATTGGTCTGTTTGGCTTGGTACTCATAAAGAATCTGAATTGTAGAGTTGGAAGGGACCCCAAGGGTCATCTAGTCCAACCCCCTCCAATGCAGGAATCTCAACTAGATCATAAGTAACAGATGGCCATCCAGCCTCTGCTCTAAGGAAGGAAGAGTCCACCACCTCTCTTGGGAGTCTGTTCCACTGCCCAACACCTCTTTACTGTTGGAAAGTTCTTCCTGATGCTTAGTTGCAATCTTCCCTTTTTCTAGCTTGAATCTATTGGTTCTGGTCCTAGCTAGGAGAAAACAAGCTTGCTCCACCCTCCATGTGGCAGCCCTTTAGATATCTGAAGATGGCTATCATATTTCCTCTCAGGTCTCGTCTTTTCCAGGCTAAACATACCCAGTTCCCTCAACGGTTCCTCATAAGGCTTGGTTTCCAGAACTTTGATGGCCACCCTCTGACAACAATGGTGAGCAGGACCTCTCCAGGAATTCAGGCAGAGATCTTTGCAGCCATAGCTTTGTATGTCAGGAATTGAACTTCTATCCTTATTTTGCCCAAACCCCGTGGGCCAATTTTGACAGGTTGGAACAAGAGTGTCCACCTGTCAAAGTTCAAAGGGGCTTGCTGAGATCAGCAGAAATTTCAGCTTCACCCCAAATACACAGGAGGAATACGTAATACTTGTCCCTGCTAGTGTGAATAAAGGACCGTATTATGCATTTCTTCCTCTCTTCGTGGTGTAGTTTATCTAATTTCTGTGTGCAGGGATGTATTATATAAAAAGAGATAGTGCACATGGTCTCCACAAAAATCTTACCTTCACCATAACATTCCAAGGGACCACAATGGAGGTTCATTTATCTCTTATTCAAATGTATGGGGGGTGGGAGTATTATAACACAGCAAGCCCAGAGACCAGACTGAGAAAAGAGTTACCGTATTTTTTGCTCCATAAGACGCGCCTAGTTTTTAGAGGAGGAAAGGGGAAAAGCCCCGTTTTTGGGGGATCAGCTCAGTTGTGCAGCTTCTTTTGCAAGGGAGAAAAGCCCCTTTTCTGAGGATCAGTTCAAAGTTGTTGAGCTTACTTTGCAAAGGGTTTTTATGGGGTTCAACTCACAGTTCTGCAGCTTTAGGAAAGGGAGCCGTTTCTGCAGTTTCCAGACAGATAATCTAATCAGCCAGTCACATGTCGCTGGGGAAACAAACAGCCTCCATCTGCAGAACATTAAAAAATGGAGGCCTGGGCAAGGGGGCGGGGCCAGAAAGGGAGCCAGTGATCGACCACACATTCGCTCCATAAGACACACAGACATTTCCCCTTACCTTTTATTAGGGAAGATGTGTGTCTTATGGAGCGAAAAATACGGTAGCCTACCAGACCATTATACCATTTCCCCCCTTTAAATCAGGAGAGAAGTATTTTGGCTTCACAGGCCAGGTCCTTATTAGATCCATCAATCACCTTCCTCCACCACCTGTCCAGAAGGTGACTTGGTTCTCCTGTCCAGGAGGGGTGATTGAAACCCCTGCTGAAATGGAGGAAGGGGTTTGCCTTTTCTTCCCCTGAAGGTATCCTGCGAGGCAGAGGGTATGGATTTTTCTTCAGGATTTACTCCTGAAACCTCTTTCTCATGAATGAGTATACAGTGGTACCTCTGGATGCGAACGCGATCCGTTCAGGAGCCCCGTTCGCATCCTGAGTAGAACGCAACCTGTGTCTGCGCGGGTCGCACTTCTGCGCATGACGTCATTTTGAGCATCTGCGCATGCGCGAGCGGCGAAACCCAAAAGTAACATGTTCCGTTACTTCCAGGTCGCTGCAGAGTGTAACCTGAAAATGCTCAACCTGAAGCATATTTAACCCAAGGTATATTTAACCCAAGGCATTTCCGTGCGCTGCTCTGGTTCACCAGAAGTGGCTTAGTCATGCTGGCCACATGACCCGGAAGCTGTACGCCAGCTCCCTCAGCCAATAAAGTGAGATGAGCACCGCAACCCCAGAGTCGGTCATGACTGGACCTAATGGTCAGGGGTCCCTTTACCTTTATGATTGTAACTGCAAGGCATCAGTTTTCCTTCTTGTAGGGCGACCTTCCCAGGTTGACAAGCCCCATCTGCCCCTCCCTTCCCTCTATAGCATGTGTAGAAATCACTGCCTTGACTGTTGGATCCTCTATTGGTCTCGTCCACTCAACCCACCAGAGCCTGTGCTCTGTAACAAGTGACCAAACTGGAGCATTGCCAATGTACATGCAGCTGCAAGAGGCTTTCCCTGATACCCCAACAGTCCGTTGCACCTGCTGAAATTAGGCATGAAAGGTTTCTGCTGTAGTTAACGTAATATGTTGTGGTGCATGCTTGTTTGTAGAGTGTGTGCGCGTTGCAGGGGATTCGACTAGTTGACTCTTGGGGTTGCTTCCAACTCTACAATTCTATTATTCTACTGCGGATGACAGGACCTATTGTTTGCAAGTGTGCCCAGAGGCCCAAAAAGGATAGTGACTCCATGTCTCACAGCAAGAGAGAGAAGAAGGGGTGGCTCTGCCTTGTTTGGAGCTCTCAGGCCTGCCCAGCATGCTGGTTCTGGACAGATTGGTCCTGAGAGAGCCAGCGTGGTGTAGTGGTTAAGAGCAGTGGACTTGTAATCTGGTGAACCGGGTTCGCTTCCCCGCTCCTCCACATGCAGCTGCTGGGTGACCTTGGGCCAGTCACACTTCTTTGAAGTCTCTCAGCCCCACTCACCTCACAGAGTGTTTGTTGTGGGGGAGGAAGGGAAAGGAGAATGTTAGCCGCTTTGAGACTCCTTAGGGTAGTGATAAAGCTGGATATCAAATCCAAACTCTTCTTCTGAAGAAATGAGACCTTTGACAGGAAGAAGGCCTGCTTACCGAGTCAAAGATCAAGGTATAAATAATTCTCCTTGGATTGACATTCCACAATTTTTGAATTAGTAAGTGAATTAAAGAACACTGCAACAATTTTTTTTTAAAAAACACTTTCGTTTTTATGTACATTGAAATGGTTCGAGGGAATACAAATCCAATACTTTACAAAATGTGCAACGAAGGAGGAGGAGAAGATCATGGCACCACACAGATTGGAAATGGTTTGCTTTTTATATATATAAAAAATAGCTTGGTAATTGTAATACGCAGATTGAAAGATAAAAAAAAATAATCGAATCATCTCCAACATAGATTCTGCTGTAATATCATAGCACCGATATTGCTATTGGACAAATCCATAATCAAGGAAGAACTTGTTTGTCAGCAATCAAATGAAAAAGAACTTATGTCTGAGATCAGAATGTACAAAATGTGAACTTCCAGAGGATGTTTTTCGGTTTCTTCCACATAAGCCACCCAATATGAGCCAGTTACTTGGAAAGTAATTTCTTTAAGGCTGCAATCCTAGACACATCTTCCTTGGGAATAAGTCGCATTGAACTCAGTTGGACTTACTTCTGAGTAGACACATATAAAATTGAGCTGTGAATTTATAATGTTCCCACTGCTTCTAACAATCTACCAGCAATGAAAGCTGATTGGCCTACCCATATTAATTTGAAAAGGATCTACTCTACAGTCTTGTAGATTTCCCATTCTAGTCATATGTTTACACTGCAGCAGCTTCAGATTAGTTCATTAACTTTGGCCTTTGGCACCATTAGATGGTTAACTCTTGTAAGCAATTGCCAGATTGTGTCTTGTTACAATAACCAGAGGCTGAATATTTTCTTCCAGGCCAATTTAGAAAACATTAGCGCTCCAAGGAGAATCTCATTTATACCTCTAAATCTTCAAGACTGTGTACAGTAGCATTTAAGCAGGAAAGTTTTCCTAAACACAGAAAGTAAACATGTATAAAAATATTATAAATTATTCTAATATATATCTCATCACCTATTCTAAAAGCTGCAGTCCTATGTGTATCTGAGTCATTATATATAGAATCGGACTGTTACAGTTATATGTACAAAGTAAAAAAATAAAGGGAGGCACATTTCGCTACAACAGAATACATACACTGCCTTCTGAAACACATTAATTGATGTAAAATATTCACAATACTTCTTAATTAGGCAGAGGACACTATTGCTCCTTGCTAAAAATGAGACACATTCACAGAGGCATTGGTGTGGGGACAGGAAGATAGGGCTTTAGGCTGGTGCAGGAACTGGGCCCAGATCACACCCATGACTGGCCAGCACAGGCTAAGACAGTGGCGTAGCGTGGGGGGTGCAGGGGGGCCCGGCCGCACCGTGCGCAACATCTGGGGGTTAGGGTTAGGGGGTGCAAATCCACGGGTTAGGGGGTGCAAATTACTTGCCTTGCCCCAGGTGCTGACAACCCACGCTACGCCACTGGGGTAAGATTCCAAGCTGGCTCAGTCCTATCCTTGAAACACCCTATTCAGAGCTTTCTTCCAGAATGATGAGAAACCAGTGGGTGGAATACAGTGGTGCCCCGCAAGACGAATGCCTCGCAAGACGGAAAACCCGCTAGACGAAAGGGTTTTCCGTTTTGGAGTTGCTTCGCAGGACGAATTCCCCTATGGGCTTGCTTCGCAAGACGAAAATGTCTTGCGAGTCTAGAGATTTTTTTTTCGCTTTTCCCCCCCTTTATCTAATCTGCTAAGCCTTTAATAGCCTTTAATAGCCTTTAGCAGCTAATCCCCTAAGCCTTTAAGCCTTTAATAGCCGCTAAACTGCTAATAGCGCTAATCCGTTAAGCCGCTAATAGGGTTGCTTCGCAAGACGAAAAAACCGCTAGACGAAGACTCTCGCGGAACGGATTAATTTCGTCTTGCGAGGCACCACTGTACTTTCAATGTGCAGAAGAGGGAGGTCTGTGCTGGCAGAATAGCAGAAACACCACCCCACTGGCATCAGTCAGCAGGAGATGAGATGAACCGGCAGAGGCGAGAGAGAAATGTCTTCACTCCCTACAAATCCTCCCCAGTCCAGCATAAGGGGTGGTGGTGGAGGTTTCCAGTCTTAATCCCTTATATTTTCCATCAAATCTAACTAAGGCTTCTTTCTAATAATAATAATAATAATAATAATTTTATTATTTATATGCTGTCCATCTGACTGTCCTATCCACTCTGGGTGGCTCTCAACAAAATATTAAAAGAACTACAAAACATCAACCATTAAGAACTTCCCAGAACAGGGCTGCCTTCGGGTGTCTTCTAAAAGTCAAATATTTATTCATTTCGGGTAGGTAGCCATGTTGGTCTGATGCAGTCGAAATAAATAAAAAATTGTCCAGTAGCACCTTAGAGACCAACTAAGTTTGTTCTGGGTATAAGCTTTCATGTGCATGCACCCTTCTTCAGATACACTGAAACAGAAGGACTTCAGATACACTGAAACACTGGACTTCTGTTTCAGTGTATCTGAAGTGGTGTGCATGCACACAAACGCTTATACTGTACCCAGAATGAACTTAGTTGGTCTCTAAGGTGCTACAGGACAATTTTTTAGTTGTTCATTTGTTTGACATCTGATCAGAGGGTGTTCCAGAGGATGGGCGCCACTACCAAGAAGGCCCTCTGCCCAGTTCCCTGTCTCACAGTGAGAGAAGCGCCCAAAGGCCGTCGGAGCTGAACCTCAGGCTGGACGATGGAGGTGGAAACACTCCTTCAGCTATACGGGGCTAAGGCCATTTAGGGCTTTATGCATATTTACTTGGAAGTAGGCACCATCAAACTCATTAGTCTGGTTCACACTAGAATAATAGAATTGTAGAGTTGGAAGAGATCCCAAGAGTGATGCAGGAATCTCAGCTAGTTCATGAATGACAGATAAGCCACCCAACCTCTGCTTCAAAACTTCCAAAGAAGGAGAGTCTTGAGGGAGTCTGTTCCACTGTCAAACAGCTCTTACTGTCAGAAAGTTATTCCTGATGTTTAGTCGGAATCTCCTTTCTTGTAACTTGAAGCCATTGGTTCGGGGCCTAGCCTCCAGAGCAGGAGAAAACAAGCTTGCTACATCTTCCCTGTGACAGCCCTATTCGAAGATGGCTATCATAACTCCTCTCAGTACTTTACTAGGCTAAACATACCAAATTCCTTCAACCGTTCTTCATAAGGCTTGGTTTCCGGATCACAGACTCCCCTTGGCCTCACATGTTCTCATCTCCTCCTGCATGGCCAGGATGACTTCAGAAACCTCTGCTTTAGTTTCCCCTCAAACACAGCTTGTCACATCACACTTAAATTGGGGTTTGTAGTTTATATCAACTATGGTTAGTTTAAACAAGACAGCTTCATAAACCATGGTTTGAAGTTTGCTTGTTCTGAAACTGGCCAGAGTTACTGTTCTAGCGTAAACCCTAATCCAGATGCTATAAGCCTTGCTTAAAGAAAATTAAGTAAAACTTTCTGATGTCTTTCTCCAACTCGCACAGGAGAAAGGGAGAGTGCATTGTACTTCATCTTGGTTCAGTATTAGATGCTAACATGATAACTGGTTGAGTTTAGGTATCGTAGCCATACCGTGGGTTTGGCCATCGGGAACATGCTATGAGCTTCCATGCTTTCTTCTCACCATCCCTCATGCTAATCCCATAATCAGTTTCTTCATTTATGGTATCCTGCAATTTGGAAGTCACAGGAAACAATGGTTACCACAAATCAGGAAGTAAGAAGATGGAATTAGCTTGTATGAGGGAGAGACAGGAAGAGGCATGAAAATCCACAGCATCCTCCTGACAGTCAACTATGGTTTGGCCATACTGTGAGCCATGAGCCATTGAAGTTCTCTTGAGTAAAATGCTCTGCCTGAGCATTAAGAAAAACCACTGCAGGAACTGATAATTTAAAAACGATGCATTATACCCAAATGTGTTTTTTCTTAACTTAAAGAGGACATTTATTGCAAGTTCCGCGATCTCCAAGATACAAAACTAAAGTAGGCATTTCCACCGTAGCAGGAAGTTACAACGAATGCAAAGAACTGTGGGGAAAAAGAAAACAGCTGTTAGGAAATAGTAAAAACCATTTCGCAGATTTATTTGTATTCCCAGATCATTCATGGGGTACAACAAAAGGGTTTTAAAATAACCACTCATTGTTTTATTGTCCTTCGGGACTCTGTCTTGAGCACCCCTGTTCTGTTCAGCTTGCCATGGAAGGAATTCTTTTGGTTTCAGTTCACATGTGGTTAAAATGTGCTGGTAGTTCAGCATCCTTCACTGCTTTAATGGTCTCAGTTTAATGAAACCTCTTGGTTTCATATCCTGGTTTGTAAGCAGAGCTTAAACCACAATTTCCCTCTTTGGATGTAGCAAGAAAATTGGCACCTGTCTGTCTTGGGAGACAATGTAGGGGATGTCTTCAGGGGTGAATAAAAGTGTGTTTTAATAAACCCATGAGGTTTTGAAATCTCGTGTGGAAGAAAGAAAGAAATAAAAATAAGGAAGATGCTGCGCCAGTCTCTTAATATGGTCTCAACAATAATTACGTATCTAGATTACCCCTCTTTCAACCTGCACCAATTTAATACCTCGTTCCTGAATATTTGTTGGAACACATAAACAACTTCCTCCACCCACTTCCATATTTCGAGTACTATTCATGATTCAAAGATTAAAAATTAACTTACTGAAGAAGCTGCCCAGCTGTTGTAGTTGTGGCTGTCCAGTTCCTTGGTGACGGCACATGCGTCTACGATGGCAGCAATGAAGTACAAAAGAAAGGCACTCCCGTTAAAACACAGTCCCTGTAGGGAGGACAAAGAAAGACAAAAGGGTAGGGTTTTCCCCCATGTACAGTGTTCCATAGATGCTTCCTAATCAACCGGAAGCAATGTGAATAACAAGAGATGAGAGCTTACTCCTGTGGCCACAATCCTAGACTTGATGTTATTGCCGGACTTCTCTACTGAAAACTCATCTAGGTTTGCTGACATCTAGCTGAAGCTTCTGCTTTTACAACAACTGTAGTCAAAAGATCTGTGCCCCAGGAACAATTCCATACAATCATCGTTGTTTTAAGTCTGCCAACTAATGCACTGTCTTCAAAATTTGGGTCAGTAACAACCGGTGTTAGGAAGGACCTATTTGACCCCCCCAATACCTTGGGTGGTGTCGCTGGTTAATGCTCCAGTTCTGCATTATTTTTTTGGGTGGAAAAGCAAGTACAGTGGTACCTCTAGATGCGAACGGCATCTAGAAGCAAACGTAACCAGCGTCGGCACGTCTGCGCACGCACACGCTACTTTTCGCCGCTTCTGCGCATGCACGTGATGTCATTTTGAGCGTCTGCGCATGCGCAAGCGGCGAAACCCGGAAGTAACGTGCTCGGTTACTTCCGGGTTGCTGCGGAGCGCAACTTGAACACGCTCATCCCGAAGCACATTCAACCCGAGGTATGACTGTACCGCATTATGAAAGACTTAACTTCTTTTTGATGCTCCTCAAAGCGCCTTAATGGGACATCTCAAGGAATACTGCCCATTTTCTCAGGATTAAGTGAGTTGGCGGGAAAAGGCTCCAAGTCTGCTGCTTGAAATGAAGAGCTCCAGGAAAAAGACTCCCCATTAGCAAGCTGTGGAGCATTCTGCCTGCAGATGCACCAATAAGCAGAAATCCCAATTCGTTGGTTCACAAGACTGGGGTGCTTCCACATGCTTCTCATGCTCCAGTTTCTGGACACACATTTCACAGAATCATAGAATTGTAGAGTTGGAAAGAGACCCCGAGGATCATCTAGTCCAGATGTTTTGGGACTACAACTCCCATCATCCCTGACCACTGGTCCTGTTAGCTAGGGATGATGGGAGTTGTAGCCCCAAAACATCTGGAGGGCCGAGTTTGCCTATGCCTGATCTAGTCCAATCCCCCGCAATGCAGAAGGCCTTCCAACCTCTGCTTAAAAACTTACCAGTGAAGGTTTTAAACCTTCAATGAAGGTCCGCAAGGCCTAAGAGTAACAAAGAATGTTCTGCAAGGAGAATGGACAAGGAAGAATGTCACACTCCTCCTCCTTAAAGTAAGTGTGATGGGAACAACTTATTACTGTACATTCCAGAAAAATCAAATGTTTGTAATTCACACTGGCTTTCCTGTTCACTTAGGTAAGAGCGGCAGTTTTACACATACGCCACTGTGTGCTGGCTGGATTTCTCAAGTGTGGCCAACTGAACACAACCGTATCCATTCTTTCAAGGACGTCAGAGCTCCCACTCTCAAGCAGCCTCTCTCTGGTATGCTTTGTGTTTGATTTTGTACGTCAGCTGTTCATCACTTGAATTCATAGGCGTAATAATAATACATTTTATTTATACCCTGCCCTCCCCGGCCAGAGCTGGGCTCAGGGCGGCTAACACCAGTAAAATTACAGTAAAAACACAATAGGAAAAAAACCCAATTTAAAACACAGTCATACCTCAGGTTACAGAAGCTTCAGGTTGCGGTTTTTTTTGGGTTACGGACCGCCGAAACCCAGAAGTACAGGAACGGGTTACTTCCAGGTTTCGGTAGTCATGCATGCGCAGAAGAACTAAATCAAGCTTTGCACATGCGCAGAAGCGCTGAATGGCAACCCGCGCATGCACAGATGCGCTGCTGCGGGTTGCGAAGGTGCATCCCACACGGATCACATTCGCAACCCGAGTGTCCACTGTACAGGTTAAAATGCAATTTAAAATGCAGCCTCATTTTAAAAGTAGCCCATAGATCAAAACCATAAGAGGAGGGAAACATAAGGGTCAGACTGAGTCCAAACCAAAGGCCAGGCGGAACAGCTGTCTTTCAGGCGCTGCGAAAAGATGTCAAGTCCCACAGGGCCCTAGTCTTTTGTGACAGAGCATTCCACCAAGTCGGGGCCAGTACTGAAAAGGCCCTGGCCCTAGTTGAGACCAATCTAACCACCTTGCGACTTGGGACCTCCAAAGTGTTGTCATTTGTGGACCTTAAGGTCCTCTGCGGGGCATACCAGGAAAGGCGGTCCCATAGGTATGTGCGTCCTAGGCCGCATAGGGCTTTAAAGACAAAGGGCTCATCCCTTCTACTGCACTCTTCCAAGAACTCAAGGAAGACTTTGCAGTTAGAACTGGCTGTCCATGGGTTAACCCTCCTGCCCCTTCTTCTTCATGCTTCAGTCAGAGATTAATATTCCATCCACACAAGGATGACTCAGGCTTCTTCCCCTTTGAAGTGGCTTGAAATCAAGAGGGTTTTTGAGACACATGAGCCCCGAGCTTGTGGGGCTGCCCAATATCTGTACGAAGCCCAGGGCGCGCTGTGCAGTGCGCCCCAGGCTTCGGGATGCAGGCTGCTATCCACAAGCCTTGGGAGCCCGACAGGAACTCCCGCGGGCTCCCAAGGCTTGCAGAGAGCTTCAGCGAAAACCTGCATTCGCCCCATAGGACGCACACACATTTCCCCTTCATTTTTGGAGGGGGAAAAGTGGGTACTATAGGGCGAAAAATACGGTAATTCAGATTTTAATTTTATCCTGACTTGTTTTTATGAGGTGATTTGAGTATTGTTTGATTTTATATCAATGTTTATATTTGATGTTAGCCGCCCTGAGACCGGTCTCGGCCGGGATACAAATAAAAGATGATGGTGATGATGATGATGATGATTATTACGGTCCAATACTGAAAAATTGAAGGGATTCTTGTATAAAGAGAACTTCGACATTTGTATAGGGGCTCAAGCACCTGTCGCAGTGGCAGAAATATTGACTCTTTCTGGCTTTTGGACTTTTTAAAAGAAAGAGGTCAAGATTGAGAGGTTGAGGAGAAAACCCTGCGTGGTCCTCAGTATTCTGTAACAATAGCCCCTCCAATGAAATGAATGGAAGGTTCTTTTGAGGGTGGGGAGCTTGGGGCATCCACAGGAATTTCCTAAATGCACAAGGATATGCTGTTATCATGACATTCCCGTGTTCCGAATTAGATGAAAGCTGATACTCACTACAGTGGTCCATGGCACTTGGGGGATCCGAGTGTACGTCATTGTCATGTAGATGATTAGGAAGAACAGCGTAAGGACCCAGTAAAACACAGCTACAAACATTACCCAGCCGAAGACAGGATATAGGAAATATTCTGTTCCAGCAATCAGCGTCCATACCAACAACCCCAAGACCTGCAAATATGCAAAGAAAACAGAATAGTGTTACCCAGAAGAAAGGCATGATATGTACATGCACAAAGCATTGTTCTGCTTCATGAAAATGGGTTACTGGAATAGAAGGCCAACTCTAAGCAATTATTTGCTGGCACAGAAATCACAGAACGGGATAGAGCTCCTATCCTATCACAGTTAATGGGAATAAGGTTTGAGTTTGGCGTAATCAGGATTTTACCACATCTAGGTCTGTCGTAAGAGGCATTTCTATATGAAAAGGATTTGTACAAATGTTAGCGCAACAGATTTGTTTCCAAAGCAATTTAAATAATATTTCACAGCCCAAAAACATCCATGGTTAAACAAGAGGCAATTTCAGTAGACAGACTGCTTGTACAATCTAAAATAATGAAAGCTAGGCAAAATGTGTAACATCAGGAAAACAGCTCTATAGTAAGGTAGGATGACAAAAAAAAGATTGGAATCCTTTAGTGAGAGTTTCATTTTGTCAACGCAGCAGAGACTCTACATTCAAAGTAATGTATGGAATCGTCTACTCTCTCCCTGGCTATGACCTTGAGGAAAATGTAAGTCTGAATAGCTTTAATCTATCTTTCCAAATCATTAGGATTATATCAGTTCCAAATGCCCATATTTAACAGGCCTTAAAACCAAAACTTACATACACTTTCATATTATAGAAAGAGGGTAAGCCATTTTACTTTGGCTTTTTTAAGGACCTACTATTATATTATCCTGAGCGTTGCTCAGGATATATCCCAATCCAATGCTAACTTAAACCGCAATCATAGAATTTTAGGAATATTTCACATCTTACATACACGTTCATTTTTCTTAATTGTAATTAACGCTTAAGAGGAACAAGAGAAAGGGGCTACTATAATTTTGGGCACGCTTATCCAAACCCTTAAATCTTATATTTGTTCATTTATATGTAGGAATATTTTATGCAAATGAAAAGCGTGTTAAATAATTGACGGGTGATTTATTTAATTTAGTAACAGGCCATATTAATATTCATTGTTATATTTTTATACAGGTTGTCATCAGTTGCAGACTATCATTTCTAGTACCAGTCAGCTGCTTCTGCCACTGGAGGTCACCATTGTTCTACATAGAAATGTGTCTTCTGCGGTATTAAAACAGTTTCTAAAAAACAGGTGATAGAATTTGGTTGTGATTTTTGCCTTGATCAACCTCCAGTTCTGAAATAACCAGTGGTAATCACTGAGTTATCCAGTTCTTCAAATCTCCATTAATGATCAATAACTATAATTTCTAATTGATCTATAATAAAGGTAAAGGTACCCCTGACTGTTAGGTCCAGTCACGGACAACTCTGGGGTTGTGCGCTCATCTCGCTCTACAGGCCGAGGGAGCCGGCGTTTGTTCGCAGACAGCTTCCGGGTCATGTGGCCAGCATCTGGCGAAATCAGAACAGCACACGGAAACACAGTTTACCTTCCCGCCAGAGTGGTACCTATTTATCTACTTGCACTCTGATGTGCTTTCGAACTGCTAGGTGCACAAGAGCTGGGACCAAACAATGGGAGCTCACCCCATCGCGGGGATTCGAACCACTGACCTTCTGATCAGCAAGCCTTAGGCTCTGTGGTTTAGACTACAGTGCCACCTGCGTCCTTAATGAATCTATAATAGTATCTACTTAAAGTACTTCTAACTGCCACAGCCACATAAGGGTGCAACTGCTTTTCTTTTTTCTTTTCTCTTGCATTAAAAACAGTTGTGAGCTTTATTGTAGCCTTTCCTTTCCCATGGTGCTAGCTTTGCTTTCCCTGGTCTAGTTTTCTCATTGGTCCAGTTGCAGATTTTAACACTGGCTTCCTAAATAATAAAATGATGCTTTGCAAGTTGGCAGCCAGACACGTTTTGCTCTCCCTTCCGCTGTTTATCTTAACCATTGCTTAGAGGTAACCTGTCCACATAGGCTAATAAGTGTTCATTATTTATTTTAGGCTTGAGTATCCAGCAAGCAAGGCGACAAGAAGAAATCATAACATATTCTACAAACCACGAAAGGGGCAAAGGGCTTGTAACACAGAGGGCAAACAGGATATTATGAGGCAGGCTTGCCTAATTGTGGTAGTCAACTTTTTTGACACACCAAACTAGCAAATAATGAATGGGTTATTCTGATAAGTCCCCTAGATGTCTCTCGGGGTGTGTGTGTGTGTGTGTGTGTGTGTGTTACAGCCTCATATATTTTCTTAGCTGGCTGGGCCTGTGAATATTTAAATCAATTTGCAAGAGACATTTTTAATACTGTGGAAATGCTGTATTTCACACAAGTATACAGATATGGATTGAGCATAAGTCATCAGCCAACAGCCAGCCTGACCTTTTCAAAATTGTAATCAAGAAATGTGTAATGTTGTTTTGGAGTTTTGTCAGGCTCAATGAAATACAGTGTTCAGCTTTCCTGAAACAGCTGGAAATGTCAAACACCCCTGAACCCATTATATCTCAAAGCTGAGACCAAAATTAATGAAGTGAGCCTCAAAGCTCACACGCAGCCTAGAAGAACATCTTGTTGATCATCTTTATCAGGAAATAAATGTTTTTGTTATGGATGAAGACTAGAAATATTCCTTCTTTATTTCAGAGAATCATAAAATGGTAGAGTTGGAAGGGACCTCTGTGATCATCTAGTCCAACCCCCTGCAATGCAGGAATCTTTTGCCCAACATGGGGCTTGAACCCACAACCTTGAGATTAAAAGCCTCACGTTCTACCAACTGAGCTATCCCAGAGCTTTTGTTAATCTTTTCCCATTAGGCATCTCAAAGTGATTTGCAATGTAACTAAAAGAGCAATCCTAGATGGAAGGGGGGTGGCATAGAAACTTCAATCAAAAGCACTGCCAGCCTCACACATGGGGGAGGAATCTTTCCTTTCTTCTCCCTTTTAAAGAGACATCGGTCACCATTTGTAAGTATTGAAAGTAAGTACAGTATGTCAACTGGTGCAACCCTTGCTATTGCTATCTTTCATGGTGTGATGTCAGAAGAACAGAGGAGGGGTTTTGCATTCTGCATATCCATAGCCCCTCCTGCTGATGTGCCCATAGATCATAGACTTTTTGCCTGGTCCAATAGAGAGTGTGGTCTCATTCACATAATGGCCTGGTACAGATTTCAAATGTCCCCAGTTCAATAATTGTGGTTTGTTGGAATGGGAGCAAGTCATGAGCTGAGGTGCTCCCCCTTCTCTCACACACCTGCCTTGAGAGGATACTTTCTGGTTGTTTAAACTACAGTTTCCCATGGTTCCTGCAAACAATGGTTTGCAGTGCTGGGTTTTGGACATCACCATTTGTTGGGCCAAGTACGTTTCAGACGCAGCCGGTCATTGCATCTATGAAAGACCCTGTCTTCAGAAGCAACAAGATGCAACTTGCTATCTCTTGATCTAATCTGCTTCATAAAGCTACTACAATGATAAAATGGGAATACATCCTATAGGCTCCTCTGCAATTTCTTAGGTGGAGGGATGAACAGTCAAGCCAAGTTTGTTTACTGAAGGATCTCAGAAGTCATCACAATAACAAGTAGGAGAAAGTTAGTAACACAATAAAGAACTTTCGTGTCCATAAACCTGCAATTCTTGAACCTCTGCCGAGATACTTCTTTATGAAGGAAAGAGCAAGTCTGTAGCAGCGTATAAAGGATATGATGCATGCAAATCTATTGCTGGTGTGATAGTTTCTAAACCTTGATTTATTATAGCAGTGTTGGATCCTGTTAAGACATAACTCTCCCCCACAAAAAAAACCCCATAAACACCCCAAAAGGTTTATGTTTTCAGACTCTAACATAGAACTTGGATAATCAAATACATGTGGACTATATTTCAGAGATCCATTGTGAAAAATAGCTCTGTGCAATCACTTTGTTGCCAGCAATGCACATATTGATGAAATAGGAACATCTTTGTGCAACAGAATAAATGGACAAAAATCAGGTATTACATATGGCAAAGCTCAAAAACCTAGTGGCGCAGAAATAAAACTGCTAGCACATTTGCAGAGCTAAGCAGGGTTCAGTATGGATTCAAATTGGATGGGGGACCATGTGTTGATATTCCAGCATTGCAGAGGTTTGGACTAGATGACCCGCGGTGCCCTTTCCGACTCCTCAATTCTATGACATGCTGTAACAGACTTGAAAGCAGCTGTGCTTCAACACAAGGGTATTTAAGGAAGCTAAGCTCCAAAGTTGGAATTCATGTGCACTATCAGACTTAGGCTCAATGCAGGGAGCAGGAAGCAATTGTCTCAATCTAGACTTGTTCACACAATATTTATCTGGCTTTGCAAATTCATCGCTGGTTGGATGGTGGGCTGCACCAACTTGGCTTCTATTCATTTTGACTAGTTCTCCTTATCATTTATGCCCTGCACAATAAAGTAAAAGACACATGCACCTCATTGCTTTGCTGGGCCTCCCGGCTTGTAATAATTTTTCTCCACCTTTTGCTCTGCTTTGTTTAGTACTCATGAATATACTGTACTTAACCCGTCAACTAAGAACACGTCATACAACTGTCAAAGTGGGCACTGGCCCAGGATGGCATGTGCCACAATAAGACTGTTAAGTCTTATAGATGTCATAGACCCATAGAGTTGGAAGAGACCCCAAGAGCCATCTAGTCCACCCTCCTGCAATGCAGGAATCTCAGCTAAAGCATCCACAACAGATGGCCATCCAACTTTTGCTTAAAAACTTCCAAGGAAGATTCTTCCTTCTCAAAGAAGACTCTTCACTGGTTTAACCTGCACCCTTCTAAACTAGAATAAACAGATGCCTATTTCTCAATGGAGAAATTTTTCCCAGTAGTGATGTATGGAAGTGAGAGCTGGAACGTAAAGAAGGCTGATTGCCAAAGAATTGATGCTTTTGAATTCTGGTGCTGGAGGAGACTCTTGAGAGTCCCATGGACTGCAAGAAGATCAAACCTATCCATTCTTAAGGAAATCAGCCCTGAGTGCTCACTGGAAGGACAGATCCTGAAGCTGAGGCTCCAATACTTTGGCCACCTCATGAGAAGAGAAGACTCCCTGGAAAAGACACTGATGATGGGAAAGATGGAGGGTAGAAGGAGAAGGGGACGACAGAGGACAAGATGGTTGGATAGTGTTTTCGAAGCTACCAACATGAGTTTGACCAAACTGCAGGAGGCAGTAGAAGACAGGAGTGCCTAGTGGACAGGAGTGCCTAGTTGGACACAACTAAACAACAAAATTTCTCAATGGAAAGCTGTAACACATTAGGTTTTTTTTAATGTTCCAGTACTTTTCCTACTCAATTAAGAATGTTCGTTTCCTACAGTGGAGTACAATGCAACAGGATCTCACAGATCCATTGGGGAGAAAAGACTCTGGTTTTCCTTTTTCAAGCCTTGTCCCAGTTTGCTTCTGGCAGAATTTCAGAAAGCCAAGGCCTCCATCCTTGCAAGGATCTCCGCTTGACCTTACACAAAAGGGACTGTCTGCTCTGCTCTCTTACAGTTTTGACATAATCAGATCAAAGAAACACAGCTTTCCTCCTTTCCCCCCCTCTTCCGTCCTCCTTGCTGAAATGAATCTCCTTGAAATCTTCACTGGCACCAGTATTGTTCTTCAGCACACACCAAAGCATACTTAGGTTTCACGAGAACAAATGGGTCTGAATTTCACTGAACTGCAGATAAAATCTGGACTCCCTAAGTAGCAGCGGCTAGTGCAAAATGCAAATAGATGGCAACTCGCTTGGGCAAAGGTACTCTGAGTATCTCCAGCTGTTAGGCTGATGACATGTCCAAATACAACTGAGTTCACCAGCAGTTAATACAGCTAAAACTCTATTGCAGGATCGGGAAGTATATACATTTTTTTCTGCTGAGGGCTATATTCCCTCAAGAGTAATCTGTTACGGGATGAATACTGGTGGTGGGAAGAGCCACAGGCAAAGGTGTTATGGATTAAACTAATTCAAAATAAAGGATGCTTCAATCTTCATCATGACAACCTCAAATTAAAATTCCCAGGCTTATGCAAGTTTATTCAGAAGTAAGCCCCACCAGGTTTGGAAGATTTGCTCTCAAATGGGTAGATAAAAAATTATTTCAGTACCAGAGACCAATACAGCTAGTGTTCTGGAAAGCGAGCGAAAGTAATTCCGCTCCGACTTTGATGTGTTTACAGTGGTACCTCGGGTTACATATGCTTCAGGTTACATACGCTTCAGGTTACAGACTCCGCTAACCCAGAAATAGTACCTTGGGTTAAGAACTTTGCTTCAGGATAAGAACAGAAATTGTGGCGCGGCAGCAGCAGGAGGCCCCATTAGCTAAAGTGGTGCTTCAGGTTAAGAACAGTTTCAGGTTAAGTATGGACCTCCGGAACGAATTAAGTACTTAACCCGAGGTACCACTGTATATGTCTACACACACACACACACACACACACATACAAGACAGGAACTTACAAGTCTGTTCTCAGAGATCTGGCAAAAGCCTCTTTTACCCAACCATACAACCAGGGAAATGTTGTGGGTTTTTTAAAGAGCAATTATTATTTTTAAATGAAATACTGTCCCTTGCAATTTTTCTGAAACAAAAAGAGGCGGAAGAGATACTTTCATGAGCCAGATCTTTTAATAGGTAAGCTAACACTGCTGTGGGAACTCTTATGGTATAAACCAGCGGTTTTCAACCTTTTTGAGTCCACGGCTCCCTTGACCAACTACATTCTTTCTGCGGCACCCCTGTGGGGCTCAGGAGCCCAGTTACGTCACCCTTTGCCTGCAGATCTGGCAGCCTCTCACCCTTTTTTGAGCACGCACGCTCCCTTGTGGAGTGGTCCCTCAGCCTCCTCTCCCCTTTCCTTGGGAGTCCTCTGGGCAGCAGCTGCTGCAACAAACAGTTGTCCAAGCCTTTGGGAGGCAGAGACAGGAGAGGGCATCAGAGGAGGGAGGGAAGGAAAGAGGCAGAGAGGCTAGTGCTGCCTGTGGCACCCCTGACCATCATTCAAGGCACCCCAGGGTGCCATGGCACACTGGTTGAAAAGCACTCGTATGAAGCAACAACTTTGATGCCACATTTCTTTCCTCAACTGAATCTAATTTTAAAATACTGAATAACTTTTCTCAGAAGCTGGCACCAGGTTTATCCCCCTCGTCTTCCACACTAACAAAGGAGCTTGCAGAGAACCAGCCATATTCCACCATAAACTTATCAATTAGGCTGCATCTTGTCAACTGGCTCAACATTGGGTACATAACTTCATAAAACCAGGGAACAGACTTACAAAAACAAATGAAGACCTTCACTGTTTCAACTTGCTTCTACTTTGTTTTCCAACGTGTCATATTTTTCCATGAATAAGACGGTGGTTTTTTAATTATTCATTATTATTATTTTTGGCGGCTGTTTGCATCAAGCGGGCAGACGATGGGTCAACAACTCTGGGCAATCTCCCCCCCAAAAATGCTCCACAACTCTGGGCAATCTCCCCCCATTTCCTTAATTTGGTATCCCCAAAAATAGGGGTCATCTTATACACGGAGGCGTGTTATACACAAAAAAATACAGTATTTCATATCAATAAAAAAATTGGTGAGGCGCGAACAGATTTTTATTCTGAAATTGTGGCCTAGAGAAACAAGTTTGAGAACTACTGTGCTACAAGCTTCTTTCTGATCTCACCTCCAAGTACACTTACTTGGATGCACGTCTCATCCTGTTTCTCAGTTTCATTGTATTTTGATTGTTTTCATTCCATTTCCCTTTTGCTTTTAAATGAGCTGCTTTAGGGTCCCCTTTGCAAGAGCCAAAAAGCAGTACAGTACATATAAAAAAGTTTATAAATAAATGAATTCCAATTCATGGGACTTACACTTTCAACTAAACAGGATGAGGATCATCAACCTATGAGAGACTTTCAACATTTCATATTTCACATGGGGGGAAAATGTGTGGAATGTAAAATACTAGACTAAAGTATGCCCTTTGTATAAGCAATTGCATAAAATATTCCCTTTGAAAAAGAAACTTGGGACTTTTTTTTTTTTTTACTTCAGTCCTAAAATTTGCCCTTTAATATTAAAAGGTTTTATTTACATTGATATTGTTTAAATGCAAATACACTGTGTAGCAGGAACCCCCCACCCCAATCATTCAGTTTGTACAAACTTCACACACTCACACTCACACACTACATATGCCACACTTCTGTTATAAATTCATAGAAAAATCAACCATACATCGGATTTGCACTGTTCCATTTTTATTTTACTCCATATGACAAGGACTATCAAAGGGGGGTGGCTTGGTTCTGGTCAGCCATAATCCCTTCACCATCCCAGCACATCCACAGGAGCCCTGCCCAGTTGCTATGCCAACCCTGATGGTCCTAGACAGAAGACCATCAAGATCACAAAGAACTTGCATATGGGAGTGGATTCAGCATGGACTGAAACAAAGGACAATGATCAGATCTTCCCTCTGGGGGCAGGAAACTGCCAACTCCCCTTTGTCTCCTGGAAGTGACTCATGGGCAGGGGGAAAGGAGGAACCAGCCAGGTGACAGGACACTCAGGTTACCACCACAACTCCTCCCTCAACCCCTCCTTTCTGTAATGTATGCATGATGTTTCTGGGGGTGGGCTTGACCTAGAGGATGGGAATTTCAAAAGTTTTTATAAGGTCTTGCACACCATCTTTCTGGGTCTTTCCTCTCTCCTGCAAGTGAGGGGAACACCCTGTTGCAACAGTTCAATAAAGGCCAAGCCTACAGGCTGCTGTTTTGCTCCAAGTTATCCTGGTTGGTGTCTTTGTTTTTGTCCAAGGGAGCCCTCGGATTTTTCCGGTAACAACTGTAATGAAGAGTTGTCTTTTTAATGGCTTCAGATTTAATATCCCATTGTATTACTGAGCCAGTGCTATGCCTAAATAATATCTGAGTGACGTCCCCCTCCCCCATTTCTTTTCTGTTGAGGAATGTCTAACAGTGGCTGTTAACAACTCCTGACCAAAGATTTATTTACATTGGTTGGTTTGTTTAAAGAGTTTCTAACCATTGCAAAAGAACAATGCTGTATACATCTGCTTCATTAATAGTGGCAAGCTTTTTTGTTGTTTTTTGACTCTCCACCTTCCTGCTACGCCATCTATATATAGCTGGCACCATCATTGTTCTGTGAATCTGTTTTTAACATGAGAAAAAGCTTTCCCTAACGCTTGTTAGAAACAAGATTTGCATTGACTCCTGTTGCAATAAAAGCTGAACATCTAAACAAGGCAGAGACAAAATGGAAACATGGTCCAACCAGACAACAGATGCATTAACATATTCTCAAAGAAACCATTTAAGAACAATTCTAAATTTTTGTACTGTACATCTTACTTATGACATTTGCATGCTGCACCACAAGTTCTCTTGGCAGCTTACAAGAAATAAGTATGAAAACAATTTGAATGCAAAATGAAACATGAATACATAAACTGAAAAGTGAGATAAATGCAACAAGAAAACAAAACTCAATCCACAACCTCAAAGTGAAAAACAAAACAAAACAAAACAAAATTCTAAATCCCTTCCACAAGACTATTCATGTTTTTAAATCAGAAGACTGGAACCTTCATTTATGCTTGTGAAGTAAAGTACTTTCAGCTACTCTGCATAATCCAACAGAAGAGTGAACATTCTCTAGACAATTTGCAGCAAAACACATTCAGGGTATATAGATCAAGCAGTGCAAACATTAACTTCTCAAACTCCATAGAAGGGACCCAAGGGTCATCTAGTCCAACCCCCTGCAAGGCAGGAATCTCAGCTAAAGCATCCCTGAAAGATGGCCATCCAACCTCTGTTTAAAAACCTCCAAGGAAGGAGAGCACACCACCTCTTGTGAGCATCTGTTCCACTGCCTGACAGCTCTTACTGTCAGAAAGTTTTCCCAAATGTTTAGTTGGAATCTCCTTTCTTGTAACATGAAGCCACTGGTTCGAGTCCTACCCTCCAGAGCAGGAGAAAAGACGCATGCTGCCTCCTCCATGTGGCAGCCCTTAAGATAGTTGAAGATGGCTATCATATCTCCTCTTGGTCTCCTCTTTTCCAGGCTTAACATACCCAGCTCCTTCAAGCGCTCTTCATAAGGCTTAGTTTTCAGACCCTTGATCTTCTTGGTTGCACACGTTCCAGCTTGTCAACATCCTTCTTAAATTATGGTGCCCAGAATTGGACACAGTATTCCAAGTATGGTCTGAGTAAGGCAGAATAGAGTGGTACTATTACTTCCCTTGATCTGGACGCTATCCTTCTGTTGGTGCCACCTAGAATAGCATTAGCTTTTTCACTGCTGCATCAGACCTGTTATTCCAAATAACCCAATGGGCCAATTTGGAAACAAATTATTTAGATTCTTAGTATAAGACTTATACAACAGAAAATAATATTCAGAGTCCACTGGACTCCAGCAAAACTATACCAGAAGAAAATAACAAGTGCAGACAACTGCTGGAGATGGGGGAGTAAAAATGTTAACTTAGTACATATGATGATTAAATGTCCGATGATAAAATCATTTTGGTGTGAGGTGAGGATAGTTATAGCAAGAGTAATAAAAAGAAATTGTTATTTAGGGGAATTGAATTTAATTCTAAATTATATTCTGGAAACGTGGGAGATTACAAGGGGTCAAAAGAATGTATGTACCGTGCCATAATAGAAGCAAAAAAAAACTTGTTTTGATGAATTGGAAGAGCCGCAAAAAGATTCCATTGAGCACATGGATTGATAATATGGACAGACTAGCTACATATGAACGAACTGCATGCCAACACAAATTAAGAATGTATAAATATGAAGAAATCTGGAAGGAATATTTAAGCAATAAGGCGGACAATGGTGGGAAATAGGAGGAGGAGAGTTGGGGAAATATTGTTTAAAAGGTGTAGTCATAGGTATATCAGTATTCAAAGTTGAATTGTCAAATTGTGTTAGTAGTGTTATTATGGTTTCTGTTGTATGTGTCTTTTGCGGTTGTTGAAAAAATGATTAAATAAATTAAAAACAAGCAAACAAATTATTTAGATTCTTTGCCTATGGAACAAGCAGCGTGCATTTGGGCACTGCCTGTCAGAGAAGAGCGCCAATCTAGGTCCAGCTCTCCTGTTTTCCTCAACTCAAATTTCCAGGCAATTCCGATGAACCCTAAAAATTATGGACTTCATATTGCTCTAGGATACACATAAGAAACGCCTGCTGATAAGGCCAACCACATGCCTATGAGAAGCCCTCAATCATGACTCAAGCAGGACAGCATTATTCCCATCTACAGTTCCCAGAATTCAGGGTGTTCAGAGGCCAACTGCCTCAGGTAGCAGAGGTAAAGCATAGTCATCAGTTAGAAGCCCTGATACACATATCCTTCATGAATTTGTCTAATCCTCTTCTATTTTTTAATTATTGGAAATTTCAACACAATAAAGGTACCCCTGCCCGTACGGACCAGTCGTGTCCGACTCTAGGGTTGTGCGCCCATCTCACTTAAGAGGCCGGGGGCCAGCGCTGTCCGGAGACACTTCCGGGTCACGTGGCCAGCGTGACGAAGCTGCTCTGGCGAGCCGGCACCAGCGCAGCACACGGAAACGCCGTTTACCTTCCCGCTATAAAGCAGTCCCTATTTATCAACTTGCACTTAAGGGTGCTTTCGAACTGCTAGGTGGGCAGGAGCTGGGACCGAAAGACGGGAGCTCACCCCGCCGCGGGGGTTCGAACCGCCGACCATACGATCGGCAAGTCCTAGGCACTGAGGTTTTACCCACAGCGCCACCTGCGTCCCTTCAACACAATAGTTTTATCAAAAATACATCATCCACATTATTATTATTTTCCTCTCCATTTTCCCCCTCCCCCCCTAAACAAAACAACCCCCCCCCAACCTCCCACCCCAGCCCCGGACTTCCCTCAGCTCCTTTCTCTGGTTTCTCAACACATATTTCTATCTGCATGTTATAAAATTGTAAAAATCCTCAAGTTGTCTATCTATATCTTACAATAAACAGTTTGGGAATGTTTATTCAAAACCTGCCAAAGAGTCCAGTTCATTTTGTTGCTTCTTCAAATATTTCATAAAAGGTTCTCATTCGTCTTTGGAGTAACAGTTATCCTTATCACGTAGTTTGTGTGTCAGTTTTGCCAATTCCACATAATCCATCAGTTTTTCTTGCCACAGTTCTTTCGTCGGGATTTCCTCATTCTTCCATCCTTGTGCTATTAAGACTCTTGCCGCCGTTGCCGCATACATAAAAATATGTTTTACAGGTCTTTACCCACTATCCCTGTCTAATCCTCTTCTAAACCCAGCCAAGATGGTGGACATCGTTGCCTCTTCTGGGAGCAAATGCTATAGTTTAACTATGCCCTGTGCATCTTTCATCTGTACCGAGTCTCCCAAAGTTTAGCTTCGTTTAATGCCACTGAGTTTTAATATTTAAGAGGAATGAACACTTTTCCCCATCTGCTTTCCCAGCATTGTTTGTCATTTTATCGCACAGTCCTTGGAGAGGTAAAACGCATTCCTTGAAGGTCAAAAGAGGAGCCATAATTGAGGCCTGTGCACAGAGCTTTCTCTCTTGATACACACCCACACAGGATTCTCTGTTTCTTTTTTCAGTTTCAGTCCCACCAGAGGGTGCTCAAGGTGGCTGACGACAGTAAAAGAGAGACCAAAATACCAAGCGAGAATTAAACACCTAAAACCAGGCAGGTAGAAAAATCCCTAACAACAGCCATCAAGCAATCTGCTTGAACAAATGGCAACATATTGACAGCGGCCAAAACATCGTTCATTAAGTCATTCATTCAGCTTTTTATAAGGTCAGGTGCCTGCCTCCATAAATACATATTTGCTTGATCATCAGAGAATGAGCAGCTGCCAGGGCTGAATAATACCAGTCCTACACTGGTTCCCAGTATGTTTCCGAGCACAATTCAAAGTGTTGGTGCTGACCTTTACAGCCCTGAACAGCCTTGGCCCAATATACCTGAAGGAGCGTCTTCACCCCCATCATTCAGCCCAGACACTGAGGTCCAGCTCCAAGGGCCTTCTGGCGGTTCCCTCATGGCAAAAAGTGAGGTTACAGTGAACCAGGCAGAGGGCCTTCACAGTAGTCATCCCTGCCCTGTGGAACGCCTTCCAGTCAGATGTCAAGGAAATAAACAACTATCTGACTTTTAGAAGACATCTGAAGGCAGCCCTGTATATGGAAGTTTTTAATGTTTGATATTTTACTGTGCTTAATGTTTTAACTGCTGGAAGTCGCCCAGAGTGGCTGGAGAAATCCAGTTAGATAGGCGGAATATTAATAATAATAATGCACCCACAAAAAGTTATGTTCTCCACAGCCTGCCCAAAAGCTGTTTGGCAAACTGGAGAAATGTAATTTTGTCAAGAGAAAATGGTACACAAATGGGGAGGTATGCCTATATGAATGTCTATGAATTTACCCCCCACCCAGTACAAGTCCCACCCACCATCACATATGGCTTCATGGAATGAAATAGTTGTCCACCTCTATTCCACTCCCATGAACAATGTAACATTGGTGGACAAGCTTCTTAGAACTTTAATCGGCTGTTTCACTGGACATCCTCTTCAGCCAAGGAGATCTGCAAAATAGCACACATCCTCCTTTGTTTCCCTGTGTTACGCTGTTCATGTGAGGAGTTAAATGCACAAGGGAGCTAGCGACAACACCCCAAACCAGCTCTTAAGTAGAATAACATGATAATTTAGTTCCAACCTGAAGACCTCATAAACTAGCATTGTTGTTTGTATGGAAATGCTTTGTAATTGCTTCCAGCGGACCTTGTGAAAATGCAGAGCTAAAGAAGCTCCATCTACATTGGAGAAGGTTTCCAGTGCCGAGATAGGAAAATTGCAAAAGGAATGCAAGGCAAGAGAATCTAAAGGCAATTCCATTGACTGCAAGACCTGCAGACCTTTTCTGGCATTTAAAAGCCACTATATGTCAAGACTGTCAAGTTCAATATTATTCAGCACAGTACATTACACAGAGCCTGAATTATTTATTCTCTTATCCCACAATTATTGTGAGTGTTGGGTGGGTGGGTGGTTTTTTTTGGGGGGGGGGAGAGAGGTACTGGCCTTCAAATGCACTGTAATATAAACCAAGCAACCTGTACTTGCTCAAAATCACTGCTCACCACCCCTGCATATAGTTTAGACCAGTGTTTTTCAACCTTTTTTGGGCAAAGGCACACTTGTTTCATGAAAAAAATCACGAGGCACACCACCATTAGAAAATGTTAAAAAATTTAACTCTGTGCCTATATTGACTATATATAAAGTAATTCTCTTGAATAGGAATCAAATAAACACAAAGAAAGTATTTTATAATTACTTTATTATGAAATAGTAAGTAAACAGAAATATGAAAAATTATAAAATACTTCATTCAGTGTGAAACCTGGGCCTGTTTGGCTGAACACAAAGCTGATATTCTGGCTGGAATCGAAGAAAGACACACACTGTGTTCGGGCGGGAAGAAAGTCGGAAGATGATGTCCTACTGTGATAGGTCCAGGCTGGAGTCTGGACCAATCACACCCCGGACATCAGAAAAGTGGAGGGTGTCCCCCTGAGGAGCGCCAATCAGTGCCCCTGCTGCCCAAGGGTGGGGTCAAAAACCCCACCCCCCATACCCAGGACACAGTCCGGCCCCCGCCTAGTGGGCGAAAATTTGAATTTTATTTTTTAAAAAATCTTTCGAATTTTTCAATTTTTCCCACGGCACACCAGGCAACATCTCGCGGCACACTAGTGTGCCGCGGAACAGTGGTTGAAAAACACTGGTTTAGACAGCCAAGCTCACAAACCATGGCATACAAACATTTTCTGTTGTGAAGTGGTGTTGGGAGGTGCAGTCTTAAATAAAGAAACAGCATTGCTGGAAAAGGGTGGTTTTATTGCCCAGCCTGTTTTCTTTCCACCAAGAATCTCAGCTGCCAAAGATGCTTTGCAGTATATAACTGCTGGCAAAAATATCAACATGCAAGCGGGTGAAGATTTCTCTTTTCACTGTGCTGCAGTTCCAAATCCAGAATAAGAAGCTTCTTGTTACATTTAATCTTCCTGTAGTGCGGGACTCGGGAACATCTGACCCATGGACCAAATGTAGCCTTCATACACACACACACACACCCCTCTGGTGTCAGAAAAGACACCAGGTGTGGGAAAGGCAAGAGTGAGATTTAAAAGTTGTTCCACTGATCAAGAAAGACATGCTGCTGCCTCCAGCCTCACTCCCTGCTTCTTCTTTGAACTGTAGAGGGTGTTTTAAGGCACACTTCTGTCCCATCAACTGATGGGTAGCTGAGAGCATCCCTCAAACTCTCCCGGCTTCTTCTTAAAATAAAGGTAAAGGTAAAGGGACCCCTGACCATTAGGTCCAGTCGTGGCCAACTCTGGGGTTGCGGCGCTCATCTTGCTTTACTGGCCGGGGGAGCCGGCGTACAGCTTCCGGGTCATGTGGCCAGCATGACTAAGCCACTTCTGGCGAACCAGAGCAGCGCACGGAAACGCCGTTTACCTTCCCACCAGAGCGGTACCTATTTATCTACTTGCACTCTGACATGCTTTCGAACTGCTCGGTTGGCAGGAGCAGGGACAGAGCAACAGGAGCTCACCCCGTTGCGGGGATTCGAACCGCCGACCTTCTGATCGGCAAGTCCTAGGCTCTGTGGTTTAACCCACGGCGCCACCCTCATCCCTCTTCTTAAAATACCCATGGTTTAAAGAAGCAATGTGGGGCCCTTCTTTGTAAACTTCCCTGTGTTGGTATGCTCTCAAAGGGCTGCTTGACAGTCCTGCTGTTGGCTTTTCAAGTCCTGACAACCGGGTAGCATCTCTGGGGTAACGTCACTATGATGTCAGTTGATTGGCAGGTAGGCAGCCCTGCTCACCTGTTAACTTTGGCCCATCATGGGTGAGGGGAATAAAGACGTGGCCCTCTAGCCACCACCAGAACAGGTTCCCCACACATTTGTGGTGCCACACAAATACATCCTCTGCCGTGAGCCAGGATAAGCATGGGGGGAAAGTGACAGAACGGCACCTGCCCCCCTCTGTTTAATCCATCCTGTTAATTATTGATGTAAATGACAAACAGACATAAGTCAACACACAGGAGGTTTCCCCTAGCAATACAGTACAGCTCAGATGTTGCATAAAGCAACATAGTGCATCTTTGCTGGTTCCTGACATTTCATCTGCCTCACCTGGATTTGGGTCTGAAAGACCAAGGAAAAGTTGTTGTGGAAGGTTAAGTTGTAATTAAGCACAGCTTGTGATTACAACGTTGCAAAATATACCGTATTTTTTGCACCATAACACTCACTTTTTTCCTCCTAAAAAGTAAAGGGAAATGTCTGTGCGTGTTATGGAGGGAATGCCTACAGGTGGCATGCCTACGGATTTTCCTCTTCTAAAAACTACGTGCGTGTTATGGTCGGGTACGTGTTATAGAGCGAAAAATACGGTATTTGCATTTGTTAAGGCATCATCAGCCTTAGCTTCCCATTTCCTGGCTTTGTAGGGTTTTCTCTAATCATTGCATTGAAATTGCAATGCTGATCAAATAGGATTTAGTTATACCAACTATGACCAAAAACCCATCCCTTTCTTTAAAAAGTGTACTTTTGCATTAATCACCATGCAAACATTACCTGCCTTCCCAAGTCGTGGCAGGATGACAACCTCTATCTCCCCACTATGACCAGTGAGCAGATGCAAGGATTTCCCCCATTTCCAACCTTTAAAGCTTTCGAAGATAAACCAGGTTTTTGGGAACATTTGGAAGTCCACAATGTGTGTTGACTATAGTAAGGTAAAGGTGAAGGGACCCCTGACCATTAGGTCCAGTCGTGGCCGACTCTGGGGTTGCGGCACTCATCTCGCTTTACTGGCCGAGGGAGCCGGCGTACAGCTTCCGGGTCATGTGGCCAGCATGACTAAGCTGCTTCTGGCGAACCAGAGCAGCACACGTAAACGCCGTTTACCTTCCCACTGGAGCGGTACCTATTTATCTACTTGCACTTTGACGTGCTTTCGAACTGCTAGGTTGGCAGGAGCAGGGACCGAACAATGGGAGCTCACCCCGTCGCCAACCTTCCAATCGGCAAGTCCTAGGCTCTGTGGTTTAACCCACAGCGCCACCCGCGTCCAGTTGGCTATAGTACCTCTGAAATATTTACGGGAGTTTTAGAACATGGGGGTCTCTTTCCTTCATGACCCCATCTTTCCTGGAACTCAAACTCTACTGCGCATTCCTGGAGAAGGTTTGGAACAGCCATGAGAAAGGGACTCTCCCCTATTTCATCTCTCCTCATTCAGTTTTCCTTATGTTCTGATACAGCAAAGTAAGACTTTCTATCACTATTTAAGATTGAAACCATTAAAATTTATCTGCTTGCTTATTTTCAGATCTAGTTTCTGCACCAAAGAGGCCCAAAATTGTGAAAATAAGAACTGAATTCTACAAGTTTTAGAAACCAAGGACACAATTCATGCAAAGTTAAAAGTTTAAAAGCCTGTGGGAAATTGAAGGATGTGCTTAATGCTCTGTTGAAACCACAAGGTCTTAGAAGTGCTTAACTTTCCCTGGGTAAATTTGTCTAATTTATTCTGCCATTTTTACTATTTTGCCTAATTTATCCTACTGCTGGAAAGACCCAATATGCTACCTGAACACTGTGATCCTTTCAAACTACTCCAAAACTTCTCCAGAAATTCCTATGGCTTCTGAGATCTTACCAAGCATTGAAACAAAAGACAGTACATAGTCATATCACCTCTGAAACTCTACTTCTTCACGTAATCTTATAAGGAGAACATAAATGCCAACATGTAACTAACTTAAAGAATTTGGCTTCATTAATCACTAGTGAGTGATGAAGTGAGTTTTGACTGGTCTCAACAATGGCACTTTCTAAAGCAGGGCCATTACCTCCCAGAGATTATCTTGCTCTGCAAATATTTGCCACTACAGCCCTTTTCCGTTGGACAAAGAGACAAGCCAATGGGTTTTGCACAATGCGTCTGGTCATGTCTGATGATAACCAGATTCTAGAAATAAATCCCCAACAAGCTCATTAAAGTATTGTGTGACTCACTGCATATTGTCTGGTTTGATCATTCCCAACAGGTGAAAGAATCAATGACTTCTTGCTCTTAGACATTTCTACTATTAAGAGAAAGGGAAAATAAGCTTTAGACATGCATCAATTGATATAATCTGTAATGGTAATTTGTCCTTATAAAAATGGGGGTGGCAGGCAGAGGGCAGCCCCCTATTTCTGTCCCCACCTTCTCTCTTCTCTCTCAATCCCTATCTCACCATTTTCATCCCGCCTTGCCACCCCAGCAAAACTCCCCCTCTACCCCTTTTATATAAAATATCATGGGGTTAACAGCTGATATTTTATAAACAGGAAGGCGAAGACTCAGCACATTGGATCTTTTACTCTTTTTGACTGATTCTCCTTGTCCTTAGTGCTCTAAATAATACTTTGACACATCTGCTACTAACTCTAGGTGTGCTGGTCCCGAGGGTCAACCGTGTGGCGAGGTATGAGTCCAGTCCAAGATCAAGGGTCCGGTATGGAGGCTGTCCATCAAAGGCAAGGCAGGGTCCAAGGCAGGGAGTCAGGTGAGGTCAGGAACTCTGGCAGAGGAGCAGGACAGGGTTCAGGCAGGAACAGGCTACCAACAATGTTGCTCCCGCAACCTGGGACTGGGGCTGACTGGCTTTTATCTGCCCCAAGGCATAGGGCAGCCCCGGTCCACAGGTGACTCGCCTCTCCTGGCCTGGAGGTGAGCACTCCTCCTGTAGGAACTTAGTTCCCTCCGCCTCTCTGCCCTGAGCCTCTGGAGAGGCTGGAGCTCAGGAGAGGCTGGAGGGTTACCGGACCCAGAAGCAACCTCCTCTTCCCCTGATGGGGCTGAGAGTGGAGCACCTGCAGGCAATGGGTCCTCCATCACCTCAGGAGCCAGAGCAGACTCAGCTGGTGCCTGCACCTAAGGTGAGGACTCTTCAGGCTCAGGCCCCAGCCCCGGCTCAGCTGGTTCTGGAGGCGGGGACTTCTGTGCAGGCTGGGATTCCTCAGGTTCAGCCTCTGAGTCCAAATCCCAGGCCAACACACTGGGGCTGCTAGGCCCTCTGGTCTCGTTTGTAATAACATTTTGCTCCCTATTCCATCATTCTTCCATGCAGACAATCTGCTGACTGAGGGCAAGACTTTAGTGTGTTTAATGAAGTGGGCTGTGGCCCATGGAAGACCATCCTACAAGATTTAAAATAAAAATAAACAAATAAAATTCCCAGGTGTCAAAAGACTTCCTGTGCTTTTGTTGCATATCATAACTGTTACCCACTGGAATAATGAATTTGTATCAAGCCGTTATTGTAGAGCAACGTTGCCTTACGACAGATCAAACAACCAAATAAAGGTTAGTAAGGATATTACACTATCCATCAATACCAGATTACATGCCAATAATCTTGGCTGCTCACCCACTGGGTGGGGTGGAGGAGTTGCTAGATAGGTGAAAGAGTTGGGGCACACAGCCCATGATGCTATTTTGCATTTGTATGTACAGTGGTACCTTGGGTTACATACGCTTCAGGTTACAGACTCCACTAACCCAGAAATAGTACCTCGGGTTAAGAACTTTGCTTCAGGATGAGAACAGAAATCGTGCTCCGGTGGTGTAGCAGCAGCAGGAGGCCCCATTAGCTAAAGTGGTGCTTCAGTTTAAGAACAGTTTCAGGTTAAGAACGGACCTCCAGAATGAATTAAGTACTTAACCTGAGGTACCACTGTACAAATTTATATGCATAGATGCCTCTGGTACCTACGCATTTAATGCATAGGTGGATGGCTGGAATCTCACAAACACAGTGCACTTTGAAGCAATTTGTTTAATAATAATAATAATAATAATAATAATAATAATAATTTGCACATATAAAAAATTTGTAAGTACAAATTCATATGCATAGGTACCCCTAGTACATTTAATGCATTTAATGCAAAGTTGGATGGCTTGAATCTAATCAAAACTGCAACTGCAGATAATAATAATAATAATAACAACAACAACAATAATAATAATAAACAAAAAGGCACAGAATAGGCCAAGAGCTCTGGCCACTTTAAAAGTCTCATGCTTATGAGTATCTCTAAAGAGGTAGATAGGTTTTACCTTTGGCTAAAATGTCTTGACTAATCAGCAGATAGGAATTCAGAAACGTCTTTCTCAGGGATCAAGACAAGGAGCAACTTTGTGAGATTTGTAACCCTAACTGCTGTACAATTCCCTTGACTGAGCAAGTTATGCACACAGTTATACAAGTGCACTTATACGTAGCAACATGTTTTGCGGTTATATGTCCTTTAATAATTAAACTAGTCATTCACAATTATGTGGCACCGATTGTTCAACAGAAGGCTTGAGGCGGGCAAACAATCACAGGTGCCGATTCACAAAATGTATTAAGAACAACTGTTCATTTATTTCTGCTGTCTGTCTCTATGGTCTCAGTCATGCGTATCAAAGGATGGATTATCCATCACACTAACTGACATTTGCTAGTTTCAGTTATAGCAGCCTCTACCTGCATATGACGGAAGCCGAAAACAAAATAGGAAGAATACTTTAAGACTACACATTTACTTAGCAGCAGGGCTTCTTTTTTCAGCCGAAACTCACTGGAACTGAGTTCCCGCACCTCTCAGGTGGGCGCCATTGCTATTATAAGAGAACAAGGGAGGCATTCATGATGAGTTCCAGCACGCCTTTTTCCAGAAAAACAGCACTGCTTAGGAGTAAATCTCACTGAACACACTGGGGCTTACCTTTAAATAAGCTTGCATAGGTGGGCGCTGCAAGTCAGGGGTTGTTCACACATACACACACACACACACACACACACACACCCTTTTGAGCACTGAGTACACATTGCTGTCTTGGTGTTTTTTGTTTCGTTAGCCCTTCATTCAATCCAAATGTGAACTGAATGATCATTCATTCCCTTGTCAATCTCTCCATCATTTTCTTGATGTGCTGGGCTCATTCCATGTCCCACCTTTCATTTTTCCCCTGTTTTTGACACCACCAACCTCCCGCTTTTATGACCCACACCCAAAAAAACCACAGCCCACAATAAAGCACAGCAAATTATATTTCTCAAGAAAACATACTGGACAGTTATAGGTCTGTCAGGAGACAGAGTTTAAAAGAATTGTACATTTTCAAAGCAACCTAATATGTATGCACACATGCACACACAAACACAACATGGAACACGCTCACGCAGAGTTCTGATTATTATGAAGAAAAGATAACAATAATGTAACTTCTTTTAAAATACCACCCAATAGCCACCTTGTTAAGAAAAGAAACAAACAACTCACCCAAAATTTACAGATCTGCTAACTTTTGAAATTTGACTACACTGGGAATTTTACCTGAACAGGAAGAGTAGGTGCTAAGTCAAATATTCACAGAGTACTTTCCTCCCCTCCCCCACTTTTAGTGTATATAAAACAAAGATTTCAAAAATGAAGTGACCTTAAGTGTATAGGACAGATGCAATCAGGAGGTCGATGTCCTCAACACTCTGTTGCTAGATGTTCTTGGGAAGATTTTACTTCTTAAAATCTGCAGTTCACATTCAGCAATAAAACTGGTTTGGGGGTGAAACACTAGTATGGCTGAAACACTAGTCTCACTGCTGGAAGAGCTGCAGCTATTTGCTCTTTTGGGCCAAGTGAAGTAGTTCAGTTGCCCTCATGCATCCCCCTTGGTAAAGGTAAAGGGACCCCTGACCATTAGGTCCAGTCGTGGACGACTCTGGGGTTGCAGTGCTCATCTCGCTTTACTGGCCAAGGGAGCCAGCATACAGCTTCCAGGTCATGTGGCCAGCATGACTAAGCCGCTTCTGGCGAACCAGAGCAACACACGGAAATGCCGTTTACCTTCCCGCCGGAGTGGTACCTATTTATCTACTTGCACTTTGACATGCTTTCAAACTTCTAGGTTGGCAGGAGCAGGGACCGAGCAATGGGAGCTCACCCCGTTGCGGGGATTCGAACCGCAACCTTCTGATCAGCAAGCCCTAGGCTCTGTGGTTTAATCCACAGTGCCACCCGTGTCTCCACAGCGCTCCCCCTTGAGAGGTCCACAAAAACCAGATAGGATTTGCAAAAGGCACATGATTTCACCCAAAATGCCATTACAGTGGTACCCTGGGTTACATACGTTTTGGGTTACAGACTCCGCTAACCCAGAAATAGTACCTCGGGTTAAGAACAGGATGAGAACAGAAATCGCACGGCGGTGGCACAGCGGGAGGCCCCATTAGCTAAAGTGGTACTTCACGTTAAGAACAGTTTCAGGTTAAAAACGGACCTCCGGAACAAATTAAGTACGTAACCAGAGGTACCACTGTAAATATTTCCCCTTTTGAGATAAGAAGAAAAATTCATCTTAAAATTCCACATTAAAAAGGGTAGCAATGGAACTCCAATGCAATCTCTGGCAAGAAATTAGTCAAGCTTCAGGTTTATCTTCTGCTTTTTCCTGTAACAATTCTACAGTCAGGTTTTGGTAGCCTCTGAACATTAAGCTTACTAGTAAAACGTGTGTCCTCTCAAACGTCCTGTACAGAAAGTAAACACATGGACCACATCCTTGGCAACCTGAATGTTCTGCAACAGGATCTGTAACAGCTTGGAAGTGTCTCATCATTTAATCATAAGATTACTGGAAAGACAAACATAATGCCTTATGAGAGGCACCACTTACATCACAGGAAAAAATAAACAAGGGAAGCTTTATGGGAACAGACAGAGGGATGGAGAGAGCTTGCCCTATATAGTATTCAAATCATTTATCCAAAAGGCCCCCAGAGTTTATTACAAAAATCAGGAGTAAAACAGTCCCTGCCCTCAGAAAAATCCCTAATTTGTGTTCAGTAGCAATGATCCAATTTTTAAAAAATAAAATAAAATACAGTATTTTTACACTTAGCCAGTGTTAGAAACTCAGATATGTAAGCTAGGTGCCAAATGGCTGCATAAACTGTTAGAATTCCTGCTCCGTGATTGCAGTCATAGGATTGTTGTCTATCACATGACGGTGTATGTTTTGATTCCACAGAGTGGGAAGTGACAGAGACATGATGTTTGTGTTACTGTGTTCCGTGAAGTGGGACTATTGTCCTTTGTCCTTTCTCTTTGCTGTCTGATGCTAGAGAGAGAGGGAGCCATGTTGCAGTGCTCCATGTGTGTTTATATGTAAATAAAGTAGATTAGCCAAAATGCTGAGTTGCTGAGGTCTGTTACGCAAGCTGCAAAGACTCTGCGGATCCCCGAGTGTGCCGGTGTCTGTTGGCATCGGTCGCTGTGATGTTCGGGCTGAAGAAAGCTTTTGAAGGAAGACCAGGAGGGAGAGAACATGCCAGTCAGGCATGTGTCTCTGCCAGGGTCCTACTCAAGTGTAGGAAGAGGGTTGCAGCCACCAAAACAGAAATGCCTACTTGCCATTTTGGGATCAGGGGGCTAGAAAGCCATATTGAAAAACATGACTTTTTGGTTCCTGAAATTCATTCTGATTTTGCAGATAAAATATAGAATTCTACAGGATGGGGTATTAGTGTGTTAAAACAGTCCAGATCCAAGGATCCTCAGCTATGACACCTCCAGAAGGTGGAGGCGTCCGGTGACATCCTGGTGCCCAGACATCTTCACTTGGCTGCGAGTGGCCAATAGCCAGATGCAAAATGTAACTGGCACCTGGCGAATTTCGAACGCTACTCTTAGCTCTATATTAACTTTCACTCTTTTAACTAAGAAGATAACAACATGTTACTAAAGGTACAATAATGGCACCAAACAAGACATCCCTCAAGGACTGTTTTGGCGCTCTCAGCAACATTTGATACCCCCTTCCCCACCAACAGCCCTCCTGGGCTTTGAGAAGGTGACATGAGGTCTCTAACAGGGTCTTTGAGAAGGTGACATGAGGTCTCTAACAGGGTCCCAGAGTCATCCTATCTCCTTGCCAAAGTTTAGAACTTTCCCAGCTTTGGGAAGAAGGTAGGAGGGCTCTAGGACCCTGCCAGAGCCTCACACCTATTTCCCTTTCGGCTTCACTATAAGGCACTATTTTAAAGGTGTACTTGACAAGGAAGACGCACAGCCCCGGCTATGAATTCCATGTTTAAGTACTCTTGCAGTCCACTTGGTATGAAAAGTTGGACTGGCCTGACCTAGAGGAATGCTGTTGCTGAAGGTAGCTTAGTGTATGTTTCTATCCTTTACAAGAGATAGGCAATAACTGCAAGAAAGAGCATAGTGAAGAAGAAGAAGAAGAAGAAGAAGAAGAAGAAGAAGAAGAAGAGTTTGGATTTGATATCCCGTTTTATCACTAACCGAAGAAGTCTCAAAGTGGCTAACATTCTCCTTTCCCTTCCTCCCCCACAACAAACACTCTGTGAGGTGAGTGGGGCTGAGAGACTTCAGAGAAGTGTGACTAGCCCAAGGTCACCCAGCAGCTGCATGTGGAGGAGCGGAGACGCGAACCTGGTTCACCAGATTACGAGACTACCACTACACCACACTGGCTAAATATCAAGGAAATTCTGAACATCCCAATATGAAATAATTGAGCATTATTCATCATTCTCTAATGTCACTATCAGTGTTTGTTACCTTAGCTCACCTTCCAGTAAACTGACATCATAAGAAGAGCTTTCGGGCTTCTGCAGGGCAGGGTACGTATTAAAGAGATTTGCAATGATGGCCATGTTAAGTTTAGGATTGCCTGCAACCACATCAGCAGGAGTCACAAACTGTTTGCAGCCCAGTTTGTCTGCCTGTTGAAGCATATATTCAGCCCTCTTCAGGTCATTTTTTTCATTGAGGCCTGAAAGTGAAGGTGACCACAAACACTGGCATGGAATCATAGAATTGTAGAGTTGGGAGGGACCACGAGGGCTATCTAGTCCAACCCCCTGCAATGCCAGATTCTTTTTTCCAACTTGTGACTCGAACCCATGATCCCGAGTCACATGCTCTATCAACTGAGCTATCTCAAAATTTCAGAGCAACCATCCCTCTTAACTCTCTGTGACTATTTTCTATTTTGCTGCAAGGAATCAAATGTGTGTTGTTGTTGTTGTTGTTGTTGCCGTAATTATCAAGGAGAATCTTTACCCATCCATTTCTTATGATTTCCTTTCAAGCAGCTATGCAAAATAACCAAATTGGCGAAGATGGGACTCCTGCTCCAAAAGAATCCCACAGACAAATCAAAATATTGCAAACAATTCCTATAGATTGCAGCCATTATGTGCTGCAAATATGAATAATAACTACCTGCAAACAACAGGTATGAAAGAAGAGCAAAGCAACTTTGAGAATTCAGCCGCAAGTTAGGAGAACACTTCGAAGGAGAGTGCTTTGGGGAATACAAAACAACAAAGCTTGGTATCTGAACTATTTTAAACTATTTTAAAGGTGTACTTGACAAGGAAGACACACACACACACACACACACACACACACAGCCCCGGCTATGAATACTCCTTACAGCTAATAGCACATTTTACAGTGCAATCCGGTTCATCGCTACTCAGAAGTAAATTCTATCAAGACTTGTTCCCTGGTTGTGTGGCATAAGAATTGCAGCTTTAGTCAACATTTTGTAACATGGTTCTTCACCCGTCCTATTCCCAAAGTTCTAAAATGCCTCTGTTTCCTATCAGGACGCTTTTGTTTTGGAAGCCATGAGGAAGTGAGTTGAGCCGTCCACCAATCCATTGTTTCATCTGCAAAGCCAACAGCAGCTTTCCACCCCCAAGGCATCAAAGTATATGTGATCAAGCAAACAGCCTATTTACATCATCAAAGCCAAACAGTCAAGTAGAACAATTCATAAAAGCTATAAAGGAGGACTTGCAAAAAAGAGAGAGAGGAGCAGAACAAAGGGTTTTAGATCCCCTAATCATTAACCACTTAAAATTAATTTGTGCTGGGGTGAGCACCCAAAACCCACACAGCACTCTTTATAATGAGCTGAAGCACCAACGGTCAAGATCATAGCAGGAATGTTTCTGACTTTATATTTACACAGCCTGACTTAACTAGCTTATGGATCGCTGTTTGCAAATAACAGCATTTTCTGCTATTCTGAACATTTCCATTTTGTGTAGCGAGATGTCAGAAGTATATGTTGAAAGCATTCGAACAAAAAGCACTCTAGTCTCTCTAATAACTTTCAGGAACTTTGGCAGAACGCAGCACTGAAGGCGTGGCAGCTAATAAGTGTGGCAGGAGAGAGAGAGAGCTACCTCTTGAGTACACTATGGAACAGGCTTTAGAAGAGAGGCTCTGAATGTGTAAATAACCTGTTCAACAAAGGCCCAGGACGAAAACAAAACAGAACAGTTACAGTTACTCCTTGATCTATGTGGGCAGATCTTCAGTCTCACACGGCGTTCCCATGAAGTAACATTTCCCCTGCAGGAGCATTCTTGATACCATTGCAGATAAATTTGAATGCCTTTATTTATTCTAAAGAAATAAAACATTGGGCTTTAAGCAGCCCTTTTTCCATGCCATCAGGCATGCTGAAACCAAACCAAACATTATTCTGCCTTCAACATGGTCCTCAAAAAAGATACTGTGCTTCAACCTTTTGCACCAACTACAGGTAAAGGTAAAGGGACCTCTGACCATTAGGTCCAGTCGTGGCCGACTCTGGGGTTGCGGCGCTCATCTCGCTTTATTGGCCAAGGGAGCCTGCATACAGCTTCCGGGTCATGTGGCCAGCATGACTAAGCCGCTTCTGGTGAACCAGAGCAGCACACGGAAATGCCGTTTACCTTACCGCTGGAGCGGTAGCTATTTATCTACTTGCACTTTGACATGCTTTCAAACTGCTAGGTTGGCAGGAGCAGGGACCGAACAATGGGAGCTCACCCCGTCGCGGGGATTCGAACCGCCGACCTTCTGATCGGCAAGTCCTAGGCTCTGTGGTTTAACCCACAGCGCCACCCGCATCCCTCTCAACTACCGTACTTTAATGCAAAACAAAACCAGGTTAAGAACAGTTCAGGTTAAGAACAGACCTCCAGAACGAATTAAGTTCTTAACCCGAGGTACCACTGTATTATAGGCAATTTGACTTAAAATATGTGGTGCCTCAGAACGCAACTCCCGCGTCAAAGGTGAGTTGCCTGTACAGTGGTACCTTAGTTTAAGAACAGCTTAGTTTATAAACAACTTGGAATAAGAACGCTGCAAACCCAGAAGTAGGCGTTGTGGTTTGTGAACTTTGCCTTGGAAGCAGAACATGTTGAGTGTGTTCCATTTGTAAACTGAGCCCCCCACTGCTATGGGAAAGTACGCCTTGGTTTAAGAATGGACTTCCGGAACAGATTAAGTTCGTAAACCAAGGTACCACTGTATTACAATTTAAAAACCTTTCTATTGTTGGGTTGTGCTTCAGGCTACCTGCTCAGTACAGAAAGGCAGCATATAGATATTTTTCTTTAAAAAAAAATTAAAGAAAAGATGGGTAACATAAACACCTGCTGCTGTAGTCTACTTCCAATTCACTATACTATACTAAGGTAAAAGGTAAAAGACTCCTGGATGGTTATGTCCAGTCAAAGGCAACTATGGGGTTGCGGCGCTCATCTCGCTTTCAGGCCGAGGGAGTCGGCGTTTGTCCACAGCTTTCTGAGTCATGTGGCCAGTGTGACTAAACCGCTTCTGGTGCAACAGGACATTGTGACAGAAACCAGAGTGCACGGAAATGCCATTTACCTTCTCACTGCAGCAGTACCTATTTATCTACTTGCACAGGTGTGCTTTCAAACTGCTAGGTTGGCAGGAGCAGGGACAAAGTAACGGGAGCTCACCCCGATGCGGGGATTTGAACCGCCGACCTTCCAATCGCCAAGCCCAAGGGGCTCAGTGGATTAGACCACAGTATAGTATATAAGGTATATAAGGGGCACGGGTGGGTGGATAGCTCAGTCGGCTGAGCATGAAACTATAAATCTCAGGGTTATGGGTTTGAGTCCCACATTGGGCGAAAAGATTCCTGTGTTGCAGGGGGTTGGACTAGGGCTTGCCAATCAGAAGCTTGCCGGTTCGAATCCCCGCAACGGGGTGAGCTCCCGTTGCTTGGTCCCTGCTCCTGCCAACCTAGCAGTTTGAAAGCCCGAAGTGCAAGTAGATAAATAGGTACCACTCTGGCGGGAAGGTAAACGGCATTTCCGTGCACTGCTCTGGTTCGTCAGAAGTGGCTTAGTCATGCTGCCACATGACCCAGAAGCTGTACACCGGCTCCCTCAGCCAATAAAGCGAGATGAGCACCACAACCCCAGAGTCGTCCGCAACTGGACCTAACGGGCAAGGGTACTTTTACCTTCACCTTTTATAGTATAATACTATACTACACACCTTGATAATGGGAGTTGTTCAAGGCACCTCTGGGCTCCCATCTCTGGGCTCTCCTACAGCACACATTCTTGGGAGCGGATATCTATGCTGTTAGGCACATTCCTGGGCAGCTGTCTTCCTCTTCACTACCAAAGGCTTAACAGAATGACATTCTGACCATAGGTACTGAAGTGCTTACAGGAGATAAAAGACTGTTGTGAATGAGCCCAGCTTGAGTTATTCAGGATTCACCTGACTCCAGGATTCTAATCTCGCCTCAGGTGACCTATTAAGGGCAACAATAACCTGTCCAGCCTACAACCACTTTAGCGCCTCCATTTCAACACACAACACAAAAAAACAACCAGAGGAAATGGCCCCAAGGAGCTTCCGAAAAAGCCTATTATTCAGATAGCTGGGAAAAAGCAGCCCCCCCCCTACTCTAGGGCATAGGTTCTTTGTCTAACTCTCTGCTGTCCAAGTGATCTGTCAGGCTCGAATGAATTTGCAACAAGCTGGGAGAGATATGTTAAGAAGTCAGTGGAGAGCAAATCTCAGGTAAGAAACAGAAATGGAGAGAGGAAACCGTTCTTTGGCAGATTTGAAGTCTGTATCTTCCAGATCTCTCGTAACAAAATAAAGGAATTGAGGTCCCTTAGCAGTTAAAATGATCTTAATGAATGACTCCCTCTCCTTCTCCCACCCCTGTTTTCTTCTACCCTTTAGGAGGTTGCTCACAGCATGGAGTTACAATGAAGAAACGCCCAGGGAGTCGTATCCTATTTCCATGTTGCAAATGGTATCTCCAAAGGAGCGCTACATCTGTTCAGTTATATCCAAATCAGTTCTTATTAACTGGTGCAGGGTTTGTGACTAGCTTACAATGCTCAAGTCTTGGCACTTTTAAAGCAATGGGTGTGCCTCTGAGCATGTATAAAGTCATTTTCTTCTCTCTTCCCCCATCCACTATAAGCCGCACACGTGGATAGCTCAGTCGGCAGAGCATGAAACTCTTAATCTCAGGGTTATGGGTTTGAGCCCCACATTGGGCGAAAAGATTCCTGCGTTGCAGGGGGTTGGACTAGATGACCCTCAGAGATCCCTTCCCACTCAGATTCTGTGAAATATTCCAAGTTCCAGAGGAGTGCAGGGATGGATCTCTCTCTCCTTGCACCCCAGCTTTATTTGATAAACACATCCCGTTCCAAAACACTCCGGGGGCAGAGCCAATTCCATGCGAGAGAGGCTTCAGATATTTGATTTTATTGCATTTTCTACTTTACACCTGCCCTGGGAACTGAACCCTTCTGCCTGCGGGCGGGGGAAGAGCGATGCACTGGCTAGAAGAATGAAGTGGCAACATCAGGAAGCATTTGTAACAGGAGCGGAAACCTAATTATAATTTTTTTTTTAAAAAAATGTATTAAATTTAATAATTTGGATAGATTTGCTAAAATTTGGAAAACTAATAAAAATTATTATTTTAAGAGAGAGAGAGAGAGAAATGCACTGGCGAGGGGGGTGCGGACAAGAAGAAGAGCGGAAATCGCAACCGTGTCTACTCGGAAGTAAGCGCTATTGAACTCAGTGGGGCTCCCTCCCGGATAAACGGGGAGGTCCGGGTTGTGATCGGTCCCAGCGAGCGCGGGCTGTGGCGGCGGCGGCGGCAGCAGCTCCTGCGCGACGCGCGTTTCCTCGGGAGCAAGCGAGACGCGCTGCTGCTGCTCCTCCTCAGCTTGGGCTACTTACAATCTCGGCCACCATGAGGATCCCGGGCAGCGTCCTGAGGAACTCTCGGTCGTAGGCGAGCGTGCTGGAAGCGGACGACCAGTTGGCCGTGAAGGAGCTGCTGGCGGTGGTGGTGACGGTGTGCGAGCGCGAGCGCTCCTGCGCCGGGTGGCGGTGCGGCTCGTGGTTCGGCTGCTGCTGCTGCTCCATCGTCGCTTCGGCTCCCGGAGGAGGAGGAGGGCCGACGCCCCAGCCAGGGCGCCTCCGCTCCCCGCCAAGTCAGGCCAGCCCGCTCCGGACTCGGTGCTGCCCGCCTGAGGCGGATTGCGCGCGGCGAAGGCGGCGCAACAGCCCCGGGGACGAAGCGCCTGAGGGGGAAGCGGCGGCTTTTGTGCGGCGCCTGTGAGGAAGCCCGTCGCCGGGACTCCAGGGGGCAGAGCTAAGGAGCCGGGCGCGCGGGGAGGGGGCGAGGCCTGAGGCTGCAGCCGGGTCCCTGGAGGGGGGCGCGGGGCGAGCGGGGCGCGCGGGCTGGCTGGGGAGAAGGGAAGGAGATACCCGGTAGCGCGCGCCAAGCCCTGAAGTGGCGTCCTCTGCTCCCTCTTCGCCTCAGGATTTTGCCCCCGGTTACTAGGGGGCGAGTTCCCTTATGGAATATTTTGAAACCCCCCCCCCCCGCCAAAAAAAGTTGATAAGCATTTCCATTCAAATTGTGTGTGTTGTGTGCGCCACATCTTGTGGGGCAGGGCTTACCTCGGGACAGTACCGGATTAAACCCTGTGGAGGCCCCCCTAGGTAGTCGAAATCTTGCGAATGGTCTCCTTTTTAAAATAAATTTATTTATTTGATTTTTTTCAGATTAAAATTTTATAGTCACATACCCAGCATGCCACGTAAAAAACAAGATTCCAAAGAATGGCATGGACTTCCCTCTTCCTCTATGTGGGTCCTATTGTTAATCGTTTCCTCCTGCATTTTTTATGATAATCCAAAATCTTTTTACCTCTTCAAAATTCGCCATTAAACGGCAAGTGACATTCCAATCTTACTAACGACTTTTAACTGTTTACAATGGTTGTTAAGATGTTACAATTTCCCCCCATTCCTTATTAAAATTTTGTTCTTTCTGATTTCTGATTCTTCTGATCATTTTGGCCATTTCGGCATAATCCATCAATTGATCTGCCTTTCTTCTCTGGTAGGGGCTTTATCTTCTTTCCATCTCAGGGCCAAAAACATCCTCGCAGCTGTGGTCACATACATAAATAATATGTTTTGCTCCTTTGGGATTTTGGCACCTAGAATTCCTAAAAGAAATGCTTTGGGTTTTGGGGGTTTTTTTTAGAAAATGTTATTTTAAACATTTTTTTTCCAGCTCATTATATATCATTTCCCAAAATTGTTTTACTACCTTACATTCCCACCACATATGATAAAAGGTGCCTTCTTTTTCCTTACATTTCCAGCATACATTTGACCCCGTTTTATCCTTTTTTGCTAATTTACTAGGAGTTAAATACCAACGGTACATCATTTTCATATAATTTTCTTTCAACGTGTAATTTAAAATGCACAGCATGTTACCCGCAAATGATCTCCTAATACGTTTTTGATATTTACCAACCAAGAATTTTAACTCACCAATTTTATTACACAATATTATTTTGATCTGTTTCGAGGGCCCCCTGAAAGGCATGGGGCCCATAGGCCAATGCCTACTCTGCCTATTCGGTAATCCGGCACTGCCTGCCACCCCCCACCCGCCATATTTTATTCAAGTTGGCACCCCTGGCCTGACGTGGCAGGAAATGTTGCCCTGAGCATGTAGATTACTACCCTGTAACAAGAGCGGTTTAGGCTGCAGCCCTTGACTGAGGGCCATTCAGTTCAATGGGACTTGCTTCTGAGGGGACATGAAGGCTGCAGTCCTATGCGCACGCCACCCAAGAGTAAAGTTCCATCGAAGCCAGTTGGAGCTACTTCAAAGTAAAACGAAGAAACATTAAATTGTGTAGATTTGGAAGGGACCATGGGGGGTCACCAAGTCCAATCCCCAATGAACCTACAGCCCTGAAATTGGGAGCCTCATGCTCTACCGACTGAGCTTACAGAACCTCCCTGTAATGAGCAAAACCAAGCAAATATAAATATTATTTTTAAAGGGGCTTTTTTCCCCAGACGGAGCTCAGCTCCGCCACCTCTTAGATGGGCATCATTACCATTCTAAGAGAACAAGGGAGATGAGCTCCAACACCTTGTTTTGTTTTTCTAGAAAAAACAGCACTGGTTAAAAAGCAGCGTGTTTCAGATGTGCAGACGCCATGCAGGAGTTTGCGCAGTTTAGCATGTGCTAGGGAAAGCAAGAATGTCTAGATGCACTTGCAAAGTGCCTATTTTTGGTGACAGGCTTAAAAGAATAACACAGCTGCTTCTCAGTGCCGTGTTTAAGTTTCACTTGGTTAATAGTACAATTCTGTATGCCCCCCCTGACTTCAATGGGATTTGTTTCTAGCTAACCCCTCATTTGGGCTATGGGTGTGCTCCATGCCACTCTAGTGATTCTGGCAGCGGCAACCTTTTTTAAAAAAGTGCACACAATTCGGGGGGGGTGGGCAGAGCACATAATCCTGATCTAGATACATACATAATTTTATTTGTACGCCGCCTTTCCATAGTTAAAACCATTCTTAAGGCAGATTACAACATAAATTTTTTTTTTGCATAATTACAAACTTACATAAGCAATAAATAAAACAGCCAAAAGTACACAACCACATTAAACAATTTTCACATAAATTATAATCTAAAGATCTGGACAGTATCAAAAATGGCAGCAACCCTGCTCCCCCAAACAAGACCCCAGCCCAAGAATCTGTTCAGCAACCTCAGCTTTTGTAGCTGGAGTCAGTCAGAGCCCAACCCTCCCAGGCCAGGTGGGAAAAGGCCTGCAAGGCAGGGAGCAGTTCTTGATCTTCCTGGTCATAAGATTGAGCATTTGATTAGCTCAGAGGTGGCAATTATCCCCCACCCCTCCTCGCTGTCTGCCTATGTGCTGATGACATCTGGTGTACGCGTGTGAGAGTGTGCGCAAGATTGTAGAACAACCCGATCCACTTCTGGGTCGGCCAAGGATTAATGCAGCACTTGCTTGGAAAACACTAACCACTTCTCATTTTTAGGAAACTGCAGCCCTTTTTTTATCAGATTGTATTAGTTTAAAATAATCTGAACCATTTCGAACCTATTTAGTTTCTTTCTTTTGAAAGGTAGGTTGCACATTTCAATACAGTGGTACCTCGGGTTACATACGCTTCAGGTTACATACTCTTCAGGTTACACACTCTGCTAACCCAGAAATAGTGCTTCAGGTTAAGAACTTTGCTTCAGGATGAGAACAGAAATCGTGCTCCGGCGGCACGGCAGCAGCGGGAGGCCCCATTAGCTAAAGTGGTGCTTCAGGTTAAGAACAGTTTCAGGTTAAGAACAGACCTCCAGAACGAATTAAGTACTTAACCCGAGGTACCACTGTATAAGAAACTGGAGCATGTCACTGGCTTTTTAACATGCAAGTTTGAAATGTAAAGGAGCACCCGCATGCAAAACGACGACTGCGGACGTCATTGTTTTGCATGAAAAACACACTTCCAAAGCCAGCAAAATAACAGTACGTGCACAGCACACATGGTGGGAGAGAGTAAATGGCAAGGACTGACTACCCAGGAGGATTTCTGGTCGCAAGATTGCCCTGGCAAAGTTCATATGAATAACCAAGGCTTCTTACTGATGTGGCAAATGCATTTTATAATTGTGGCAATTTTCGCACGGGGATGCTGTCAGGCAAATGTGAAACATAAGGCAGCATGGAGTCTGCATAAAAGCGTTCATCTACAATTACATCTCAGGGCTAATCTACATTAAGTAACAAGCACACGCACACAGTTGCAGTCCTCCAGGGATTTACAATTTTGGAATACAGATAGAGGTCTGCATGGCTGTCACCTTCATCACACCAGGTCCCCTTTGCTTATTGGGAGCTAGCATATGATGGGGGAGGGTTCACACCTAGATTTCTCCCTGCCCATACTAATTTTCTGTGCCCATGGAGTCTTTAATGTGTGAATGGGCGGGCTGAACATGGTTTTTCCTTGCTGGCATTCTGAAGTGGTACAGTGCCCCCGGGAGAGCTATGCCACATGCTTTTTCTAAATGTGTAGAGCCTGGCCTCAGTTTTGAAAACCATTGACTGTTTTATTCCGATAGGCTTTTGGGAACTGACTGGTTTGCTTGTTTTTTAAGGAAAGGGCTTTTCATAGTGTGTATGTTTTTTTACTGTGTTTTAATGGATTTGTTTTATGTTTTGATCCTATTACCGTTTAATTCCTTTTTAACAGTTTGTTTCTGTATGTTTTTAGTTTTATGCATTTTATCTACATTGTTTTGAGTAAGCCGCCTTGAGTCCCCCGTCTGGGGAAAAGGCGGGCTATAATAACAATAACAATTATATTATTAATAATAATTATTTACTGTTGTAAGAAGGGGGTTATACTTCTTTGTGGCTGCTGCTTTTACATCTTCACCGTACCAGACTTCCTTTCTGGACTTTTATATCTACATAGGAATCTGTATTGCATAGGCCAACTATGCTTAAAGTTGGATCATTGCAACACTGGAAGGCATAGATGATAGATGATGCAGTGCGGACCTACTCATAGGCTTGTGCTCAGAGGCTTGTGCATCAACATGGCATGTGGATGTTGTCGATGCCAAGGGCCTAAGGTGTGGTCCTTCTCCATGCATGTGTGAGCACAGAAGTTAAGATTCTATAAAAGCCTCTGAACCAGGGGTCAGCAACCTAAGGCCCATAGGCCACAAGCGGTCCACGAGGGTTGTTTAACTGGCCCATGAGTTGCCCCCGAACTGAACTGCCTGCTCAGCAAGTCCTCACATGCCCTAAACTGGCACAGCGCAGCGCAGGGACTTGCTTCTGTGGTGCGGGAAATCACATCTGCGCATGCACAGTTGCTGGAAACCGTGTCTGCGCAGATGCAGATGCCGGAAATCTCATGCGTGCACACAATCTGGCCCACGAAGGGATCTCTACTGGAGTGAACCAGCCCAGGTGAGGTAAACCTTGCCGACCCCTGCTCTGGACCATCTGTTGCTTGTCATCTGTTCTGCATCTGCCCCCCTTAATGTTTAGGCATGCAATGCCGCACTCAGTACAGTGGTACCTTGGGTTACATACGCTTCAGGTTACAGACTCCGCTAACCCAGAAATAGTGCTTCAGGTTAAGAACTTTGCTTCAGGATGAGAACAGAGATCGTGCTCCGGCGGCGCGGCAGCAGCAGGAGGCCCCATTAGCTAAAGTGGTGCTTCAGGTTAAGAA